TTTTTTTTTAATTCTTAAAACGACTTTTAAGCAATTTGTGTATGGTATACTATATTAATGATATCGCCCCCCTCAGACACAGCTCACTGAGTTTCTCGCCGGATCTTCTCAGCGGGTCGCGTTCCGAATCCGGTGGTAGATTCTGCGAAGCACGGCTCTTGCTAGGCTTTGTGTTAGCAACGTCGTCAGGTTTGAGCCCCGTGAGCTCACCTAGTAGTTAAGGTTACGCTGATATAGCCTCTCAAGGCTATCAGCATAGGTAGGAAAAAAAAAGATATCGCCTATAATCTTTAAGTTGAAAATTATACAATGCTCAACCAGGCCACACCTGTGTGGAAACGTGTTTTTTTAAAATAATGTAAAGGGTTCGTTCATAGTCCAGGTTCAAATCGCTATCGTGCGAACAAGTGTTATCAATCGATACGTTGAACATGTCAAATTTTATCATTTGTTAAATAAAACCTGACAACTACAAATCTGAAAATAAAAATTGATAAATATTCCAAATTATTATATGAAATTAAATAAAATAGTTTCTTTTATTGCCTATCTAAGCAGCCTAGCATGAGCATGTTAATAAATAATCATTAGTGACGGTATTAATATAATCATTAGACCAAATTCTCTGTAATTTAGTTTTTAATTGCACTTTCAGAACTGAAAATTGTAGATGTGGACAAAAAAAACTAAAGCACAATTATATTCATAAAAAAATTAAACATAACTCGGAAAACGACAATGCTTATATGGAACAAGTTCGGAAATTTTAGTCGAATTCACAAGCGGCGAAGCGATTTTAACTAAGAAATTTTACACAATTTTGTAAACAAGGGATAATCTTGAGCTAAAAGTGGTGAATATTGTGAATGGCCAAAGATATCTAAGCCAACAGTGCGGATTGCCTTGAGCCTCACTTCGACTAGCTGAACTGGGGTGTTATAGTGAAGAAATAACACGTTTAACTAGTTTTCCACAACACTCTTCTTAATACCATGTATTTTTGGGATTAAATCTGCATAACGGACTCCAATAATTATTTCTTTTACGAATGTTATCAATAAAAACTATTCCTTTGCGATTCTAGAACAATAAGGCCATAACATTGTCGGTGGTAGGAGCAACTCTAAATTTTTTGAGGTGCCGAGATATTGTTTGCGAGACTTTGTATCGTAGTCGTAGAAGCTTTAATAACATTTTAATGTGTAACGTTTCATAAAACAAAACTTCACTTCCGCGATCTATCATCCTAAATGTTATCTGCAGATTTATCTCCGAGAGAGCGAGAGAGAGAAAGAGAGAGAGCGCACGAGATGCGCCATGTGTGCAAGATAAAATGAAAAAGCTTTTTGTAAATTGGTTATGAAACCTTAAAAACTAGATACGTTAGATCCACTGTCACCGTCTTAAAATCAGCATTTACTGGCGTCATCGGATTTCCAATAAGTTATAATGTTAATAATGATTTAAGTGTTTAGTCCAACTAACCAACTGGCTCGTAGTATTATTTTAAGTAATTATTATTCGGTTTTCAATGAAGGCAACATTTACGGTTTGAATTCGTATTTACTATTTTTAACTTGTATTCTGACTAATAATGTTCTTTTAAGTTTGAATATCTTAAGGAAATGTTTCTTGATAATGACGTTTTTTNAAGTTATAATGTTAATAATGATTTAAGTGTTTAGTCCAACTAACCAACTGGCTCGTAGTATTATTTTAAGTAATTATTATTCGGTTTTCAATGAAGGCAACATTTACGGTTTGAATTCGTATTTACTATTTTTAACTTGTATTCTGACTAATAATGTTCTTTTAAGTTTGAATATCTTAAGGAAATGTTTCTTGATAATGACGTTTTTTGCACATACATAAAAACAACAGTCATGATAGCGATACAAGATACAAGGTCTCGCGTTTTATTTGACTATAGCTAACTGTATTGAAATTCTAAATATACAAAGATAATACGTATATACGTATGCATTTTACTGATAGTCGAACATAATGTAAGCCTGCATGGATACCATCACCGTATTGTATTAACTTTATCACAGCTACGCTCTTCTTGAATCTTTTACTTCATCAACGAGCGTTAACTGGAATAGAATGCCTGCAAGGTGTTAAGTTCGCCTTTGTAAAATGTTTTTGGGCAATAAATAATTTTCAATCAATCAATCCTGCCTATTTCTACCGTGAAGCAGTTACACGATCCAGTTTGAGTTTGATAGGTGTTTAATATCCAAATATAATTCTTCTGCGCTTGTTTAAGTGACTGAACTCCTGTACTGGCTGGACCGATTTTCATGATTTTTTTTGTTTGTGTTCAAGTGGATTTGAGAATGACTTAGATTCACAATTCGGAATTGTAATAACCGTTTTTTTTTTATTTCTTCAAAACCTTTCAGATTATTACAACCTATTCAAAAAAGTTTTTAATTTTCAGATATAAGACATGTGACATGACGTCTGTCGGATCCGCTAGTGCTTTTAAACAAACACTCCGTCCTCGTGCCGCAAGGTGGATGTCAGCATTCACATTGTAATATCTACCAAATGGGTGGGCCAAGCACCCAAAGCCATCGGAACCATGGACTTGTTCACGCATCTATGGAATCTTTTTACCGACTCCAAAAAAAAAGGGTTTCTATGTTCGATGTACATTCTCAGATTTCTCCGTGATTCATGCTTCGACATTTAATTATTTTTTTGTTTGATACTACAATTATACTCTCCATTGTTAAGTTTAGTTTGTTTTTTATAGCTTTTTTTACGATAAAACACACACAACACACCCTAAACAGGTGACTGCCGAAAGCTGATAAAACGTTCAGATAATGGCTGCAAGGGAAGAAATGGGGTGGTGTCATTCAATGCCTAGAGCACACGGCCAGATAAAAATATGGTATTAGGAGTTAATATTTTTATCAAATGATCCGAATTCAGCAATAAGAGGCCAGTACTGGTGATTGATGGGGCGTTTTTTCTCATTAGCCTGTTTTCCAGCTGTTTATCAGTAACCTAATGATTGATGCACATGTGTCTCATAACTTAGCTAGACTTATTTATAATTTATTATAAATTGTCAGAGCATGTCTTCAACCTCCAACACACAACTGCCAACACTCAACATGCCCCCACTGGTGACCACATGTTGAGTTATACATTGAATCATTCAAGAAAATGATTTCCTGTTTTTAATGGCATTTAATAGGCTTTTCTAATGCAACACACATTATTCAAGTATAGACATCTAAGACATTTCTATCTAATTGTTCTTTTAATACTGTAATTTTAAAATTGATAACATAGTAAAATATTATATTTTAGAGAAACCTCAGTCAAATACTACTTGAAAAAATCATAATGAAGAGTTTCATAGTTATGATACATTGTACCATAAAATTCCAACTAAGTAAAAATAAAATAGTAAAATTTGAAAGTAAATTATCCAAGTCATACGTTTCTCAAAAACGACTTGACGTGTAATGATTTACAACAAAGCTATTTGTCAATGCAAGTTCAAAGCAATTTCTTTGAAAGTTTCTTGATTTTGAAATCTAATTTCTCTACAATACTCCACCTTATATTTAAAAGTTAGAAGTCTTGACACTAACTATTTTTCTAAATAAATAAAAAATAGAAACCTCATAATAACATGACTAATCTCCTTCTCTCAATTAAATATTTGCAGTGTCTTAAATGATTTTCATACTTATTTTTACAATACACATATCTTCTAATCTCAGACTGTGATTTGAACAATAAATTACAAAGGTTCTATTTTTTGCCATTTGAACTGGCTATGAAATTATGAAAAATATATTTCAAGCTCTACCCCACAGAGTGATATGCATGTGGTATGTGAGGTCATTGACCTGAAGGCTATTTGAGTACAAAGAAAATTGAGCTCTATTTGTTGGCATAAATAAACCTCTCTAAAAAGTGATTGGTAATTAAACCTGGCTCCTAATTGTGAACACTATGTGTAGCATTGAGGTATATAATGCAAGTTATTCGAAAGATAACTAAAAAAAGGTTGCAGGATTAAGAGCTAACTAATTAAACAACACTTCTACCTACCTGATGGGCTTGGATTTTAATTCATCTGCCTTATGATACAAAGAAATAATAATTTATTTTTTAGGAAACACTGAAAACTAAAACACTGTTTATATTATTTTACCTTAATAAATAAATTGTTTCCTGGAACATCTTTTATTTTTATTCTAATTCTTTACTGAATACTATTTTATAAGCAATTCAGGGATATCTTCAAGACTTGTTTGAGAACAAATTTTGGGTATTAAAAGCTGAAGCAATGTGAATTATGTATCTTTAAATGGGATCAGATAACAAATTTTCTTGAGCTCAATCTAAAAACCAACTGCAATTAACTATAATGCCTTTAAAGCTATTCTGTGGTATATTTATATTCTACAGCACCTAACTAAATTGATAGTATGACAATGGACTTTAAAACGAGACTTTTAGTTACATTACTTTCCCTTTGTTTAAATCCAACACTACCATTTCAAATTGTACAAAGTAAAATTATGAATATTTTCAATGTTACAATTTATAAATAATTTTATAATAAATTCATTTAATCAAGTTTGCATTAGGTACTGCAATAGTACAAGATTGCTGTTAAAATACTGTGAATATTTCTTGTAGATACATTAAATGTAAGAGTATTCTAAGTTGTGTAATGATTTACATCATACATTCATAAATTTCAATGTCAAATGTAACCATTACTTTAATTGAAACTACATTTTTTCGTTTAGTGTACATGGAGTACATATACTGTTTAAATTATATGTTTATGAAAAATTAATTTTAAGTAATTTTATTTTGATCACATGATTTCGACCCCATGATCACACTATGTATCTCTAGTTTTATTTACTATTCACTCACAAAATTATCCGTTTATTTGATTGAATGGTTTTTACAATTGTTTTTACTGTTACATAACTATGTGCAAGACTATAACTTACCTTTGATGGTACCATTGTCACTGAAATTTTTGTCAATCACTGAATTGTTCGCTGTACATTTTTTCACTTTTTGAGAAGTACTTTTTGCAGAATTATCACTCACTTCACTACCGAGTGCCATCACAACACGAGGATTCAATCCTGTTCAAATTGACCGCAACGATACGGCTCTACACTCAGCTGAAAGAACACATGCGGTAGACTTAAGGTTGAATATTGACTAACAAAGAATTGAGAATTCAATGTATGAAATCCGGCTGGCTGAAAAGTTATTGCTACATCATAGTGATGCCTAACAGTAAACTGACAACTTAAAGATATTGGATTTTTCTACAAACGTTTGTTTCGCGTATGTACTGCGAAAACTAAATTATTCCCACTTTTAAAATAAGTTTACCATAGATGTGGACGAAATTTTTAGTACATATGACCAAATCAAATCGCAAATGATATAACTGGCCATTTTATTTTGTTCTACAGCTAATGAATAGCTATATAAATGGCATAAGTCACAAAAAATAACCTTTTGGGAAATAGGAAATAGGAAGATTGAAAAAGTTTCCAATAAATTATTTCTATTTAGGTACATAAAATTGATGTTCTGAAAAAAAATGCAACGTTTTTTTATAATTCGCTATTTGAACGAATATGCACAATAATTATATAGAATTATTTTTAAATTTCCATGTACATTTATGAAAGTGTCTATTCGAAAATGAGAATTAAGCTAAAAACTTGTATCACAGTAACATCTACTCAATATCCATAGGATCAGCCTCCCTACATTTTTTTATCCATAAAAAGCAATTCAATTGTACTGCTATGTTGTAAAATTCTATATTTACGTACATTTCTAGACACTATACTATATAATACTATATTCATATCCCTACATTTATACATGATACTTTTTACTTTGATAAAGAAGTATTATTTTTTCAATAACGTGTAGGATGTCAATTGTGAACTGTTTTATTTAGTCAATAAAGTCAATATAGGGTTTTCTAAGATTTTAAGCTTATGACCTGACATTTCTGAAAGTACACAAATGTGATAAAATAAAATTATAATCCTATCTCACTTTTCCCTGTTCTTGATATTTTTCAATTAGTCCATTGCCCAGTTCTCAGTACCTTATTATTTTTCCAATTGATTTCACTCAAATTTATCCCAGAATCTTGTATATCTTGATAATGAAAATCATCATTTAATTTCGCTTCTTTAAATCTTTCGTCTATAGTCAATGAAGCATGTCTTGAATTTGCCTAAAAACGAAAATATTTTAATTTGTGGGTACTATACCTTTTGCCTCTTAAATCATAATGAAAAAAAATATTTGTGTCAATAGCTGTCAATTGTCATGCGTTGTCAGTGAGGTTATTTTACTTACTAAAAATAAACAAAACATTCTATTTTGAATATTTGTGAGCAAATTCACTTAATATAAGTTACATTTATCCGAACTGTAATTATAAAATTATAATTGTGGCGTCCAATAATTATCCTAAGGTACTACATATACGTTATAGAACGAGCACTGAAGTTACTTATACACAACAAACATACAACCATAAAAAAGTATAGAATGTAGATCGTTCTTAAATTGTTTAAAAAGTTACATATACAATGTTGAAATCCTAAACGTTTTTTTGTAGAGGATGTTAGATGGGTGGTACTGCCGTTCAATGGCGAACATGCAGGCAAGCGAAGGGGCCAGTGGTAGCAATAGTGCCTCAGAACCGACACGAACACACGACTCGCAGAAGGGATACTCCAGTGACAGCAGTAGTGAACCTGAAGCGGAACCAAACTATAGTGCTCAATATTTGGCATTAAAAAAGAAACTCAAGTATCTTATTTATGTAAGATTTGTATTCATTACTTAAATATTATTGAGCTTGAGTACACAGCTAGTGTGGAATATTTACTTAGGTATGCTAAGCATTTAAGTGGTATATATGTTCATAACTTCAAATGCTTACAGCTGTTGTCAATTTTTGGAAGGAAATATGTACCCAAAACATTTTCACAAACAACTTCCACAATTAGAGAGTAATACTTAATAGTATTAAGTTAATACTATGTTGGCTGTTTTGATTTTATTTGATTTGATTCCCTACAACCCAGCAAAGGGTAATAGGAAAGTGTTAATATTACAAATGAAAATCGGAATTTCAAAGCAGACTGGTTTATTTTTGCATCAACCTGCCCTTTTATTATGTGACTTAATATCTATACATAACAGAAAGAAAGAGAGAAAGAGAGGGCTGTCAATGATACTACCCATATAGTGTAAAACAAATGCTTACAGGAGAATGAATGTTTTCAAGATGCTTTAAGAAATAGTCAGAAGAGGTTATTAAAGGTTTCTCGGGACCGTAGTTTTTTGTTGGATAGACTATTGCAATATGAAAAACCAGAAAGCACAACTTCAGAAAGTGAAGATACAGAATCTTCAGATGATACTGATCACATACAAATGGAAATAAGTAAAAGGTATGAATTTTTAAATTAAAAGCTTCATTTAAAACCTTGAATTGTATTGTCTTCTATGTATTGTCTTCATATTGTCGACATGTAATTCTAGTTATTCTATATTTTTCACAGATAAATAGTCTCTTATCTCATTGGTTGACAGAGTGCTAGAATTAATTAAATTAATATGACAAATCATCGCTATTTTTGTTATATATCCATAATACATCTCCTCTAAAACAAATCTCACTCCACACAAACTAACACCAAACAGGTTGTGTGTTATTGTATAATATATGGTTTGCTCATTTATTTTGCACCAAATGTTGTCACATGTAATTAAGTTCCATACACCAAAACTTGAAGTGCAATTTTGATAAAAAGGGATTCCCGATTTCCTACAATATGACACAAATCCTTTAAATTTGACTTACATAAAATCATATATCTCTTTCAATGTTCTGTACTAATAAAAGGAGCACTGATTCTGTTTTGTTATGACAGATAGAATTCATATGTATTTTTGTTGTACCTATGTAGTTTTTTTGTTTGCCAAATGACAATAATTTTACTTGTTGTGTAAAAGTTTTTAGTGAAACAGTAATTATTAGTCCTATGACATTGAATGCTGTCAATGCTGCAAAGTTAATACTTTGATATATGAAGGCGAAATCTAAATTCTACAGCATAGAATCTTACCCAACCTTCAAAGCGAAGGGCACGATTATTCACAGAAATAGGAAGATAGTCATCCAGGTGCGGTCAAATCTACCAAATCCCTTACTATCACTAATACAATATTACATAATATTTTAGTGAAGTTCTGCAGTGATTAATTCTATAAATTAATTATTACTAAGCAGCTTTACAAATATTTATATTTAAAAATTATTAAAGTTTTACTAAGATGATTTTTATTTTTGATCCTCAGAAAGAAAATGGAAGTTGGTGGAGTTCAACAAAATGCATCGAATAATTCAGCACCAACCAAGATCACAAATGCTGCAAAAAGAAAAAGAGCAGTACCGGCAAGGAAACCAGCTAACACCAATCATACAGTTCGTATTTTTTTGCTAACTATCTTTACATTCATTTGACACTGCCTAATGTCGTNAAGATGATTTTTATTTTTGATCCTCAGAAAGAAAATGGAAGTTGGTGGAGTTCAACAAAATGCATCGAATAATTCAGCACCAACCAAGATCACAAATGCTGCAAAAAGAAAAAGAGCAGTACCGGCAAGGAAACCAGCTAACACCAATCATACAGTTCGTATTTTTTTGCTAACTATCTTTACATTCATTTGACACTGCTTAATGTCGTATAAAATGCTTTGTATGAAATCTTTTTATCAAGTAGTACTTAACAGATAGTCCAGGTCGAAATAAAATAGAAAAAACATTGAATGAATCTATAAATAAATTTGTGTTGCAGTTTTCTATGAATCCATAAATGCATTATGTTACCTAAAAATTATATTGCGAAATTTTACACAAATATATATTTGTGAAATAAATATATCATAATATTAAACTTGAGAAAATTCAAACATAGTTTCAATAAATTTGAAGTCAAATGTATGAACCTAATTTTGTCGTAATTCAATTAATTTTGTTGAGAAGTAATTTTAAAGTCGTCGTGGCCTAAAGGATATGACGTTCGGTGCATTCGTATCTAGAGATACACCGGTGTTCGAATCCCGCTGGCAGGCATCAGTTTTTCTAATGCAATACGTACTTAACAAATGTTCTCGATCAACTTTCATGGTGAAGGAATAGCATCGTGTAATAAAAATCAACCTGTAAAATTATAATTTGTGTAATTACTGGTGGTAGGACCTCTTGTGAGTCCGCACGGGTAGGTACCACCACCCTGCCTATTTCTGCCTTGAAGTTGTAATGCCTTTCGGTTTAAATGGTGGGTCATCCATTGTAACTATACTGAGACCTTAGAACTCATAATCTCAAGGTGGGTGGCGGCATTTACGTCATGGACTCCGGTAACTACTTAACATCAGGTAGGCCGTGAGCTCGTCTACACACTTGAGCAATAACAAATAAAAACTAGCTATTTGGTATTGTACCTAAATTTTTTTTAATTAATCTAACATTGAAAATATCTGGTTCTAGCAACAAAGCAGTGTCGCAATGTTGAACAAGGTTTCTCCTGCCCTTGGTTTCGGGCTGTCACCAGGTGACGGGCACATGACACCGGAAGAAGTGGAACGACATCTACAGTCGCGACAATCCTATTTGGAACTCCTGCCAGAACGTGCACCGCCTACTGTACCCACCGAGATGTTCAGTAATGATCCATCTTTAGATAGGTACATTTTAATTTTTTATTTCTATACATGTGTTACCCACCTATCAAAGAGAGTACTGACCTTGAAAGTGTCTGGCAAAAGGAAGAGAGGCCGCCCCAGAACAACTTGGCGTCGCTCGGTGGAGCAGGAGCTAGGGGTTTTTAGGAAATTTGATTCGAGCCCTACACCCCAGCAGAGGGTAATAGGAAAGAATGATGATGATGATGATGATACGATGTGTTAGACAACCAATTATACAAAAACAATTCATTATGAAAATTAGACAGACCCACAATGTAGTTTTGTTGAAAATTTAAGAACATTTTTTCAAAATTAAAATACTTACTTCAAGATTAAATTTATCGCTTTTCATAGTTTAAGTCAAATAATTTTCATGACTTTAATCTGGATCGGGGTGTATTTGAACTATTCCCAAAAACAAAGACATTTACACAGTTAAAACATTGTTTGAATTTAAGGTTTAAAAAACCCATTGTGGCGTGTGGGCAGTCGAGACAACTAAAAGCATCCTCCTTAGTTTTACGTGTTCATGAAATATGAACTTAAAAAAACGAAAATTAATTTTTTTACTCCCTACCTACTGCCTACTGTAACACAAAGAGCTTAATTGGAGCTTCACCGAATCTGTAAGCGAGCTCACAGGGCTCAGCCTGAGCGACTTTGCTAACATCTGTGAGACATAAGGGCAGTGCTTCGCTGAATCTGCCACCGGATCACAGGCGCGACCCGCTGAGAAGATCTGGCGAGAAACTCATTGGGCTGTGTCTCTAGGAAATACATTAATGTTGTAGGTCGTATGCTAAAAGAAGAAAAGCTACACGGTAGGCAGCGATTTGGTTCTGCCCTTGGCATTGTTGAAGTCCATAGGCGACGGTAACGACTCATCATCAGGTGGACCGTATGCTCGTATGCCTGCAAGGGCAATAAAAAAAAAGAAAAAACTTGGTGTGGCCTTCGAAGGATTGACGTTATTTCAATCCAGTTCTAACTTCAGCATCATTTTCAAGTTGCGCAATAATCAACTGGATAAATGAATGTTGGTCTACAAGTTTTTTCATTGCTAAAATCACTGCGTATCACCAAAAGTATCCTATAGTTTTCTCAAAAACTACTCAACTCCTGCTTACCTATAGTTGAAGTCTTATCACTTCTCTAATGTCTTTCAGTAAATTAAATCAAAATATATATTTATTTTTAATTACAATAATACAATCCCGAATTAATTGAGGACAACGAACACGATTAAATTAAAAGCGCTTCGTTTTTTAATATTTGGCTAGGGTATTTTAAAAAGAAGAGGACAAGAAAGATTTTCAATAGAAATAATGTTTTATCTTTTGTTTCAGTGAATCAAACGACGTATTAGAAAATTCGCCTAACGTAGAAGAATGGTTCGATTAATTACGTGTGAAGATATAAATTGGTGGTTTTGCAGGGTTGTGAATTTTAATTAATACAAAAGATCCTGGTCTAAATTATAAAAATAGCATACTTACATCCAAATAAATTTTATACATAAATTCACTTTCGTATTGATGTCCTCCATTAAACATTGCATACCTACAATTTTCACCCCTCACGATCAACCCTTATTTTTTATTTGTTAATTAAAAACTTAAATTTTTTGGCAAGATTTTCTTTTTGATTTTTATTTTGTCATCAATTAAAATAAAAAATCTGATGTTACTCTCAATTTTTCATCCCTCTATGATCAACCTCTATTTTTTATTTGTTAATTATAAACTTTAATTTTTTTGGCAAGATTTTTTATTATTTATTTTGTCATAACTTAAAATAAAAAAATCATATTACTCTCAATTTTCACTCTTATACGATCAACCCCTATTTTTCCATCCCCATTTTAAAAAAAATTATTCTATGCACAGATACGCAATGAGGTGGCAAGATGGCATCAAATATTATAATAATTATAATATTTGATTGTAGTACGATAAATTCTTGTTCAGAGCCTATAATTTCAAGTTCCTTTAATTATGATTTTTTTTAAATAAATTCAATTTGTTCTCCCGCCCTCGCCGGTCGACTACTGATCAACTATCAATCGATCAGTTATCCCCGCCAGGTGTTACCACTCATCAAGCAAACATCACGTAGTAGGGATGAGGACGAAGCCGGTCTCCTGTCTTACTCACTATACATTTTTCAGCCGTTTTGTTGGTTTTATTTGTGTATCAATAGTATGTTCAGTAGGTCTACAACATCTATTTTTCATACCCCTAAATGATAAGGGTTGTCCACCCCAAACATTAATTTTTTTTTTTTTTATATTTTTTTTTTCTTATAATGAGGTAGGTATTATGTGGTTGAATGAGGTTTTTTTTTCTACACTAGAATTTCCCTACAAATCTTATTTAAGGCAACAAAACGTTTGCCGGGTCAGCTAGTATATATATATATACTTAAAGGTATGTATTTATTTTAGTTTAAGACGTAGAGAGAAGTAATAACAAGTCTAGGTTGAGTAACACCCATAACTTCTATAATTTATGGTTTTTTACAATAAACACTGATATGTGATTTTGCCAAAACGGCAATATGCATCAACAGCTTAATGTTCGGACTTTTCACCTTGTGAATATCACTCGCAATTTCCAGAGAATAATTGGGTTTATTTTCACAGTTTTGAGATTAAACCGGAAAAGTGTCTTTAGGTAAATCATTACAAAAATGAGGCCAGTCAAGGCCATTCGAGCTGGGCGGCCGGACGGGCTGCCGTACCGAGGCGGCTTTCGTTTCAGAACCTTTGATTCGCCTCAAAGGCTACGTCGGCCGGGCGTCCTTGGGGTGAGCTGCGCCGTCTAGTTGTAGTGTTGACCGAGGTAAACCCTTACCTCATCCGGGTTCTGACCTCGGAGGGGATCGGTCGCTTAGGCGAAGAGTGCGGAGGAGTCGTTTAGTGGGTAGGGTCCTGAAAACATAATTGGATCCCCAGTTTCGCATTGGCGGACCAGTCTCACATACCCCGGGCGGACCCTAGGCGCGGGGTTCTCGTAGAAGGTTCGGTTCCAGGTCCGAAAAAAAAGGCCACTCGAGCTACTACTTCCTTTTCTTTCACATCATCCGCTTCTATCAGTAGTATATTCACATTCTCTTTTCTAACTCGTGTTTGGGTAAATTTGCAAATTTGACTTAATCACAGGAAAACGATATTGCGGTATCAGAGCCCACAAGCAACGTCAACACCGCCGTCCACTTTGACGGTGTTCGGAAACGGGCTAGTTTTTTGATAATTTCTTGCTGCAATATTATAGTATAGCCGCCAAGTTGCTGATTATATACCTCAACACAGTGCAACAATTGCTGTAATATTGCTATATAGCCCGGCGATATTGTCAATATATTTCATTATAGTTGCAAGTATTTAATGTCTAGCCGGCTATATTACAAATTATTTATCCCGCTTTAAATTCACTGTGATATTGCAGTATATCGTCTTTGCTGATCTCCATCTCTCCAGGTCCATCTCTTTTCCGTCGAAAAGAATAATAATAATACTCGAAGTCACTTCTGGACATCCCAGTGAAGTTTTGAAACAGATATTTATCGAGAATCAGCTCCTTGTTAAGATTAGTTATGGTTTCTCGTTTGTTTAAATATGGCCGGATCCACACTCTTCTTCTAGGTTTCGGTTTCTTTAAGCGATGACACAAAATAATAAAAGCTGCAGCAACGGCAACATCTTCGGTATCCACAATTTTGTCCTGCGAGATCCAGTCGCAATATGCCCCACGTGTACGAGCAAAACTCCTCACCAATCCAGTTGCCGAATCTTGAAAGGCAACACTTTGCAATGTATTGCAAAATAAAATTGCAAATATAACAGTAATATCGGTCAAGAAAAATAGCCAACAAGATGCAATTTTTATAGGTCGTTTACGAGCGCCTTAAGGCATGAGGTCGAAGTACCCGTCTCAAAAGAATTTAGTTAAACATAAACGCGATTCCATTTTATTACCTAATAATTGTTGTAAGCAGTAACATATTATTTTATTCAGTGTTTATCATTTTTATCAGTGTATGTCCATCTGGTATTGGGTGTAACATAATAGGGACATTGTAAAATGCCGTGGTTAAATTGGATAAATATTTTATTAGGAATAGTTACAATATCATTTAGAAAGCGCAAGAACAAACATCTATAACTATTAATGAATNATTTTATTACCTAATAATTGTTGTAAGCAGTAACATATTATTTTATTCAGTGTTTATCATTTTTATCAGTGTATGTCCATCTGGTATTGGGTGTAACATAATAGGGACATTGTAAAATGCCGTGGTTAAATTGGATAAATATTTTATTAGGAATAGTTACAATATCATTTAGAAAGCGCAAGAACAAACATCTATAACTATTAATGAATCACGCTCAGTTGCGAAGTTTCACAGTTAACAATAATCTTGCTTATCCAAGTGTATATTTATCAGTAAGCATGTAGTTTTTTTTCATAATATACATACAGTAATGCTATACCACATTAATAACAAGATTAAATATGTTGAATGATATATTATATTTAACTTATCTACCATGCAAAGAAAACTTTAGCATGCTACCAATTTTATAACATTTTATGTTTATAATACTAAAATATGACCTACAATTTGCTACATTCTACAATCTGTGGTAATATGGTACAAAATTATATGAAAATAAATAATTGTAATTTGAGATTCCTACAACTCAATGGTTACAACACAATCTCTATTCTAAAAATAATGACAGTGGATGACGCTTTGTGTACATTTTCTTTACACATTCACACGTTAACGACACTACAGAAGAATTTTGTTAATTTCAGAAGAGTTATAAAAGTCGTTGAGAAGTATGGAAAAAATCAGGAATGTGTCCATGTACATTTATGGTTACCCATTGTAACAAAATTCATAAAACTTAATAATTTTTTTACTATTTTCTTGTTGAATATTGAAACAATGCATATTTTTATTCTATATAAATTTCAACCAAATTATACTTAAGATTTGCAACAGATTTTTAATAATAATATGATGGATATATTATATACCTTAATAAATAAATCTAGTAACAGACAGTATACTTAGAAATGTTACTTCAGAGATAAGATATTTTCACAAGCCAAAAAATTTGTTTTTCTAATTTGTAATTTCATAACAACATCAAAAATCTACTTTGGTACACTTACATTTTAACATTACATTATACTTACGTATAAAAGAAGTACCTATTTAAAATTGGTAAATTATCTTCATTAATGGGACATGATCATGTTTTTTTTATTTATAAATATACAAAGCAGATAAATTTGATAAAAGGGTATCTTATCTGCAAACAATTTATTTTCTAGACAGAAAGTATTTTAATGTTAAAAATAAAACATGTAGAATTATGAAAATGATTTTAGGCTCAAATGCATTTATATATAATTTAAAAAAGAAAACATATGTATAATAAACATAAACCTGTCTTGATTTCTCAGTATGAATCAAACACAAACTATAGTGAGTTAGAAAAATATTATAATAAAACTAAAATAAATTCATTACTCTACTTAGGAGATTTCATTTGTCTTCTGCTAAAATGCAACATACTACAACTCTGCTCAAAATTGTACTTAGTAGTATAGCTACTCTACAACCTAAACTGCTAAGCATCAATTACACCATTTAAGTGTTTATCAACAATTTTATGTGTGATTCTAATCATATTTTCAAAACTGGTCAGCAAGTAAGTTGCAGATTTCTTGAGAAACTGACTCCTTACTAGATCGTATGGTTAGTCTGTACATTTGAGCTTGTTTGTTAGGTTCCAGTCTCATTAAACATCCAACTTGTTGCATCTTTGTATGGACAATGCCGGCACATACAAAGTTATCTGGATTAGGATCGATACCATCTAATAATTGCATGCCAAATCCAGCCAATTTTGTTCTTGTGCCAGTCAAATCAATCGGTCCCTGAGCTTTGAAAATCTTTTGGGCTCTCTGTTGTTCGCCTCCCAAATTTTTCCACCGTGCAAAGAATGATTCACCATTCATTTCAGTTGGTTCAAAGAATTTGTTAAGGGTGAGTGGGAGTTTCATTGTTATTTTCTGTGGTACATTGTTATATATAAATGAGACTGACATGCTTGGTACATCAGTAAAATCTTCTATACATTCAGCTGTCAACATTTGTTGGATTTGAGCACCTGCTTCCAATATAGGTTCCATTGGTTTCATTTGTACATTCAACTTATGCAAGTCAGTCCAATGTAACTCAGGATGGACATTCTGGATTGGAAATTGGGTTTTGTTGCCATAAAATAGGCCAATTCTGCCAAGATTTTGTCTGAACTCACTTTTAACACCAATTTGGATCAATTCATTTTCAAAAAGCACCCCATTGTTTTTAAACAAAAACTTTTTGATGTTATTTTGCTGTACAGTACTGGGGCTTATTTTTGTTGATGTGTACAAATCTCCAAGTACATCCAATAAGCCATTCCCTGTAGTAGGGGCTGCAGAACCAGGTGGTGTAGACAGTCCTAGGAGATCAGCACTGGAGCTATTAGTATTGTTAGTAGAATTTAGTATAGCAGTGGGAGCAACAGTGGGCAGAGGGCTCTTTGATTCTCTAACATCATCTGGAATACGACCTGGCTTCTTCTTTTTCAATACTGCTAAGATAGAAGATTCTCTTTCAGGGAAAGCAGGCATTTCTTCTAATACTGTGGCTAAAACATCTGTACTGGCTACAATACTAAGTTGCAAGTATTCTGATGCCCTTTGTTGCAACTCAACATCAGCTGAACGTAAATTAGAATCTGCCTTAAATACTTCTTGAACTCTATTTTTTATTTCTGGGAAAAGATTAACCAACTTTATATACGTTGATAACAATAGGGCTCTTGTTGCAACAGAACACAAATGGTATTTGGAATGTAGAAGTTCAAACTGAACTTGTGGTGATGATCTTGTATCTCCAGCTATCAAGTTACCAAACTCTCCCAGAATGTATCCTCCAACTTTAACCATATTCTCATGGCATGTTGGGGCTTGTAATGCTTCAAATACAGTTTTAGCAGCATATGCTTGAACTTCATCTCTATTTATTACTATTTGAATTACTCTGTACCAAACTTCTTCTGAGACATAATCACCAGCAATTCTTATAAGATTAAGAATTACATCCACATACCAAGTGAAATCTGTAGCATACTTTTCTGCTAATATAGCAACTTTTAACACCATTTCTTCTCTGATTGAATAATCAGCAGTTTCTAAATAAGCTAACATTTCTTGTACAATTTCTTCTGCATTAGTCTTATCACACATTGCATACAGAAGATCTACAGCCTGCTGCCTGACAGAAACATCTTTTTCCATTTTCATTGAGAGGATTACTATTTCTTGATGCTTTTTTACTGCTTCATGAGAAAATTCTGATGTAGCTAAATGACACATTGATTCAAGAGCTAAATAGCGCAAGTTAGTTTCACGATTACTAAGAAATTGTCCCAGCTGATTGCAAGCACGAACTAATAAGTTAGGTTCACTGTCGTTGTGTATAATAAGACTTATTGCTTCAAAAAGAACAGCATTCTTGGCATTGGAATGTTGCACTTTTTTAGATTTTGGTGGTTCTTGAGCTTTGTTGAATATTGTTTCTAGGCATTCTGAAAGACGTCCTCGAACTCCAGGTTCTTCAGATGGAGGGGTGTAGTTTTGTAAGAGGCGTAACAGTTTGACAGACAACCAAGGAGCAGGTACAAAGTAATATGTATAATCTTGTAAATCTGTGTAACTGGCAGTAACAATTCTGCTAAGTCGAGCTACAGCCAATGTTACACAACCCTTATACTCATCAGGATTCTTCTTTACAAGAGCATCAATCAAAGATGTCGCTGCAGTTACTACACCCATATGGGGGTCATTCAAAAGATGAATTATGCGAGAAGTCCACTCTCCTCCAGGTATTATCTCAGGAGATTTGCGAAATAAGCGAAGGAGGCAAAGTGCAGCAGATTGTTTCACTACATCCATGGTATCACCAGAGACAAGAAGTTTGGGTATTTCAGTACCAAAAGCTTCAGCCATATCTTTGCTACCAATGTTGGCAATACATTGAAGAGCTAAGTTTACATGAATAGGATTGCGAGACTGCAAGTCGTTTTTAATGCTCTGAATGATAAGTTTAATGAGGTCACTGTTGGTATTGACTAGGACAGATATGAAAAGGTATCCAATCTGTTTTTCGGAGTATTTATTGGATGAAAGTAAGTTTACTGCTTCCATGTGCCCGAAGTCGATATCATGTCCGAGCAGAAATATAAACAGAAGTTTACACACATACTTCTTCTTTTGATATCCATCTAGAGTTTTATCACCCTTAAACTTACTTCTTATATTTGCAAGCTCCTTGTTGATTCTCTTTATTTCTGCTTCTTTACTCTTACAGTTTCTTATGTCTGAGATAAAGACAGCGAGCCCTCGCATACCATCTCCTCTGACGGCAGGCATATTGCCAAGTGACTTATCGAACACCAGTTTTAAGCCTTTTCTTTACACTTTTTTAGAAATGAAATAGTTTAATTCTGCTAACACTATGCTACAAAGCGAACTACAAGAACCCGGTGTAAAATTTCAATAGCTATCGGCCGTCATTACGATTTAACCATGAAGATGAGCGCCCTCCGTTCGACAAATTCTACAAGTTCTACAACGCCTTCCTTTTTCCATAGATTGGAGGAAACGTCACAGAACGTTGTTTATGGATCAATATTGACCTGCACCTACACTTTCATACTTACGAATATTCGACTTTCAGATATAGGACATAAGGTCGGGTTTTAAAAAATTGTGTGTTCTCACTACTTAATTTGACAGCTGTCAAAAACAACGAGCAAAAAGTTTCGTTTTAAAGATGCCTCAGCCATGGATTGTGGAAATAATACCTACATTTTGTAATCCAAGGCGTTGCGCTTACTACATGAATTCGTACTTTTAATTTAAAGGTTTGTTTTTTTTTTATTTTTATTAATAGTATTATAAAATATAAAATTCGTTCGATGCTTTTATCTTATTTTGAGATTGCCTAGTATAAAAAAGTACTTAATCAAAATCGATTTTTTAACAAACTGATTTCAATTCATTCTAACCCTAGTCTCAAGCCTGTAGAGTTTGATTTTGTATTTTTCACTGAAGTAGGAAACCTAGTATTTTTCCAGGCCATGTAGTCTTAAAAAATACGGTATGTCATTTAGTACAGTGATACAGTGTCTATGACAAATAGAACTCACTCACGCGACACGACCACTAATGGTTGCATGCTATTGTTGTTTAGTCTGTGCTTAGAACGAGGGTACCTATGTTCAAAATATCAAATCAATTTTTATTCAATTACACAATTTAAATTCGGCTTATTCTACGTTTACGTACATAACATGGGGTTTGGTTGTTCATCATTTTGAAATCTTTGGTAATGAGTGCTTGGGTGTAAAAGGTCGGTGATAAAGTGTGAACTAACAATTAAACGATGCAGTCAATTTTCTGGACAGGCAGATTGCTCTCACGTGCTCTACGCAATGGACTCGCGAGTATTTCTAGTGCAGCAGAATTAAATGTTTTCAATAAGAAGCATCCTTATTTAGTTTCAGTGGTTTGTGGTTTTCCTAAAGACATTGCCAATGGGCGAACTCGTAAAGGACAGTTTGGTGACGACGCTTGGTTTGCAACTAACTTTCAAAATGCAGATGTAATTGGTAAGAAAATACACTGAAAAAACTAAATTTTACGTTGTATTTTTATATAAACACATTTTGTTGCTAGTTTCTAGTTAGATTGCTTTTTTTTGACATTACATTATACGATCTATACATGTATAAATAATACACGAAATTTATTTACATTTGTCCCATTGCAAATAAGNGACGCTTGGTTTGCAACTAACTTTCAAAATGCAGATGTAATTGGTAAGAAAATACACTGAAAAAACTAAATTTTACGTTGTATTTTTATATAAACACATTTTGTTGCTAGTTTCTAGTTAGATTGCTTTTTTTTGACATTACATTATACGATCTATACATGTATAAATAATACACGAAATTTATTTACATTTGTCCCATTGCAAATAAGACTAGCAGCTCATCTAATTAAAAAAATGTATGCTTTTACTGTAATTTTAGTGATATGCTGATAAATTGCCACTGTTTGGTGCTAATTTACTAATTCCACTGTATTTCGTTCATATTAAAATTAGGACAATTGCCAGTTCCCAGGACGATATTATAGATAGGTATTATTATTAAGTTAATGATGTGGTAACTGTCATTACATACACAGCTAAATTAACATGTATTTTTATTAAATTCAATTGGAAATTGTTAGCCTCCATCTTTGTACCACGACAGACCCACCTGATATATTTTTATAGAGAAACTGTATTGTATAATACATATTTAATTTCATAATGTCAATTTATAATTAGATATTGAATGTAATCTAACAACAATATTTAGAGAACACACAAGTAATTTCTTTAATCAATGGAAACTATTGAGTGAATTTGAATTATGTTGATTTGATTGAAAAACTTGATTGTTTTGAAAATAAATAATTGTTAGCTATTGACAAATTTAATATATTTAATTATTCACATGCTAATCTAAAGCCATTCACAAGACTATAGCTGTATTACTTTGTTACATTAATTCAGTAATCATATTGATTTTACAGCATTTGAGTCCTGCAAAATGTGTGGTAACATATAGAAGGTTATTTGGTTTAAGAGGTTTATTGTAATTAAAGGTGCACTTTATTTGGTACTAGCTGACTCGGCAGACTTCATAGTGCCTCAATCGATAAATAAAAGATCTAAACTTTTGTGTAAAATAAACTTAAAACAAACAAAATGAATCTGTCGTACTGGGGACACATCAAAGCAAAAAACAAAATTATTATTTTTATTTGCTTCTGAGCATTTTCATATTTATCTAAATATTTTAAACCTTCTCTGGACTTCCACAAATAATTCAAGACTAAAATTAGCCAAATTGGTCCAGCCGTTCTCGAGTTTTAGCGAGATTAATGAACAGCAATTCATTTTTATATATAGATTAGCATCAACAGTTTGATGTTTTTAATTGAACTACAATTAGGCTTACTCCATTTAAATAGCTGGAGAAGTTTTTTTGTTGATATTTTTTCCAAATTTTAATCTTTAAATGGCTCTCCTGTAAAATTCCAAAAATGACACTTAAATCCAATAAATAGCCTTTCACCTCTCGATATGGTCATTGATCACAAACAGGTAAAAATGAAAAAGGGATTCTTGTTCACTACAAGCTCTTAATAAAGATTATGCGACATATACTTAGTCTGGCCATAAATACTGTTACAATTAAAAGTAAAAATAAATCTATTGCAAATAACATTTATTACTTTTACAGTTTTAATACATAAATATAAAACAATTTAAAGTAAATAAAAGCTTATTCGAAGTGGTCTGCATTTGCTGCAATACTGTCCTTTAAACATTGAGGCCAGTTATCAATAGAAGCAATAAAAATTTTCACTGCCAATGGTACGGATTGTTTTAGGGACTCCAAATTATCATGGCGTTTAGAGCAAGCCGTACTCTCTAAAACTGACCATAAATCATATAAAAATGACAGATTCACAATTCAAATGTAATATTTTGTTTATTTTTAATTGTAACAGTATTTATGGCCAGACTAAGTATTTACAATGAAGCTAGCCTTTAGATAGTTGAATCAAATTTCAATTATATTGTAAACTGGTTGTCTGGAAGAATTCAATCTTTACAATAAAATATGTAGCTTTTAGTATAATAAGTAAAGTGTTAATAAATAAAGTAAGAAATACATTGTTCAACTCTTTGGCAGGTGTTGCAGATGGAGTTGGTGGCTGGCGAGCATATGGAATTGATCCTGGTGAATTCTCATCATATCTCATGCGAACCTGTGAGAGACTAGTCCAAATGGGTCATTTTAAGTTGTCAGAACCTGGAGACTTGCTAGCCAAATCCTATTATGAGCTATTAGAACACAAGAAACCAATATTAGGTAATTTATTATTGAAATTTGTTAAGATATAAATACAGATTGTAATGTCATAATTATCTATATGACCATTTTCGAGAAGTGCTTCTTAAAAGAACAATGAAAACAAAAATATTGAAAATTTTATGCTAATATCTCATTCTCATGCCATCATTTTCTCAAATGATATATTGATTCATAATTCAGGTGTCTGTAGTGTAATGAATAAGGTACGCAATTTATCTGTATTGAGTGATACAACTGCTATTTCAATTTGATGGGCAAAAAATATGTTGAAGGCTCCGGCCGCAGCCATAGTCATCACATACGTACTTCTTAGACATGATTCTGCGCCAACTGTATAATGGCTCTCATAATCAGGGGGGGGGGGCTTATGAAACAGGCAGGTGGTACTTGCAGGTTATGCTAAAGATTAAATCCTAGGACAGGGTTAGGTGCCCAGATTACTCATGGGAGCAAGTATAAATTTGTATGGACCTGACATGTGTGAGACAAGAATAATAAATGACGTAGATGTAAGTTTGTCTCTTCGTCCTGTTTTGGCTGCGAAATAGTAAAACAGTCCTTTTATCAGTGAAACTGAGCCTTCAACCTCTTATCTTAAGGTTGGTGACCAACTATATAGGCGATGGGCTCATCTGTCCATATGCAGCAATAAAAGTTGAGGTTTTTAAACATAGAAACAGGTAAATAACTGAAAATTTTGAATCTGGTGGAAGGTGTTATTTTAACCAAACATTTTGTCAATAACTTAATAGAAATTGTTGTTATAATTGCTATTGATGCAAAACGTATATGTATACAAGGACAGTTGTGCAAGTACGTACAAATTAGACGCTCCGGCTTCATTTATAAGTCGGAAACAATTCATAAACACGTGCGGCGTATGTGTCTGTCATTCTAGTTTTATCCGCCTTATGCAGATATAGCGAGATATGTCCAACCATCTGTTTTCCGAGAAACAATAACCATCCAGACTGTAAGTTCAGGTTTTGTTGGAAGCAGTTTATTAAATCTGATAGATTTTCAAGGCAAAGTTTGTCGCATCTTAACAATAACCGGCTACCGTTTTTTTAATAGGAAACGAATTAAACGATATTTGTGTAGTATACATTTATTATTATGTGATTCGAATTTGTCGCGAACTCAATACATATTTTTGACAGAAATACAAAAGGTGTGCTTGGTGCAAGTTTTTTGACGTTCTCGTTAGCGTAAAAACTAATTATTATAGAGTTGGAACGTTTCTCTACGTTTGCCGCTAGGGGCGCTGTTCCAACTGCAATATTATTATTATTATTATTAACACTTTATTTCAGTTTTTTTTTTTAAAACCATAACATTTTGTTAGTAATAATTACTTATAATCTATGTTAGTAACTTAAAAAAAAAAATCTAACACATAACTATCATTATATACATTTTATACCATTATATATTTTTTTTCTCCTTCCAAGTGCCTACTGCAAAGGCTATTGATCAGCAGTCCCTCGATCTTGCTCGATATGATTCTTAAAAGACTGTTGCCACTGTCACGAACTCGACGCAATAACGATGCACTTCTCTTCCGCATTATTGCAAAGAAGTCATCGGTGTGAGATGTCGCAAACATTGTGNCTACTGCAAAGGCTATTGATCAGCAGTCCCTCGATCTTGCTCGATATGATTCTTAAAAGACTGTTGCCACTGTCACGAACTCGACGCAATAACGATGCACTTCTCTTCCGCATTATTGCAAAGAAGTCATCGGTGTGAGATGTCGCAAACATTGTGGATGCACTACAAAAGCGCGGCAGTGACAACATCATCCTAAACGTCATCGTCCTAAATATAAATTTGAGTTTTTACGCTACCGAGAAAGTTAAAAAACTCGCACCAAGCACAAGGATCTTTAGATGAATTGAAATTATTCTGTTTTGCAGGTAGTAGTACAGCGTGCGTCATGATTTTGGATCGCAACGAGAGCTTAATGCGAGCAGCAAACATTGGCGATAGCGGTTACATGGTTGTGCGAGGCGGCCGTGTCGTCTATCGCTCACACGAACAACAGCACTATTTTAATACGCCATACCAATTGAGTTTACCGCCTCCGGGACACGACAGGAACGTCCTCAGCGATAGGTAATTGTTTGGTCTCTACGGCAGTTACTCAGCTCTCGACTATACGGTTTTTTTTCTTTTTTGTTTTTTCTTTTCTTGAATGGGTGGACGAGCTCACAGCCCACCTGGTGTTAAGTGGTTGCTGGAGCCCATAGACATCTACAACGTAAATGCGCCACCCACCTTGAGATATAAGTTCTAAGATCTCAGTATAGTTACAACGGCAGCCCCACCCTTCAAACCGAAACGCATTACTGCTTCACGGCAGAAATAGGCGGGGTCGCGGTACCTACCCGCGCAGACTCACAAGAGGTGCTACCACCAGTTTATGAGTGTCGGTAACCGCTCACCACCAATGTGCTTATAGCGAGTTTTTTAACGTTCTCGATAGCGTAAAAGTTAACTCGTATTTGTATGGAGTTGGAACGTTTGCCTACTTTTGCCGCTAGGGGCGCTATTCCAACTGCATTCAAATTTGAATTAACTTCTACGCTATCGGATACGTTAAAAAACTCGCACTAAGCACACAGGTTGAATAACGTAATAAACGACGTTAAAATCGATTCAGTTCACGCATTCAAGGACTTAAAGGCAAGATAATATTAAAATAATAAGCTAATATATAATAAGCCAATAAGCAAAGGGGCGTATACAGAAAGTGGTCATTCAAGATACAGCACGTATTGTAACGTTGCTCTGGCGACCTAATCACTTGCAGCGGGTCGTAGGAAACGCCACCTGTGATAATATGTTTTTCAAACGCTATTTATCCGTCCTTTTTTAATAATATAATATGGTTCTTTGTTTTATTATTTTTTATATTAGTTATATTAGTGGTTACCAGAGCCCATAGACGGCTACAACATAATGCCGCCACCCTCCTTCAGACATGAGTTCCAAGAACTCTGTTTTTACAGTACAACGTCTGCTCCACCATTCAAACAGAAACGCTTTACTATATTATATACAAATGCTCCTGGCGTCTTAACCTTTAGCCTTTAGACCAGGGGTTCCCAAACTTAATTTGTGTACGGCCCACTTTGAGAATAAATTATTTTTCTAAAGCCCCCCCTTTTTTCACCTAATTAAAAAACCACTATAGCGAGAGCTCAGTTGTTGTCTAAGAGTCTTCCTAGATGAAATTTCAAATGTCCTCCCAAGCCCCTACACAACGCCCCTTTTTTTTTTTCTGGGTCTCTTACCGCCCCCCTCTAGGCCTATAGCGCCCACAAGGGGGCATTATCGCCCACTTTGGGAAAGGCTGCTTTAGACCAGCAAGACATCAGAAGATTCGATAAGATTCAAAAAATTTCATACCTACCTAATCAATACTTGGGTAAATGCGATCGCTAGTTCCGGTGCGAAAGATGGAACGGCCGTTATATGTAATAGATAATTGAGACTTAAGACCTCGTGTCTAAGCAATTTAAAAACAGAAGACTAAACACAGATGATGATATAGTAGGGTTAACAGTAATATCTCGAGAATATAATGTGTGATTTGATTACAAATGTATAATCTGTATCCCGCATCCGTAATAACATTATCACGTGCTCAGGTTTTGCGTTGCCGCCAGCAATAATCATAATTCATAGTTAGCTTTCAATAACGGTAAATATGGTAAACACTATCTCTTGATGTTGTGAGATGTGAAGTAAAAGGTTAAATCAATAAGTGATGGTTGAGTAAACAGCGTTCAAGGTTATTAATTTTATCAGTGTATTCCGTCGTTTATATACCCACAAATCCGGCTCAATATCAACCGCATAGATCTAGCGTTTTGTTTTAGGCCCGATTCGTTCACAAATTTAACCCTCAGACACAGCCCACTAAGTTTCTCGCCGGATCTTCTCAGTGGGTCGCGTTTCCGATCCGGTGGTAGATTCTGCGAAGCACGGCTCTTGCTAGGGTTCGTGTTAGCAACGTCGTCAGGTTTGAGCCCCGTGAGCTCACGTACTAGTTAAGGTTCCGCTGAAATAGCCTCTCAAGGCTATCAGCTTAGTTAGGAAAAAAAATATCACAAATAAGTAACCGATGAAATATAATAAAAATCGAAAGCTCTTTAAATTATTTCAATATATCTGTTATTCGCTCTCGTAGTAAACAGAACAATAAATTAGTGTACAGAACGGTTTAATAACATTTCGTTCTGTTATAAAACTCGCCCCTCCCACAGCGAAGTCGAGGCAGTCATGTGCCCATTCCGTAAATACAGAGTTGTTGTATTTCTGCCTCCACTAATATTAGAATTTTTAGCTCATTGGATGTTGGCCAACTATTAATTCTCACGTGCTCTCACGTAATTTCATGTATACATATGTATATACCATGTGCAATGTCACGGAAATTCATAACAGTTTAAATAAATGGTCTGTCCACAAGAATAGTATAAAAAAATCTATTGGTATATACCGATAATATTAAAATTACTTTATTGATTTTATACATATAGATACAATGAATACCAATACTAACGAATCCATATTCATCATTAATTAAAATATTTTTTAAATACCCAATTAATATTTTTTGTTACATTTATAACGGAAATACTGGTGGTAGGACCTCTTGTGAATAGGTACGTACCGCGCGGGTAGGTACCATCACCCTGCCTATTTCCATTCTATTGTATAGTATTGAATTTCTATTGTAACTATACTGGAATCTTAGAAATTATATCTCAAGGTGGGTGGCGTATTTACGTTGTAGATGTCTATGGGCTCCAGTAACCACTTAACACCAGGTGGGCTGTGAGCTCGTCCACCCATCTAAGTTAAAAAAAAAGCTTTAAATAGTACCTATTAGTATATTATTATTACTAGTATAATAGTAGTGGATTATTAAACAAGAGTGCCATCTCTATTCTGTTACAATTGCTGTTTTATATTTAGATGCTATTTAATTTGTTAGGGTGACCTTAATGTTTAACTTTTGATACGTGGTATCATACATCATATTATTCACTTTATTATTGAAGTTTAGTTGTTACCTACACAATCGAAAGTCGAAAGATGTTTCGCCTATTTTGACCCAAGTCAAACTCAAGTATTTTTACTATTGTTTAGTAATAATAATAATACACTAATTTAATCTATACAAATAAATAAAATTGAAGTGTCTGTTTGTAATATTAAAATAATCATTTTTAATACATGAATATGAATGTATATACGACACATATTATACCAAAAGGACATTTTCTATAATTTTTGTCTGTCTCTCTGTCTGTTTGTTCCGGCTAATCTCTAGAACGGCTGGACAGATTTCGACGGGACTTTCACTGGCAGATAGCTGGTATAACAAGCAGTAACTTAGGCTATTTCTATTTTGTTAAATTTCACGTGGACGAAGTCGCGGGCACAGCTAGTGAAACATAAAAACAAATAACAAAAGAGCTGAAATTCTTGAATATTTAATTGACAGGCCGGAATCAGCGGACACAGCCGAGTTTCCGGTGGAGTGCGACGATGTGATCCTGGTGGCGACGGACGGAGTTTTCGACAATGTCCCCGAACCTGTGCTGGTCGCAGAGATGAGACGGGCCCAAGGGCTCGCCGCGGACCCGCAGAAGCTGCAGTCGGTAGCCAACTCCATTGCGTGGATGGCTCGCAATCTCTCATTCGACGGTTGCTATATGTCGCCATTCGCAAAAAGCGCCAGACAAAATGGCATTGATGCTATAGGTGAGTTTTCGAATTTGGAAATTTAATAACTAGAAACTGGTAGGCAGCGGCTTGGCTCTGCCCCTGGCATTGCTGAAGTCCATGGGCGAAGGTAACCACTCACCATCAGGTGGGCCGTATGCTCGTCTGCCTACAAGGGCAATAAAAAAAAAGAAAGAAAAAGTTTTCCAACGAAAAATATTGTTGATGAAATGAATCAATAATAGATCGTTGTTGAAACAATAATCGAAATTGAAGCAAAACAAAAAATCATTGACACCTTGTAATTTAAATTAATTTTATCTAACGCATCTTCTCTATTGTTTTACTGTTAACATTTTAAAGAAATGAAGAAAAAAAACAATGTACCGATTTAAATTATTTTAAATTATTGATAATACTAAAGCTTCGTTAATAGCTCCTAAAGGAAAGAGAAAATCGATTAACAGCTATAGGAGAAAATTGTATTTAAATGTCCGTATTAAAACTAAAGTGAAGACTTAAAAATATTAATATATTTTCGCACATTTGCAATATAGGAGTGGGGGATATGGGACCACCATTCTGGGCTACCAGCGTACTGCCTATGCATTAGTTTAAAGGATCTGACAAGTATTATCTATACATATAAATAAAATTGGAGTGTCTGTTTGTAGTATTGAAATAACCGCTCTTTACTACATGCATATGAATATATATACGGTACATACACCAAAATAACATTTTTTTCAATTTTTGTCTGTCTGTTTATTCCGGCTAATCTCTGGAACGGCTGGACCGATTTTGACGGGACTTTCACTGACAGGTAGCTGATGATATAAGGAGTAACTTAGGCTACTTTTTTTAGACTAGCTTCGCCTCGCGGCGTCACCCGCGGTACGACAATAACCGCGGGTAACGGTCGCGGGACTCAACTATCAATAATAAAATTTAATGTTTCCGAAGCGAAGCGAGGGCGGGTCGCTAGTTATACAATATAATTGAGACTTCGATCTCATGTCTCAAGATTGGTGGCGGCCATCATGTTGTAATGTGTAGATGTCGTAAGTTCAGACATCAATTTCTTAAAAAAAATCATATTAACCAAAAATATGAAATGAATATTACTTTCAGATTGCATATGCATGCAATAGCATACGTTAAGGTAGTAAATTTTAAAAGAATCACGAAATATTGTTAATGTTAGTATAAAAAAAAGCTACAATCATTTACTAATTTAAATTTTACATATGAATATTAATCCTATCTACTGGTCACTTTTTGGTATATTATCATGTCGTAATGCTGGCTCCTACTCATTTTGTTTACGGGAGCGAATCTACACTTAAGAAATTATCAGTATTTTTTTTAAAGAACAAAAGAAATTCCACGTTTGTGACGCAAACAAAATTGTTATATGTTAATACATTTATAAATACGGTTTCAATAGCCGCAGTTATCTGTTAATATTTTATCAAAGTCGATTTCAATGACAATTTTGTCCTACCCTGCGTATACGTTATTACTGATTCAAAAGATTATCTTCATTGTACGTGTGATGCTCGATAAAGGAATACATTTACAATTATTTCTGTAACGAAATTTGGCATTCGAGTACCTATTCAAATTAAATGTAGCAACAAAGGTACGATAATACTGGTGTTTATATAAAGAGTACGATGGTTCGTGTGAATGAATGCGTCAATTCAATCGTCAATCGGAACCACTATTTTCGTAACTGTTCGTGAAACCTTTTTTTTTTGTAGCGATTGACGAGCTTTAGCTCTTCGAGCTGTCTTATATTCCCTTCCGCGCGTAGTTGAAGTAACCTCTAAGGCTACCAGCGAAGAGGTGGGGAAATATTAAAAAAGGGTATTTTTTTTATTGCTTAGATAGGTGGACGAGCTCACAGCCCACCTGGCGTTAAGTGGTTACTGGAGCCCATAGACATTTACGACGTAAATGCCGCCACCTACCTTGAGATACGAGTTCTCAGGTCTCAGTATAGTTAATACGCCTGCCCCACCCTTCAAACCGAAACACATTACTGCTTCATGGCAGAAATAGGCGGGGTGGTGATACCTACCCGCGCGGACTCACAAGAGGTCCTACCACCAGTAATAAATCTTATATCTTGATGTTTTACGCTTTTTTTTTAATAAAATATATTTTACACTATTTTCAATTTAAATTTATAAAATTTTTTTTTTTTCGAATTTTATGCAAAGCGTGTTTTTTAGTATTTTTTTACTATTATTTATTTTTAATTTTTTAGTTAAATTTTCTATAAAAGCGTATTTTTAAAACTATTAAGTACTTTAACACCAATTCCTGCCTTATCGACGAAAATTATATAAATTGGCAAAAATCTTATTTTGCAAATTGAATAATGGAATAATCTTATCAAATTAGTGTATTGTCATCGGTCCTCGATAAATCTACAAAGTTTGAATGAAATCTGGCCGTTTAAAGTGGATCAAAATCGCGTCTGAAGGAGTCTGTTACAAACAAGTGAAGTTAATATAAAGCGTGTAAAAATAATGCTCCATTGCTTGCCTTGATTCCGGCCGTCTAAATCCGGCCGGCTAGGCGGCTCATCTAAAGTAAAAAATCAAACGTTATAAACGAAACGAAAAACGTTTTATCGTATTTTTCTTGGTCTGTATAACCGATAAAAAGAAAGTAACGAAGCAATTTCAATTATTTTAGTTCAACTTGTAAGTTATACAGTGCTACCTTGATATAACAAATCCGAAGGGGACAAGTAAATATTCGTTATATCAAATAATTCGGTAAACTGAGGTTTGTTTTATTAAGGTTAGATTTGTCTACCATTTGTTATGGCGAGTTAAAAAAAATATAGTTTTATTCACCTCAACATTACGTACTCATCTTGTTTAAGCGAATAACTTTTACTAATAAATGATAACACATTTTTATCAAATTACTGTATGTAATTTTTATTTTAAACAAATAGGTAGGTAAAAAATTGTATAATTTGATTAATAATCAAAATTAAATGCAGTAGAGTCCGTAAAAGTAGGTATCGAGGTGGGTTCATACATTATGTAGGTAATTTAATGTTAATAAAGATTCGCACAATAAAACTCACGAATTAAAGGTAAAAAAACAATAACGAGCAGCACTTTTTATAATACATTACGTCTCATCAAACAAAACACTGATTGTTTTACAAATAACACGTCTTTTTTTTTTTGGAAGGACGAGCTCACGCCCCCCCTGGTGTTAAGTGGTTACTGGAGCCCATAGACATCTACAACGTAAATGCGCCATCCAACTCGAGATATAAGTTTTAAGGTCTCAGTATAGTTACAACGGCTACCCGACCCTTCGAACCGAAACGCATTCCTGCTTCACGGCGGAAATAGGCGGGGTGGTGGTGCCTAGCCGTGCGGACTCCCAAGAGGTCCTACCACCAGTGATTACGCAAATTATAATTTTTGCGGGTTTGATTTTGTTACACGACGTTATTCCTTCACCGTGGAAGTCAATCGTGAACATTTGTTGAGTACGTATTTCATTAGAAAAATTGGTACCCGCCTGCGGGTTTTGAACACCGGTGCATCGCTACATACGAATGCACCGGACGTCTTATCCTTTAGGCCACGACGACTACAAAATCGTGTCGAAAGCTGTCGAAACTGATTCACATACTAGGGGTTTAAGGGTCATATTGGTGGGAATGTTCTAGAATGGTTTTGAACTTGACAATATTCGTTAATTAGGGGTATTTACACGTTTTTTATAGTTGAAAACATAAAGAGGTTGTTCGCAAGAAATCTTCGCAATGTATAAAGGTATATTTTACATTGACTCTTATGGACAATTCAAGGGGATTACGAAAAATTTGTTAATTCAAGAACGTCATTATTAGTGAAGTTCGTTATATTTTTAAGTTAAGGTTAAGGTTAAGGTTGCACTGGTTGCACACAACGTTAAGGTTGCACTGTCTAGATTATAGAATGAAAAAATGTCTTGCCATTAATCTGCTATGCCTGGACCACAGAGTATATCTACCTCTTCTATACATGTTTTAGATGTGAATTGAAAAAAAAAGGGATTTGTTTTATCAGACACACTAGACGGTATCCCCTTAAACAAAAAAAATCGTTACATTTAATTAGGTATATTAACCTAAAAATTATCCATACTTCTATATAGTCACCATGTTTTGCTTTTCTAAGTGTTATGTATGTACTTATGAATAATACTCTTTTCCAGGTGGAAAACCAGACGACATCACGGTGCTACTTGCAATCGTAGCGCTATGAAAATGTCTATTTGTGATTTACATAGGTACATTGTGAATAATACATTTTTGTTATCTTAAAAAAAAACAAAATTAGTTGTAATAGTTTATATTTATAGTGTAATGACGCCAAAAAGTTGAACAATTACTGTACATTTTTCAAAAATGTTTTTGTTTTCAATGGTTATATTTTGGAAGTGAGGGCAACCGTGACGATTGCATTCTCCAAACGTACGTCACGCTTTTTATTTGAAGCAATTGTAAATTATTCGATGGTTAGTCTTAAACGCTTTTTTTTCCTTTCAATCATCAGATAAAAATTATCAATCAATTAAAAAAATTATAAAAGACTAAATATAAAAATGTAACAAAATATATTGTTCATCCAGCTGTAATTTTTATGTGTTTATGGTTGTGTTTATTATGCAATTAATAATTTTTATCTGATAATTGAAAAATCAAGCCTAAATCATATAGGTGCAAAATATTGAAATGTTGTGAAGAATGATCTGATTTTCTTCTTCTTAGTATTGTGATTAAGTGAATGCTGCGTTTTAATTTGTAGCATCTAAAATAAATATGCTTGTTGGTCACAATGATGAATTCTAAAATACTTAATATAATTTAACTTGCTGATAGTAAAACAACAGTGCAATTTGAATTATTTTTGCTTTAGTTATTAAATTTTGAAAAACATTTTTACTTCGTTTCTGTAGAAAGAGTAAACATTTAGTATATTGTCTTATGATTATCTGTTACTGTGATTTCTCAATTTCATTGGCAACCACACACCAATAAAAAAACAATCTAACTATACATGTAACTATAAAGGATATTAAATAATCATCAAACTGATCTTCCAATTACTTTTCAATCCTAATTTCATACAATACCGATGGATTATATTTGAAATGTAAATTGTATTAATTCTAAGATTTTCAAAAGCTATCGCAAAACGAAATAATTTTTGCCTAATTGTTGCTCTAGTGTAAATCGATGAATAAATTGCTCGTAACGCATGGCCTCATATGACGTCACAGTCTGTTTGGTAATTTGAAAAATTTTCGATTTTCAGTTCCTTATTATGTATTCGGTAGTAGTTACAAATTATTCAGAAATAAGTTAGACAGATACAATGTGTTATTCATTCAATATAATAAAATCCTAAGTAAAATTAGTATTCAATATAATAATATTTTAATTCAAATATGTATTTTCAATATTGTCGTCGATGTGACTGAATAACGTCTATGTACATATTTATCAGATTGACAATGTACAGGATCAGTGCTACCGTTCAGTGTATCGTTCTCGGAAAGATATAATTAAAGACTGATAAATAATATTTATTGTTAAATTCGGATAATATTCGAGCTCCAGTGGAACTTAAAAAATCTAATTCTTTTAAGTAGGCACTAAAATGAAAGATTTTTGCGTAGTGCTATTTTAATCACGCATCTATGGTATACCGTAACACTGATGTCTTCAACTCATTATCATGTATACTCTCTATGTATCCGAAAAGGGTTCAATAGAAATGTTGACTCTTTTTATATTGATAAAGTTATGCTGCCCGGAAATCTAAAGTTTTTTTTTCTTTTTTAAATCCATGCAGAAATAAGAAATGTAGTGGTAGTTGTTAATTGACAAAAAAATATAAGACGAACATTTGGATTTCTTGCGTGACCCGGATTAAAATGTCCCAGAGAGCTGTCATGTGTTCATAATATGCACACTGTTTTTTTGATAGCGGTCTTTAATAATAATATATGTATTGCTACGTCAATTTACATCTGATTTCGATGCTGTTTTCACAAAAAATATTTCTTTTTGATAATGTTTGATGCTACATATAAAATAATGTGAAAAGAAACATAGGTAATATTCCTAGTTCTTAATATAACGGAATTAAATTCAATTCGAAAAAAAAAACGCTCATTGACAGTTTTTGTGTATAGAGAAGAAAAATGCTTTGATTTGTCGCCAAGAATACTGTTTGGTTGTATTTAAAGCAATGTCAGACAAGTGATATTCGTAAATCGTAATGAATGTTTGAAATACTGCAATAAATGAATGTGGAACTTGTTTACACTTTATTATTGAATCTTACTCCGACGCAAAAAAAAACATATTAAGGTCCACCTAATATTACAATACCTACTGATAATAAAATTGCATAGGTACTTTGTTTTCGTTAAATGTGTTTTATAAGCTCTTACTTAGAAGCTACCCGCTACAACAGTCATACCTATAGTGCACAGGGCTGTTTCAAAACTTTTTCTTAAATTTATAAAAGTAAATTGTTGTATAAAGAAGGAAAAAGAGCTCCATCTTCTCCGCCGAAGATAGGAAAACAAGTGTTAGATTGCCGTTTCCACTCTGTTGATATACGGCGTTGAGTCGACGACTAATGTTTTTATTGCATAGGCGGGTGAAGGAATTCGCGACCCATAAACATAAGTGGTTACTGGAACCCATAAACATAACAACATCACCTTAACATTAAAGCCTCAGATATATAATAAGCTGTCTTATCCTTCAAACCAGATTCCTGCTACGCGGTAGAATTAGGCAGAGTGGTACTTACCCGGGTGGGCTCGCAAGACGCTCTACCACTAGTAATTACACAAACCAGAATTTTTACGTTTTTTTTTATTTTATTCCACTTTTTTTCGCCTACCTATTGTTAGCCTTGAGAGGCTATTTCAGCATCTCCTTGACGTGTAAGTGAGCTCACGGGGCTCCAGACGGAGTGTCGCTAACACTGGCCCTACCTAGAGCAGTGCTTCACAGAATTTACCACCGGAAACGACCCATTGAGAAGATTCGGCGAGAAACTCAGTGGGCTGTGTCTATGGGTTAGTTTACTCGTCGAGCCCTTCGTCGCAAAGGCGACGGGTTCGGCGGGTGCGATGACCGGATATTTTAATAAAAGTCGCAGCAGAGCGTGACTATTCTATTATTTTGACAGTTTCACTGTAAAAAAACAAAATTTACTTAAAAAGTATATATTAATATCCCTTATCAATATCCAAACTATACACACAAATACATTTTATCGATTCATCCAGATAATATAACAACGGAATATGTTCCAACCAAAATGTAACAATCATTTGAATTTTTCTTAAATAACAAACTCAATAAAAACAACTTTAGTTAGTTTTAATCCTTAGCGAGTACAATGTACATAATATTTCATAGAATATTAATATAGTAAAATGAATATTTTTGATTAATGTTTTGGTTCAATATTGCATTATATTCATTGTTTGTAAAATTGTCTTATTGCACTTGACCATTCTGTTCCTCTCGGGGATATGGATGGCGCCACTCGTAGCCTCCTGGGCGTACATTATCCAATTCTGGAAGATGAACATATTCAGGTTCCTCTGGCCGTGGATCAAAGAGTTTTTTCCTGCATTCAACATAATAAATACCAATTAATAAATAGTTCGTGAATTATGTGCAGAGTTATGATCTGTGAATATTTATCTATTACAGAAGACAGATTAATAGAAAACAAGTAATACGGACGTATAATATTAAAAAGTTTTTTTGTACTAGTTTCTCGAGATTACTGGTTGGCATTCGTCAGATAAATTAAGTAATTATGCCTAGCGTAGACAATATCGTATTCAATTTGTAGTCCATAATATTATTATATTAATATGACCTCTTCGTCTTCTGATTTAGTGGGTGGTGATATTAACAGGCAATAATGATTTATTAAACTATAAATAATAAATTGTTGTTTTAGGAATTGAATTTTTCCTGGACCCACAACGAAGCCTGAAGGTACCGGTGGCCCCCAGACATCCCACGAAACTAGTTTATGAGTAGCGTATGAGTACAGAAATAGTTAGGAAAATGATTTTTTTAGTTATGTTCTTATTAGAATCTGTCTTCGTTTTCGTTAATTAAACTAATGCATCTTTATAGTAAAATAGGATGTTTGAAAATGAAAATAGTTTGTACTACAGGTTTTTATTATAAAACTATATTGAAAAATGAAGATATAAAAAAAAGGATACGTGTACTTATGTGTACGCGCGTAAGAAGTTAAATTTTATTTTTATTAAATTTATTTCTGTTTATTTTTATATTAAATAATTAATAATAAACATTTAACGTTAATAATTTAATAATATTTAGTATGAATTATATTAAATAATAATTTTGTCATTTATATTACTAAAAAATGAATGCTAACACTTTTTTTACGAGTGTACATGCGCGAAAGTTCACCTGCGGCTATGTTCAGACTCGCCAAGTTACGTCGGTCGTATTGTAATGAGGTATTTAGTGGGCAACTTCATTTCTGTTAATTTTGTGTCACGGTGCGCGCGCATCGTTAAATTTCACTCTCATAAATTTTTCATAACGCGTCTAAAGAAGTATAACTTCAAAAATTCAACATAGTTTTATCAGCAAAATGGATATGTAAAATATTATTCTGTTTTCACTAGCCAGAAATGCACCCGTAATTTTGAATAGGCACTGTGAATCTTTGAACAGACGTGTTTATCAAAACTGTACAATACATTTGAGGAATGTTAATTTATTATTATTTATATTATATAGTTGTGTGTAGTATATTCATTTAGGCCGCAAATGACACCACGTATTATGAAATTGTGTACAGTCTTATTTTTTAGTTTATGGGGGAGTTTTAAAAATAGTCGCCTGCTTGACTCTTAGTGTCAATAAATTTAAGATAGTAATACATTGAAGATAATTTAAGCTGGCACCATTGTAGTCATGCTATATACTGGCATTTCTATGAGAAATATTGGAAATGTGTTTGTAATATTTCAGACCACAAATCAATCTTTAATTTGGCTTAATATGAAAACATTGTCTCAAGCAAAATCTCACTGTGAAGTGATTAAATTTTATTATAACTTACAAAAAATTGGGTGTTTTCAAGAGTCTTTCTCCATTCCTTTGTCTCGGTAGAACATCCTCCAAGAAAAAGTAAATGTGACCGATTGCCATTCCAACTAGATCAACTGAAATTGCATTGCCGAGCAGAACTGAGAAACCAAGCAGAACCCAGGGGAGGTAAGGTGCCTGTAAATTTTTATTTACATAAGTGATCTGGAGCAGTATGTGAGAATGCTTAATGCTTCTACCAGAAGGCTGATTGTGTAGATTTTGAAGAATTAGTACTAATTAAAAATTAATTTATTTGTAAAAATAAAAATTTTATAAATTTGAATATAACTCTGTACTTTCTCCCCTGTTCCCTAATTTGCATCTTGATACAAAAAACCAAATTAGTGCTATGTTGTGAGCCATTAAGCATTCATGTTGTGACATCAGAGGACTCTAAAAACTATTTTATGTTAAGATATGGAGTTTTCAAAGAACTTTTTTGCCAAATACCACCTGGCTCTAGAATGAATTCCCCTCCAGTGTTTCCAGAGCACTATGACATGTCTTTCTTCAAACGAGACCTGTGGAAAGTACTCAGCAGTAGGTAGAAATTTGGCTGTGTCCCTGGCATTGCTCACGTCCATGAGTGACAGTAAGCATTAACCTTCAGGTAGGTCCTATGCTTGTTGTATTATAAAGGCTGTAAAAAAGGTCACAAGAGTATCCTCTTAATAATAATGATACCTGGAAGTTCATTAATCCAAAGAAGTTCATTCTCACGAAAACATTCCTGCGTGACCATACATACACAATCATGATTGTAAACGCTTGACCTAAAAACAATAGATTAACAAAGAAAGCACATATCTAACATTTTATTAAGGAGCTGTATTTGGTACACATTTAGTATTTTGCTTTCATAATTAAGGTTTTTCCAATATGATTAAAAAACTATTGACACTTAAGAATACAAGTAACTTTACATCAAAATGGACCTGGCACCCATATTGGATTTTTAGAGCTAAGATATTTCTCCTAAATTATTTTTAATGAAGTAAATTATAGTCAGGTTATATGAAGAATTTGTCTATACATTCACTTGTTAACTATTGAATAAATAGTTTTTTTAAAACAGGTGTACAAACAATATTGGTTAGGCAATATGTACAAAGTAATTATTTCTCATTGTTATATTTCTATATAACTCATTTAATGTTATTGTTCTTATCTTTTTTTTAGCTTATTTTTTCCTTTATAAGAAAAGAAATGAAATCCAGTGTCAATGAGATGTTAAGATACAATAATACTTCTAATTCATGAGGTCTATCAGTCCCCTAAATTATATAAACAAGATATTTAAAATATAATATTGAAATAAAGTACTTAAAATATTTTTTTTTTTTAAATAAAGCAAGTACTATATTTTATAATAAAGTAAATTATAAAATATTATAAATAATATAGTTAATATAAAGTTAGCATTTCAATTAAATAACTTATTTTATTTTAAAAAAAATTCATTCATTTTCAATTGTGTTACATAATATTTTGTAGATTTTTTTATTACTATTAATTTTATTACTAATTGTATTAACTTAAATGTAAACTTAATAATTGGAAAAAGGATACGATCATTAATAAGCCTCCAAATATGAACATGACAACAAAATCTGCTGTTCTCGATCTGAAAGAGCCTTCTTCAAGCATTCTGCAATATCTATATGTGAATATCACATTGAAAAAGAAATTAAACCCAAGGTTTCCAAAGAACAGGAATGTTGTTAACAGTCTCCATAGTTGATATTTTCTCAGTATCAAATTTGGATTGAAGTATAATTGAAAAGGTGATACTAAATCAAGTTGCTGTAACCAAAACAAATTATATATAAGTGCATGTATGTAAATTAATTAAACTTTTTTGATATTTTTGATAAATAAGTCGAATATTTCTTAAGTGAAATGAATTCGCAAGTTCACGTATATAATATTAAAAAAACTTACAACAGCCAAAGTTGTGACAACACAAGCCGTGGTGTAAGCCCTGGTGACTGGTGGTATTAGCATATACTCTTGGAGAAGGGTTTGATACGCCATTGTATCCAAATAATACAGTTCAAACTTCACGAAATATGAATGAAAACGAATGAGATAACTAGATTAAAGAAATGCCTCGGCTCGACATTATTGGGCCACATCAGATTTATAAAAACAATACAGCGACACTTATTTTACTATCAAAAATTTAAATTAAGTTTATACTGATGTCGGTAAAGTGATTTAAATGCGACAATATTTAATTATGATGAAAATATAAAGCACATCATTAATTTATGCGATATATAATAATTCGAAAATGATCGAATTACTTTGTTACTGTTTAAAACATAGACTACTTAGCTCGAATATATTAAGTGTATAATCTATGCTACTTAGCGATACTATTTGTAAACTTGTGAATTCACGTCTAATCTATGCTTTTTTTATCTATACTTCTATACAGGACTTTTTGCCGGGAACGCGAGGAGTGAAGTTGTGTGATTTGTTTTATTTTGTCTATTTAGTGTTTCTTCAGGTTTAAATGTGTAATAATGGTGGTTTATTAACTGTTTAATATCTGTGAAAGTGCACAAATGTGGGAAAAAGAAAACAAAGCCGCTGGACGTAACTTCTCGGGATCCTCTAAAAAGTCCACTGAAAAAATCTTATTAAATGACCACCATTTTACTGAGATTATATTTCATCCCATATCATCTCATTTAATTTCATCCCAGTTAATTAATGTCTCAACTTAATCATCTTCACTCCATAATATCATTTTTCATAAAAATATGAATATAAATTAAAATAAGACATGACTTAAAGGTCTCAGTAATCAGGTCATAAAATCTCTTAAAATAAATTCTATACTAATGCCGGCCACTGACATGCGCGCAAATATTCGTACATTGTACGAATGGTTGCGCGCATGTGAAGGGCCGTCAAACATTCATTCGCAAACCTAGCGGCTGTGCAAACGTTTACGCTTCCTCCTACACTTGTTTACGAATGTATCACGAATTTCTCCTCCTTTTTAATTCGTCAATAGAACATTGAAGAGAAAAAGAGTTTTTAATTCTTTCCCAGACATCATTAACAGCCATGCTGTTTTTATGGGATTTCTTTTGATAAAGATACGCTACACAGTAGACGTCACGAACTATGAAAATGGCGTATAGTATACGTCCGTAACCTTCACAATCGTCGGCGCAACTGGGCAAGCGAATGTGTGGGAGACTACACGAAGGTTCGAGGTTCGCGCGCTTTGATGTCTGTTAAAAAACCGACACAGCTTGGAAAACCACGTATGCAGCGAAAACTTTGCTTAATCATTCGCAAATGTCGTCCAACACTTGTGGGTTTGCGTATTCGTGCGCATGTGAGTGACCGGTGTAATAAAAAGGGTGGCCGGAACATTGACGTCCAAAAAAAAAATTTAGGTCTTTCGTGTTGTAGGGTATCCGAATCACCCCCATGTATCTTCCGCGATTTTTGATAGTTTTCAAGTTATGCTTTTTTTTCGAATTTTTCCAGAATTTTCGAATGGGCGCACTTAAAACAAATTTTTTTTTAAATTAGAAAACTTTTCGAGTATTTTTTTTTTTAAGTGAAAACTTCTTTATTATCGTTGTGATTTCAAACCGGATGCAACGGAAAAAACGACAGGTAAGAGACACAAATACAAAAATGTGTAGGATGAAGCCAGCAAAGTATGAGACAGAAATATACATACTATTTAATACAGCGCCATCTGTGAGATTTTTTAATACTTACGTGTGTATGAAAGCTCTTGTAGTGAATTTTAATTTAGGATTATACGTGAAATTAAAGTATCAATTCACAGAGGGCGCTGCCTTACAATTATTTAATAATGACAAAATTTTACATATACGACGTTTAGGATAATTGTATTTTAATTTTGGAAGGTTTCACTTCTACCACGTGTGAATTGCACACATGTATGTTTTTTTTTGCAACTAATTTTCTACAAGCTGTTCTTTTATGCATAAAATAATCACCTTCGTAATTTTTTGGTAGTTGTAAAGGTTTTGGTGTAAAGAGAAAATTTTACGGTCGGTGAATAAAACTTACATTTTCAACTTTAAATTAAAAATCTTAACAGGTGATTGAATGGTTTCTAAGTAACTTTAAAATATGCGCTAGACTCTCAACTTTCATAATCAACAAAAAAAAGTAGTGCTTAACGGGCTACTTTGGCTAAAATTGGCCATCAAAGGCCATCAGCGTGGTGGAAAACTATGAAAAAACTTTAGTCTGACAAAAAAAAATTTTTGTTCAATTTTATGATTCTTAAGATTTATTTGTTTGTTAACTAACCAAAATTAACTACAGGAAAGGTCTAAACATTTGAAGGTTATTTTTTTTTGTTTTTGCGGGATCCGATCTTGCGGATCATGAGATGTAAAAACGTGGAGCAACTTTTTCCTGCAATGACAATGAGCCGAGACGACCCGAGAGGATAAGAGACCAAATTATTGCTATCTTTCTCACTCTTGCTGGCGAGGGAGGGGAGCGCGCGACCATTTTTAGTGAAGAAAAGCTGAGGCAGAAGATTACAGAAGCCGAACGTGTTGATCCTGTAGACCGAATGGTAAACAGTCGACGTCGCCCTAAACACGTCATTACTGATCCTTACGATCCATTAACGGTGCTTTTAGGTACCACAAGCATCGTCCTCGTCGAACCCGTCGCTTACGACGAAGGGCTCGACGAGTGAATTAAGCCATAGACTCAGCCCACTGAGTTTCTCGCCGGATCTTCTTAGTGGGTCGCGTTTCCGATCCAGTGGTAGATTCTGCGAAGTAGGTACTGCTCTTGCTAGGGCCAGTGTTAGCAACACACCCGGATTCAGTCCCGTGAGCTCACCTACACGTCAAGGAGAAGCTGATATAGCCTCTCAAGGCTATCAGCATTTCGTATTCGTATGTCGTATCACTCTTGTCAGAGCGGTCATGGTCGTCGTCCAGCATCATTGCTATGGGCAGATGTTATGCGCCTAAAGAGCAATCGCCACTCCTGCCGGTTTGTGGTGAACCTGGTACACTCATGCAAACAGCCGCCAACTGCCGACTTGATCTGGTCGGTCCATCGCATGGGCAACCTTCCACGCGGTCTGGTGCCTTCTACTTTGCCCTGAACGACAAGGCGCTCTATGGAGTAATTTGCTCACCGGGAGATATGTCCAAAAAATGATAGTACGCGTTCATGCACGAGCGCTGAAAGACGCTGCTTAATGCCGAGTTTCTTTTATCCTACCTATGCTGCTTAATGCCGAGTTCTCGGTAATTTTAGCCAGTAGTAGCTAGTAAATTTAGCCAATTAAAAGACAATTTCTTACGCAGGTGTAGAAGGTGTATTGCTGCTGGAGGTGGTAACTTTGAAAACTTTTTGTAAATTTAAAAAAAAAAATTTGACATCAACGTCTGTGTTTTAACCACTTCTTAATTGAAACTTTTTTTAAACAACTTCGATATGTTTTGGTTAATTTCTAGCATTCTCTATCGTTAATTAACCTTACGAATGATAAAATTGTCAAAATAATTTTTTTTTTTAGACAAAAAAAATGTGAAATAGCGCACTGATGCCGACTGTAGATACTTACTGATGGACTCTAGGTCCAAGTCGTCGTGGCCTAATGGATAACACATATGTTGCATTCGTATCTAGCGACGCAACGGTGTTCGAATCCCGCAGGCGGGTACCAATTTTTCTAATGAAATACGTACTTGACGAATGTTCACGATTGACTTCCACGGGGAAGGAATAACATCGTGTAATAAAAATCAAACCCGCAAAATTAAAATTTTCGTAATTACTGGTGGTAGGACCTCTTGGGAGTCCGCGCGGGTAGGTACCACCACCCTGGATATTTCTGCCGTGAAGCAGTAATGCGTTTCGGTTTGAAGGGCAGCCGTTGTAACTATACTTGAGACCTTAGAACTTATATCTCAAGGTGGGTGGAGCATTTACGTTGTAAATGTCTATGGGCTTCAGTAACCACTTAACACCAGGTGGGCTGTGAGCTTGTCCACCCATCTAAGGAATATTTTTTTTTTTAAGAAAATAGGTTTATTTGAGCAGCCAGCCGCCTGACGCGCTTGACCGTTGCGGTGGCCACGATGGAGCTACGTAAACTGGTTCCACCTCGCGAAGATGTATTGGGTCCATTAATTCATTAAACCATTAGGCTATATTGGATTCATGCTTTACTAGAAATGCAACAAATCTGGCGAGATTTCACTTTTTTTTTTTAAGAACCGAAGTATAGGGCCATAAGCCTACATATAGAGGTGTTTTGCATATTTTGTAGGGTGGGATTGTGTCTCGAGACTTCAATCTTATGTCTGAAGTTGGGTGTGGCATTTTGGTTCGTAGAGTCCATGAGATCATCAGCCTATTTAAAGCAATAATGAAAAAACAATACTACATATTTGAAAAGATCATAAAAATCCAAGGCCACCACACATTACAAGAAATGAGGTTGAATACTTGTACTAATTACTATGCATATTAAAACTGACCCACTATCTAATGAAATCGTTTTAAAAAGGATCCGCATTATGTACACGTCAACCACCACCCAAAATCTAAAATTATTTAAAACAAAATTACAAGAATAGTACAGAATATGTTCTGATTTGCGTGTTCCTAGTACAGTTCAGTTTCTCAATCAGTAAAAATTTAACAATTAAAGTAAAAAACATGTAATTGTAATAAATCTTTAATATACATAAACTGAAGCCAAATGATCATAATCATAAGTGCGTTTTAGAAACAAATCAACAAGTGACACACCAGTCACTTTCTGTAAGCCTGTGTTGATTGGTAAAGCAGTTAAATTTATGAATGTTGTCTTTCCGGGTTCTAGAGGCCCTAATTTTCTGTTAGAAATTCCGCACCATAGGAGACTAGAGTCTTGCGGAGAACGCAGTTTTAATATGAGATCTAAAGTTCTTTCACTGGAATTCACAACTTTACATTTAAATGTGAAAGCTTCATCTGCACATACCTTACTAGGAATTTGTTCAACTGTCAGTCTTAAGTCGTCATGATCGAGTGCCATGGCTTCCAACTGACTAGTCTGTAATCGGCCTTTCTCACCTAAGTTAGACCTCCAGACTATATCTAGTTTTCCAATATTTCTCATAGGGCCATGTGGTTTGACTTCTTTTGCCATGTTTTCCTTTGGTTTAAGCCAGTACAAGAACTGACAGCTCTCTTGTGGCTGCAATAATGTCACTTCACCAAACACTGACTCACCATTCACTTCATTCAAAGAACTTACAGTGAATTGCTGAGAACTTTCCAAAGATACTTGCTCAAATATAATGGGCCCAGATGTTATGTTGTGAACTTGCGCTTCAAGATAAATATCCCCTGATTCAGCATTATAAAATTTAGTTTTCACATCTAGTGGTTTCATGACTTCAAATTTGAAGAATTTCCGGAACGATGCTAATGTATTGTAGTTGGACATGTACGAAACTTCACATACTAATATATGGGTTCCTAAATCTTTGACCTCATGGTGAATAACATCACTAAGGGTTTCATCAACATCCAACATAGTAGGGGTAGTTCCCTCCTGTGCTGTAAGCTCTATTCTTTGTGAATTAGTTTGTAGACTAGTTATTATGGAGACACTTTGTACAGGTTGATTCGTTTCATTGTGAACACAAACATAACAAGAGAATGTTTCGCCTAAATAAATATTTCCAAAACTTTGAGGAAGTAGTAAGAATTGTCCAGCAGCAAGAGTTTCCATTTGACTGACTGCTGTGGCATCATCTTTTAGATAATTATTGAGAATATTACCTGGCAAATCTTTTGAGTCACAAGTGACGATATTAGGGCTTACCAATGCTGGCTTTGTAAGTCTCATCACTTTCAGAGCAACTAAATGTTCAACCGCTTCTTTTGAATCCATAATTCTGACTTCTAATTCTGTATCGTAAGTTTTATTACGAACGGAATTTTGGAATTTTTGAAATGTATGTGAATCTGTTTCTAATTATTATTTAATATATACACTTTATTATTCAATTGTTTGATGTATAATACGTACTGCATATGAGTGAGCACCTATTTTACGTAAACTGCAAATTAAAACAAATTTATTGTCCGGTGTACGAGAGACCCAAAATTTTAGAATCAATAATTATACTACAAGTTTAATACCAAGGGCTTTAATAGTGAATATTCGTTTAGATTAATATTATTTGCTTGTGTATTGCGTGAAAGTGAAATCATAGATTATACACTTAATATATTCGAGAAGTGAAATTGTGATTGTGATGTGACATTAATGACATTTGCTCGTAGAATACCGGTAAAATAGGGCGATTAGGGATTGAGAGGCGAATCGGGAAAAAACCGGGAAAATCTTTCGACGCTCAATATAAGTTTTATATTCGTTGCAAAATCTTCCGTTTTTTGTAGTTTAATAGTAGAATGTTGAAAGTTCACAAAACAAATCTGAATATGTATGATAATAGCTGCTAACTTATAAAAAATCGCGTTTCAAATTAACTTCCTGTGGTGGTAATTATTTTAGTGCTAGAAAGTTTGCTCTCTTTTATTTATTTCATAATAATAGAAGACGACTATGATTTATAAACGTTATTTAGTGTTTGAACCAGCATATATATTAAAGGTAAGTCTCAGTTGTTATTGGTTTTAATGTATTTGATTAAATAAAAATACATGTAAAAATCTGTTGTTTTTGGGGATATTGGGGACGTCTTAGGTATAAATAACAACGAAAAAGGGGTCAATTGGGATGAGAATACGTGAAATGGAAACGACCTAAGTATAAATAGGTACAGGTTTGTAGGGTTGTCTATGTAGTTATAACAATATTTTTTAAATTTGTTGGTAAAAATCTGGTTTATTCGAAGCGAAATTGGGAATAAGTCTTTAGTTGAAATAGATAAGCAATTTAATATAAGTAAGTCGATTTTGCAGAGACATGTAACAAGATCAATGAAATCTCAAGGTGGACAAAAATGTCTAAGTAATACATAATAAAATATTTAATATTTGTTCAGAGTGTGGGTATTCATCTGATTAATCCATGGAATAACCGACACACCTAATCTCTTAACCCAGATAGAAATATCAGCCCCTAAGTACTTACCAAGAACGGAGAAATATAAACCGTTTCTAAGAAAGCCCACTATATATGTATAAATATATATATATATATATATATATTTGTTGTTGTTAATGCACTGTCGATTGCACCTATAATTGAGGTGATGTCTGCCATGTACTTTTGTCAGTTTTCATTTTTTTTATTGATGATCACTTTGTTGGTGCAACTAAATAAATAAATAAATTAAAACTATATATAAAAATGAAAGTAGTGCCAACCCTAGCAAATTTCTCATTTCGTCCCAATTAACCGCAATTTTCGGGTAAATAGGGATTAGACCTATTTTTGCATTTTTTGCTTAAACTGGAATGCTAGTTGCATAATTTTAAATTAGACAACAAAGATGCCCCCAAGACTCAACCATTTTGATCCTGATATAGCTTTATATACATCAACAACTACCTTAAAATTGCTCATAAAGTTGGAATTTGTCCCTAATCGCCCCATTTTACGGTACTTTCGTAGTAGTAGTTTTATTTTTCTAAATAGAAAGGCTAAGATTACATACCATACGGCCTAATCCTTTATATTATTTTTGAACATGGAATATGATATTATGAAATGAAGTTAATTAATATGAAACATGGCATGAAATGACGGCGACGGATCGGTGCGGAAAGGGAAGAGCTCTCCCTCTCTCGTTCCGCTGCCTCCTTCTGCGAGATGGTGGACTCGTAGAAGTCGAGCAAAGCAAACCATCACCTCACGCTACCTTTTGTTTATTCTCAGATTTTTTTATTTTCAATTATTTGTTCGTCGTTTGTTCGTTAATGTTCGAATGTAAAAATTGTTTGTTCGTCTTTTATATATTTATAATCAATTAAACAAATGATCACCCTTAAGTTGCCTCTCCTTACTTACTTACTTATCTTTATTTTTATCGCTCAGATTAATTCATTTTGATCAATTATCGTTTGTTCGACGACTATTGGTGATTGATTGATCATAAAAAACAAATAAATTAAAAAAAAACGAAGCCTTGTGATATATATCGATCAAGATACTTCTCGTTAATAATAACTAAGTTAATATAGACGTAAATATATTCTTTTTTAAATAAAATCCTGTTTATTGCGTATATATATACATATTAGGTTTATTCTTCCATATTAAATGAATTTCTACTAAATGTCCCTGTAATATATTTCTTGAACATAGAAATAATTATCATTTCAACAAAAACAGATTTTGTGTGCATTATATTTACATTTTTTGAATTACGTAATGAATTAAGGAATTATTCATTTTATTATAAAACTAGCTGACCCGGCAGTTTTCGTAGTGCCTCAATCGATCAATAAAAGACCTAAACTTTTGTATAAAATAAACTTAAAACAAAAAAAAGGAATCCATCCGACGGGGGACACATCAAAAGAAAAACATCTTTGTTATTTTTATTTAATTCCAAGCATTTTCATATTTATCTACCTTTTAAACCTTCTCTGGACTTCCACAAATAATTCAAGACCAAAATTAGCCAAATCAGTCTAGCCGTTCTCGAGTTTTAGCGAGACTAAAGAACAGCAATTCATTTTTGTATATATAGATACAGATATCATAAATATCTCCTATTGCATGGTAATGAATAGTATCATTTTAATGCCGGCCACTGACATGTGCGCAAATATTCGTACATTGTACGAATGTTTGCGCGCATGTGAAGGGCAGTCAAACATTCATTCGCAAACCTAGCGGCTGTGCAAATGAGTTCGCATACTCAATTTGCGAACCCGTTTGTGCTTCCTCCTACACTTGTTTACGAATGTCTCACGAATTTCTCCTCCTTTTAATTCGTCAATAGAACATTGAAGAGAAAAAGAGTTTTTAATTCTTTCCCAGACATCATTAACAGCCATGCTGTTTTTATGGGATTTCTTTTGATGAAGATACGCTACACAGTAGACGTCACGAACTATGAAATTGGCGTATAGTATAGGTCCGTTACCTTCGCAATCGTCGGCGCAACTGGGCAAGCGAATGTGTGGGAGACTATGCGAAGGTTCGAGGTTCGCGCGCTTTGATGTCTGTTAAAAAACCGACACAGCTTGGAAAACCACGAATGCAGCGAAAACTTTGCATAATTATTCGCAAATGTCGTCCTACACTTGTGGGTTTGCGTATTCGTGCGCATGTGAGTGACCGGTGTAACACGAAAGTTGTACTCCTAAAATATTCTTAAAAATAATTAGAAATCACTGAAATTTCAATGTGCTTGTTAATATTCAATATCATTAAAAATAAGTGAATTTATTAAAACTGCGCTAATCGTACCTTAACGACTAATTGGCCGTTTCATTCAATTCACTGACATTTTTTTGTTGAATTATTGTTGAAGTTTGTTGAATTTTTCAATATTTTTTTGATCTACATAAAATATGAAATAATTTGACCGTATAAACGCACTTGTAAACAAAACGCTAGTAAATATGGCCATTGCCAGCTTAGTGACAAAACCGGCGCATGCGCAATGTAGGCGTGAGGTGATGGTTTGCTAGATATAAAATAATGCATAATTGGGAATTTAATTGTTTTTATGATCGAACAATCACCAATAGTCGTCCAACAAACGATAATTGAGTCGTCTATTATCAAAGGTGGCAATCTGTGCATTTGGACAAAAAAATGTTATTGATATGGCGATACAGATTGATTTGAATATAATCGTCTCCTTCAAAGAATACGGTTCAAAACCTGCATTAAATAAAGTATTAACTTAACCTGTTATTTATCTAAGATGTCGATCAGAAGAGTTTTGTGACTGCCAATGGAATACAAAGTCAATAATTCGTTTTTCTGATTTACCAATAATTGTCCAAAAGTCACATTGCCGGCTTTGATAATAGTCGACTCAATTGATCAAAGTGAATTAATCTGAGCGATAAAAATAAAGATATCTAGTAAGGGGGGCCCACTTAACGGTGAAAATTTGTTTAATTAATTATAAATAAATAAAAGACGAACAAACAATTTTTACATTCGAACATTAATTGACGAACAAACGACGAACAAATAATAAAAAAATCCGAAAATAAAAAAATGGGGCCAAATTTACAGGGCCAGTTAGTAGTAAGTACATAATAACTCCATGGTTCGACATCAGACTTCAGCTTTTTTTAATTGATAAAATGGAATAAGCAATAGGAATAGGCCTCGTCAAAGCCTCTAGGAACAAAAAACTGAAAATCTGTATGTTCCAAGAAAAGTGAATTAGACTTGTATGAAATTAAATTAAATAAGGAATGAATTGAAATATTTAAAATAATAGTAATAGTAATAATAATTAATATAAATAAAATTAATATAAATAAAGTTAATTTATATAATAAAAATAATAGTAATAATAGTAAAAATAAATTTCTGAAGAATTCTAAGGTTTATTTAGGAGCTTTATGCAAGTTATAAAAAAAAGAACATAACGATCGATAAAGAACATAAGAAATCGATGCTACGTGATGCATAGCGCTCAGTACTTACAAACTTTATTTATTAAATTGTACAAAGGTTTACTTAAAAATATTACATATGTATGAGATCGATTCATTGTTCAATATTGATTGAATAATCCGCCTCACATCGCGAAACCCGTAGACACGACGACGACGGCGTTTAATATTGACTTATTAGTTCCATGTGCCAGCCCTATTGCATTGCAAATTATTACATTAATTAATCTGCGCTCAAGTGTGTTATTAAGATCTGTGCTTTTAAACTTTTAAGAATGACCTAAATGTCTTAGTTACCAGGTCATAAAATCCCTTAAAAAAAGCTTTTAAGCTCTAATTTAAGTTAGATATCAATAACAAAAAATAACTAAAATTAACAAGATGGTATTAACAAGAGAATACAGAATATGCATGCCTATGACTGTAGAAGAGGTATGTTTATTTTATTATCTATATGGAAATAAGAAGGCAAAACTCAATTACAAAAGTTTTTTGGTTTCAATTTATTTATGTGTTGCGTAGATGGATAGCTCACGGTATTTTTGGACAAAAGATGTTTTTAAAGCCCGTAAACATTACAGAATGTTGCTACCCATCCTGAGACATTCAAGTTTTGACCCTTATCTTATTTGCTTAATGGCTGTCCCACGTTTTCAACTGGAACGTATGACTGCTTCGTGGTAGGAATAGGCAGGATTAGGGTACTTACCCGTGCGTTATTACTATACCTACGGGAAGAGCTGGTATTATGCTATTAGTATATATTATAGGCTGATACCACATAGCCAAAATCGTTTATCCATATAATTACGTACGGATAGTAGCCAAACTCAGTCCCTTTTGTTTAGGTGGTACTTTGTTTGTTATTAATAATACTTCTCTCTATTTGATTCTGATTGTCTTTACAATTAATAGGCTGTTTTTTCATAGAACCCTAAAAATGTTTCTGATATAAAGTAATTCCGAGTTACTCTATATTATATCAGAGTGCTGAAAATTCCTCAAATGTATCCCTGTACATAAAATCTTTTGCTTATAATTAACTTATAATAATCTCCAAGAAATATCCTTGGCATAATAAATAAAATCTATTTTCAGTACCGTATTGGTCAATTATACATGATAGCAAGACACAGTTTTGAGCAATCTAGTAATGGTGAAGGTGTGGAGGTGATAGCAAATGAACAGGTGAATGATGAAAAAAATGGTATGGGACAGTTCACTGAGAAGAGAATCCATTTATCTAGGTACAAATTTAGAGTGTAAACTTTACTTAAAATTCTTATTTATCCTTAGACCCTTGTTGGAATGGTCTTGATTATCATTTAGTTGTTTTGCTGGTTTAAAGCATGCTTTTAAATTTGTTACAAAAAATATACAAAGTACATCTAATTATGAAAATAACCACTTTTATAAGTCCTACATGCATTTCCTGTTATCAATTCCTGATTGATAACACATAAGTAGTACATATTTATAGCCGTAATCTACTGCTTCTACTAAGTATTTCTAATTAATATAAAAATTATTATTATTACAGTCATTTGCCTTATTGGGTCCAATCTATGATACCAAAAATATTTTATGTTACGGAAAAGGCATGGAATTTTTACCCATACACAATAACCGGTGAGTTTCATTAAATACAAAGACTGGTAAATTTATACCAAAGAAATTATTAAACTCACATAACATTTCTTTTTCTTTCATGCTTTCTCACTTGGTATCACACATGATATCGTAGAATACACAGTAAGTATCACTCAGTGAAGCAACAATTGAAGGCCATCTAACATATGTAATAAATTTTGATGTTGCTAATTATTTTCAGTGCTCATTCATACCGAAATTTTCCATCTCTATTCAAACAAGGTATGAAGATAATAATGGGACCACTGAAAATGTAAGTTGTATACCAAAAAATGATGTATTTCAATCTGAAATTGAATTGGTTGGATCAAGACTTCACTTTACTTTAAGCAATAAACTTTCATAAAATTCATTGATTTAATTTTTGATTAACTATAAATTATAACATTAAAATCAAATTATTAATAAAATTATTAAAACAACAACATTAGTACAAAATTATTAATAAATTATATTCACACAGCATGCTATGACATTTTTATTTTTATTTATTGATAGTGCCTTGGTTTCACCTCTGAAGAGTTAGAACAGCGAGAAGTAGACTTTATAGACATTGCATATGATGATATCAAATCACACCATTATAAAGAAGCTGAAGACCCTAAGTTTTTCAAATCAGAGAAAACCGGCCGCGGACCTCTAATTGAAGGGTGGAGGGACACATTCAAACCCATAATGTGTTGTTACAAAGCTGTTTCTATTAAGTTTGAAGTATGGGGCTTTCAAACCAGAGTTGAAGAGTATGTGCAGGGAGTAAGTATTACAGTTCCATTACTTGGAATGGGCACATAATAAAAATCTATGTAATTTCTCATAATTCCTCATTTTGCAACATATTGAATTTCCAATTTTAATATAGACATTGTGTACATAATTTATTAGTTTCCCACTGTTTGTAATGGATGAATCAATAAATTGAAAATGATTTATAACAATAAAACACGAAAAGTATTTGCATAAAACTCAAATATGTAAGAATTTTTATTATTATTATTACAGGCAATTCGCGAAATTTTATTATTGGGACATCGTCAGGCATTTGCCTGGATGGATGACTGGTATAACATGAGTATAGAAGACGTAAGAGAATATGAACGCGAAATGCAAGCCAAGACGAATATAAAGGTGATTATTGGTGCACTGTACTGCACCATATTAGTACACTGTGTATAGGGTGGATATTAGAGAATTATTGTTCATAGCCAATACAAATGATAATGTAAGCCATTTGCTACAATAACTTTTAAAAAATTACAGAATGGAACTACTATTTTTCTTCTGCAAGATATGTAAGCTGTAAAAAATTAGCGAATGCACAGAGTCCATTAATATTTTAACGTCACTAATATTTTCAGTTGAAAACGACTTCTGAGAATGGTGAAGGGAAATCTGACGAGAGTGACGAGACGAAATCGAATTCTTCGAAACCACAGACTCCGAGAACTCCGAAATCGCCAAAGAGTCCAAGCAGTACTCCGACAGCAGAGGGACGAAATTGGTTCAATTGGTCGTAAAAATATTAAACAGAGCCACAGGACCAGTACAAAAGACCTACCCAAAGAAACTATTTTCATATCTTTGGGTAACGAAACGATCATTATATTTTCATAAACCTCATTCATAATGTTGAGAGATTTTTGTTTAATTTATTAGATTCATCTTACTCTTAAACATGACAGGCATTTTTTAAATCATCAATATTATCAAAACAACAACAATCAACATTGTCACCTGGTGTGTTCAATCTGTACTCTTAGTACATTGTAATAGGACTCAATACACCATACCGTTTGACTCAGATCTATCAGGGGTATGTTGGGCTTTACGAAACTTAGAGACTTGAATGAGCTGAACGAAATGTGGATTGACCAAAAGAATAAAGTATGTTCACATGAGTTTTTTATCCTCACAACATTCGTGTTATGTGCTATTAGTATTTACAGAATTTTTGGTTTGCACTAACATTCTATACTTTTTTATTTAATAACACGCCTTTGTTAGTTTTGAATAATTTCAAGATTATTATTTTGAAAATTTAACCATGTATCAAGGACCGATGATCATAATAAGATTATTGTAGCCTAATATCAGAAATATTAATAGGTACACGGATAAAAATTGGAACTAAAATTTTAGAATATAACTATTTCGTATTTAATCTATTATATATTTTCTTAATTATCCATTTTTGTGTAAGTCTTAGATTTTGATGTACTCATCACACGTTTGTTATTTTCATCTTACGCTACGGAAGTTTCGAAACACATAGTCACGGATGACTAAAGTGTTATTCACAACATTTCTTTCAAACATTTCGTCAACTACCCTCATAATTTACAGGAATATGTTATTTTCATTAATATAATTAAGTTTCTTTTTTCTTAGATGTTTGTGTGCAATGTGAAGTAGTTTGTCCCATAGATATTTAAAAAAATGTTTTCCCCAATGCTTTCCATAGATGTTAATATTTATAATTAATGTGATTAAGTAACAAATATACTCGTCGACAGTGATTTTCTGCCGAACAAACTATTGTTTAGATAATGCTTTTTAAAGAAGGTATTACTGATGACGCTTTTAGTAAAAGCTTTGAATATTGTGATTGGAAGGTTTTTGCAGGATATTTACTGGGACTGTAAGGTACTTATTTTTCCTGAACACTGAGACGGGAATTTCTGAGATAAATAATACATTTAAAAAAAACAAGCGCAGTTGAAAATATCAAATTGAAAAACGACTGTTTATGTTTGTTTAACTTATCAGAGAATCTTGATCTTTACGAAAGTGTAATAAAGAATGTAATTAATTAATTTTACGGGTTAATCACGCATTTAACACATTGACTCCCATGTAGGTCACCGGTGCCCTACGTGGCGCACTGAAGTATTAATATCAATTTCTGTTACTGAGTGCCTGGATTGCCTAACCTTGCTTTATTTTTATTAATAGCTGACACGGCAGACTTCGTAGTGCCTCAATCGATAAATAAAAAACCTGAGCTTTTGTATAAAATAAACTTAAAACAAATAAAAGGAATCCGTCGCGACGGGGGAAAGGAAAAACAAAATTGTTATTTTTATTTAATTCCTAGCATTCATATTTATCTACCTTTTAAACCTCTGGACTTCCACAAATAATTTAAGACCAAATTAGCCAAATCGGTCCAGCCGTTCTCGAGTTTTAGCGAGACTAACGAACAGCAATTCATTTTTATTTAAATAGATTAATGTATATTTTAGTCTTTTAGGTCTCTTAGGTCCCTTAGAATTAGATTCATTCTCAGTATCTTCGAATTCGTCTTTCCCGGAGTCGACTAGATATTGAGGTTCCTTAGTAACAGAAATCTACATAAGTACTTATCTACTTCAATGTGCCACGAAGGGCACCGATGACACACATGGCACTCAATAAGAACTCGAGAATAAATCGTACAAATATTTCGAATTATGTCTTTGACTCGCGAAAACCTAAGAAAATACTTTAGTAGTAAAGAGTAGGTGAGTTCACGGGGCTCTAACCTGTGACAAAAATCTGTTTTTTTTTTCTGACCTATGCTGATAGTCTGGAGATGTTATATCAGCTTCTCCTTGACGTGTAGGGGAGCTCACGGGGCTCAAACCGGGTGTGTTGCTAACACTGGCCCTAGCAAGAGCAGTGCTTTGCAGAATCTACTACCGGATCGGAAACGCGACCCACTGAGAAGATCTGGCGAGAAACTCAGTGGGCCGTGTCTATGGGTTAATTCGCTCGTCGAGCCGTTCGTCGCAAGCGACGGGTTCGATGAGGACGGTGACCGGTGCTTGTGGTATCTAAAAGCACCGTTAATGGATCGGGAAGATCCGTAATGACGTGTTTAGGGTCGACTGTTTACCATTCGGTCTACAGGATCGGCTAGGACCAAATCTGTGATTAATGCTGTCCACCGCCTATCAGACTGCATTATTTCCATTCTACTCTGGGACGGTTACCTTACACCCTTCATAAAGAAATTAACGACTATACTAATTTTGTTATTTAGTATTTGTCTGTTTGTAGTTATAAGTTAAAACAAATTTTTCTTATATAAATTCCTTAAGACGACGAATGCGTCATGTCAGTAACATGCAATATGAATTTGTATTTAAAATTCTGATGTTTTGTTTAGGTTAATTTCTGTTTCCTTTTATTACATAAGGTTTCAATGTATTATGAAGTGCACTCTACAGTTGATAGTATATTTGAAGGATAGTATATTTTACTTCAAAAATTAATGTTAACTTGCGTCCTTTATAGCAACAATAGTAATAAAGTAAAGGAGGTTAAGAGCAGTTTAAAAAAAAAACTACGAACGTCTTCGATTTTAATGAACAGGACATTTATAGATCTATCGAATTTAAAAAAAACAATTATTAATAAAATATTATCGATAAACTAGTACATACCTAACAGTCCGATTAGGTCCTTGTCTATGGCTTGTGATTCTACAGATCATCAATTTGAGCCTCTATATCCAAATCAGTTAAGCGAATTCTTTAAAATTACGCTACTTTCATTACACTAGCGTGATATTCCAAAGACGAGACTTATATAAAGATTGTGACTATGACTATTTCTTTAAAAATCGCATTAACGACGTGCGACTACGCAAGATTTCGGAATATTGTACTTTCGATAACTTTAGACTGAAGAGTGATTATTCATTCTGACAATTTCTAGTTATTACTCAAATTAAATTGTAGTTGTGTGTTAGTAGGCAATCAAAACGCTTTGTAGTTTAGTATTAATTATATTTAAATGCATTTAAATGTTCCAAAAAATATGATAATGTTAATATTTTTTATCGGAGACATTCCGATGGTATAGCATTAGAATATTGAAATGTTTTTATTCAGATGATTATTAGTGTTAATATGTCGATATTAAATACGTTGATAAATAATTATGAGCTATGCTATAATTATTAAGAATGGTTGTGTCGATGTATCAAAATTTTATTGATATATGTATTGAATGTTAAATGAAACTAAAATATGCTACTTATTTATATAAAGTATGTACCCGTTTACTTTACTAACAACAAATAATCGTATGCACTCAGAAAGAAAATGAATGGACCCAAAATTAGTTTGGACTATCGTCTTGTTGATTTCTGCTTCAAACCAGATGGCTAGGGCATTGTAGCTGTTATGTCTATGGACTTCGGGCAACGTTAGGCATGTCAGTAATCGATTATTGATCGATTATGAATCGAATAATCGATAATACGATTATCGATGTATTCTCGGTTGGCGAGAGGCCGTCCCACGCTACCTGGTCGGTACGTAGCGGTCACTCAGAAATATATGGGCTGACAGTTCTACAAGCCATGCGCCCTGCTCACTGTCAATTTAACTTCGCTTTTTGATTAGGCAATTTAACTACAGTAGGTTGGGGGGCATAGAGACTAAAGTTAAATAGGGACAAATCAGGGATGTCACAATACTTTTGTTGAGTTGTCAAATTTAACTTTGTTGAACTGAAAATTACTTTTATTTAGTGTTTAGAAATATTAAATATAATAGTTTAATTTCGTCATCAAAGATTTGTAACTCATTAAATATATTAAAAAGATAATTACCTAAAGTTAGGTACCTATCCAACAACTAAAGTGCCCTATCGAAAAACTATTGTCCCCATACGTAACCTTGTTCACCCCAAAGCCAAGGTGAATCGGGTCAAGCTAGTTTTTTTAGTTTTTGTGTATAGTTTGTAATGAACTATTTATAATAACGCATCGTATATAAAAATTTAAGCCTCCGGAACCATGTTAATCTCAATTTTATTGGTATTATCCTAAGAAAAACCATTGATAATTTGTGATGGGTTTGGAAAGGGTCCCGATTCTCCCCAATCTACGGTACGTTTCCTAGTAACATAAAAATGTCAAAGAATGCAAAGGGTAACTTTTTCATAGTTGAGTTGAGTAAAACGAGTAAAAAGTACAAATGAAAGCAGGAAAGCTCAGGGTTTAATTTAAAAAAAAAGTAGAACCTACTGATTGTCACAAAAACAATAATTTATGATATTTATGATATCAACAATTTTAATACTGTACCTTTTATAGGTTATGAATATAATTTGCCTAGTATCGTTATTTGTTGTACACAAGTTTTGTATTTTTAGATTTGTTTCGTTCACAGACCGCTTGTTAATGCTCGGCCGCACATTGTAAGACACCTGTCTGAAAATCATATTAACGTGCACGCTATACCTAATTGAAGGATCAGTCATACTTTCAACTATTTAATCTGAAACTATTCATGTGTAATAGTTAGTACTTGAAACACTCAGCAGACAGTAAAATCGTATAATGTGTGGCAGGGTAAACGCTGTTCCGTATGTGTATTGTTGTGTAATAAAAAAATAAATTCAAAATCTCGTTTATTTTTTAATTTAAAGTATAAAATAGACAAGATGAATAGCACCAATTAATAATTAAGAATCACAAACTATCAGTATAAGATACAAACAAATAAAATATTTATAGCTGAGATATATAGCCCCAGTCGGTTCTGTAAATTGACTATCAAAATTTAATTTGAATTTTTTTAACTGAAACTTTATTCATATATTCGAAGAAGCATTGGTTTTTATTTGGTTCTGTGTTTGAATTGCGTTTTGTATGAAGTCCAGGTGAGCACCTATGCTGGTGTATATTCCGGGAAGATTCGATACACCGCAGCTCATTCCGTAGCTACTGATGCCTTGTATTAAACCTTCGCAGATCAAGGGACTACCCGAATCACCCTGTAAGTGAATATATGAGGAAAACGATTTATCAGGACAAAAAATGTACTTAAAAATCCCACTAGTACCGGTAAGTACTATTTAGGAAGTAGGTATACGACATTTTATATCGCGGTCTACATTCTAGAACTTTCCGATTAAGAGAGTTTCGCTCTTTACAACAACAAGCAAATGGGAGAAGTGGTAACTCACGATGGTCTTTTTTTAATTTGCCAGGCATTTTAAGATTGTTTCGAGTGTCATCGAAATCGCGAACAGGCTGATTATGCAGTGTGCTTAGTGCGAGTTTTTTAACGTTCTCGATAGCGTAAAAGTTAGCTCATATTTGTATGGAATGGGATCGTTTGCGTACGTTTGCCGCTAGGGGCGCTGTTTCAACTGCTTACAAAATTGGGTTAACTTTTGCGCTATCGAGAACGTTAAAAAACTAGCACTAAGCACTCAGGTACTAACGAAATACATATTTTCTGTGAAAATTTGAAATACTTTTTTCTGAAACTATAAGGTGTGGGTGGTTACAGAAAAATACTTTTGATTACTCAACGAATTAATATTAATTTAGAGATGAAATATGTGATGAAATTAACCTGACAAGCATCTACTCCATAACCAATAGCGCACATCATTCCGCTGTCTGGTTGTGGCGCTACGAACGGCCCCAATTTTTGTGTACATTCGTCCAGCGAAATTATTATAACTTCACCGGATGACAACACATCGGATGTCTTCATTGTGTTAACATCCTTGTAACCGTAGCCGTAAATAGTACATTCACCTGCAATGTTATGTTTTTTTTACTAATCTTAATTTTTTTTCTTTTTTTTTTCTTAATGTATAAATAATATATTAACATGTATTATATCGTTTGATACGACACTACTATACCACTACTACATTACGCTACATCACTACATAGTATAAAACAAAGTCGTTTTCTTTGTCCCTATATCCCTATGTATTATGTATGCATAAATCTTTAAAACTACGCAACGGATTTTGACGCGGTTTTTTTTTAATAGATAGAGTGATTGAAGAGGAAGGTCTATATGTATAATAACATGCGTTAAATAGTGGAGAAATACTGTTATTTTTGAGGTTTCTAATGTGATATCGTAAATAATAAAAAAAAATCCGCTTACATTGCAAACGCAGGCTGAACCCCACGAGATATCTCTGGAACGGCTGAACCGATTTTGACGAGACTTTTTTAGACTAGCTTCGCCCCGCGGTGTCACCCGCGATACGACAATAACCGCGGGTAACATCGCGGGACTCGGCTATCAATAATAAAATTTTGTTTCCGAAGCGAAGCGAGGGCCGGGCGGGTCGCTAGTTAATACATATAGCCGAATATTATTGTAAACATACAATATATGTATTTCAGTTGCATTTAAATACTTCAAAATATTACATTGTAGTCCGATGAATTGCACAGTAACTATGTGAATTCTAAACATCAAGTAAGTTAAACTTGTATTCCTATTAATTAAACATTTCCGCCACTAAAAGATTACTGTATTACTTGACCACTTTAACAGTTAAATAGTTCAATTGTTAGTAATGTGATAGGCATTTTAAAAGCATCATTATCTTCCCACTGTCTGTCTGAATACCGTTTACCTGACACACCAAATGAGGAGCTCGGCAGCACTGATTCATTAAGCCATTCAGAGTTCGCGTCATTCAAATCTAGTGTAATTCTCAACAAAGCAATGTCGTGCGCTTTTGATGCCCTGTAAACATTGTATACCATTGCTAATAATATAATATAATATAATAATAATAAAATGAGCTAATTTCTAAAACTGGTAAAATAAAATTTTCTTCATAAACTTCATAATTTACTTAGACTGAAGAAATTTAAACGATTAGGATGTATGAATTATGATGTATGAATTAATGAAAATGTCGTAGGTCTTAAAAGAAGGGAAACCGCAATCGTTCAACGTCCACAGTCAGAGAATGGGATATACACACGATTGGAGAAATGAAATCTCACGCTAACTAACAAAACGTCCAGGCGCATTTTAAAATTTTCTACGAGTGTCTCATCCACGGATCCGTGATTCTGCGGACTATCGGGCACTGAATGGGGATCGATCCAACGCTACCTAAGAGTTCGCCCATCCTCTATCAAAGATGCTACTTTGAGGTTCTTGTCGTTGCGGTCTTTGGGGCTGCTTTTACTCAGTTCCCCGGTAACGACAGCGCAAATCTACATTTGGTCCGTTCCCGTCACATTTTGAGTAGGTACCGTAACTTTAATTTTACATAAATAATAATAACAAACAATAAAAGATTAAATTTATGTGATGAGGGCACTAAATATTATATTTATTCCCATTACGTTAACGTCCCATTACGTTAACGAACACATGTACCAAAAGTGCCTAGTATTGCCAAGTTATGTGCTCTAAATTTAGTTCCTTAAATTTGTATCTGTTCCAGAAATTTTGTCTTCTTAGGGAAAATAAGCATTTCCGAACATTTTAATGTGGTTTGATCGTAAATTATTATATTATAAAAAAAAACAAGTCAAACAGCATTTTGGTGTAAAGTAATAAATAATTTGCATTCTGTGTTTATGTATAAAGTTGCAATATGTATTGAATGCAGTTTTTATCTCATCTTGATTTAAATCATCAATCATTGATAATTGATCGATCATACATCTCGTCTGGCGCATTTATCTCTCGATTCTAAATCGAATCTATAGTAGTTATCAGAATGATTGTGATACTACAAATAAATGTTTGCATTACTTTTTGTTTGTCGCAATAATATGAAATTGTATATAGCCCCACTAAGTTTCTTACCGGATCTTCACAGTGGGTCGTGATTCCGATTATGGTATTATAGATTTAGCGAAGCATTGCTCCAGGTAAGGTAGATGCTAGCAAAGTCTCCCAGGCCCAGGCGCGTTTGGTGAAGCTAGTATAGCTCCTCGATATTACTAACAGTAGGCAAAATTATATATAAAAAGTAGAGAGAGTAGAATAGTAACCTCGACTTATATCTATTGAAACTAATGTTATTTTTGAAGTCGTCGTGTCATAAGGGCCTGGTGCATTCCGTATTTTGCTATGCGACTGTACCTGTGTGTTGTTCGAATCACGCAGGCAGGTACCAATTTTTCTGATGAAATGCGTACTTAACAAAAATGTTCACGAATGATTTCCACGGTGAAGGAATAACATCGTGTAATAAAAATCATATCCGCAAAAATATAATTTGCGTAATTACTGGCGGTTCGGCATCTTGGGTGCCCCCACAAATAGGTACCATCACACTGCCTATTTATGCCCTGATTAATAATGTGAATAGGAGTGAGCAGTTCAGAGCGTTGTTCAGAAAAAACTGAGGTTTAGAACTATCAAGGCGGGTGATGGCATCTTAGTTGTTATCTATGGGCTTCGGTGAACATTTAACACATGCGGTGGGCCTTATGCTCACTTGCCTACAAGGATTATAAAAAAAAAAATAGAGATATAATTCAAGGAGGTTTGACATTAGGCAGGCTGGTCGTAAAATTCATGCGAAATCCCTATCTATGTACATACATACTTTCCTGCGCCGAGTCATCATACTTAATATGGGATAAGGGCGAGAAATTTCGAAAAAAACCTATTATAGCATCCAAATTATAACACGATTAAACCATGCAAGTTTTGCATAAAGCTTTCTGCATTGTTCGGGATTGTTGTGTACCTACATTTCAAATTTTAAATCATAATGTTTATACTTCACCTATCATACAGATCATTTGTTATAATTTGCGTAATTTTAGCCATTGGCCTAGTTTCACCATCTCTGATACAGTAATTATTAAGCTCGAGAACATAATTGTCTTCAGATAGATGTACACAATGCGCTGCTGTTATGGCGAAATTCCGAGAAAGAACCACTGCCCCACAAAGATGTTCCTGTGTGTCTCTCCTATGTAAGGAGCCCACACGAGGTTCGGTACCTGCGTAAGAGAAGAAACTACGCAATTACATGCAATCCATAATTTGGCAGTAGCGCAACTTGGCCATGTATGTACCTCGCGATATAATTTTGCGATTTGACTGTTTTTCATGCTAAGCCAAATAGTAACGTTGTATTAGCTGCGATTTTATAGTTGAACAGTAAAATTTTCATGATAAAATTGTAGTACAACATATTTTTTGTTTTTAATATAAAATATTTTGTTTGGGTAACGCTTTAGTTATTAAGAAAACATGCGGCTGAAAAATGGGTCTATTTAGACATTTGACAACTTCCGGCCGAGAATAGATGTTTTATTTTAATCATGTTCCGACACTACTTCGAACTAGTTTTCTTTCAGTGAGCTCACGTCCCACTTTATGTTACATGGTTAACGAAGGATATAAACATCACAACTTGAATGTCGTAACACGCCTTGAGGCATGAGGTCGAAGACTCGATTGTATTAAACAACGGCTGCACTCTTCAAAACGTTACGCACTACTGCTTCCTTAGAGAAATGCAGGATAGTGATTTATGGATATGCCCTACAGCACCAGTCAAGGTATGGTTTGAATAAATATTTCTGAATTCTATATAGTAATATATTAATATTCATTTGTAGGATGCAGTACAGTAATTTAATGTTTGTATAATTGCATCATACGCTACTTTGGCCACGTTGCCCGCAGAGGTGTAGACAACTTGGAACGTCTGATGGTCACTGGGAAAGTAGAAGGAAAACGTCCTAGAGGCCGGAGCCCCAAACGTTGGTCCGACCAGATCTCCGAGCAAACCAGCGGACTACTTAGCGCTGCACTATACCAGGCAACTGACCGGAACCGATGGAGGCTAACAGTCGACAAGCTAAAACGGAGTCACGATCCTCAGCAATGAGGGAGCGATGGAGAAGAAAGAATTGTTGACTAAACTTTGTTACGGTGCGAATTATTAAGCCTAGTTTAGATTAGTAATGTGAGTTATGGAATTAATTTTATAACTACCGCATCGAACTTCATTTCCGTTAACAACTCTCTTAACCCGTCGACATTCTGTCAAACCACACAACTTAGTAAACAATACAATCAGCACTACGCTAGTTTTAACACTTGCACCATAAAATTTATACATTATAAAATTATTACGATCGGCGTTATCTGATACGCTGAAGTTAATGAAACCTGTTTTAATAACTACGATTACTTCTATTAACAAACATTATTTTTGTTTTAAAAACTTGGTTACTACAAAAGGAATCGTTTGTTTAAACAACTGTAAATACATTTTATGTGAAAAATGCGTAATATACAATGAAAAAACGTTATATATATACATATTGTGTGTTATAGACAAGTTTAAATTTCAAAAACTCATACAATACAAGTACCTACATAGTCTTTTAGGCTTTCAAAAACTGCTTCATCGTATATAGGTACATTTAAGTTTTCTATAAAACCATAAAAGTTAGTCTCATGAGGTACTAATTGATCAATCGATATGTTCCGTGATTATTTACCCGCTTTATATAATTGTTTCTCTTAAAATGTAAGAAAATTGTACGATAAAACATTTTTCGTTAGTATATTTAATCCTCAAAAAAAAAGACATATATCAAATCCGTTTTGTTATTTAAAAATATCACCATGCATTCCCCAAGCGTTTTATTACGTTTTTTTATTACGCTAGGTTAAAACTGAATAGGACGAATATCCTTCGTGTTATATGTCACTGAGTAAACGGGATAGAAATATTTGTTACAGATATGTACATCTATCAATAGTGGGTGCAAGGGAGATATAGTACCTATTGCCAAGGGCGGAAAAGTAATAATATGCTAAACTTAACCTGAAGAGTCAATAGTCAGTTGTTAAATACATTTTTGTGAATTCGCAGTGTACAATAAGTTGCAAAAGTACATAGAATATACTGAATCTATGGATATACTAAAATAATCACATTAACTTATACTTAATGCCATACGTTATTAATAGGTTTATTTTTGGGCTTTTTTTGCGATTTTTTTGTGACATTCCAGCATCGCCATAACCGGTGGGTGAACTCTAAGGCTCGAAGGCAGCTGCTTCCTTTAAAACATCTTTTACTGGATCGGAATCGCGATCTGTAGAAAAGATGTGGCGAGAAACTGAGCGGACTAACGTTGTGGGCTAAGTGTCGCGTTTCGTCGAACTCGGTGTAAGGTGTTGAAGTAATCGAGGTAACCTGTGCTTTGATTCCTGCTATCCTTAGAACTAATAGCCTCCAACAATATCAAGTCTGGATTATTAGAATTCATCAGGTCCTGTGTAGGATAACAATAGTTGCTGGCTGCTGTATGAACGAGTGTGCTTAGTGCGAGTTTTTTAACGTTATCGATAGCGTAAAAGCTATGTTAAATCTGTATGCAGTTGGAACAGCGCCCCTAGCAGCAAACATTCCAACTGCATTCAAATTTGAATTAACTTTTACTCTATCGAGAATATTTACAAACTCGCACTAAGCACACAGGTAAAGACTGTAGTTAGCTCTCAGTGGGTCGCGTTTCCGATCAGGTCGTAAATTCTTCGAAGCGCTGCTCTTGCCCTAGCAAGTGTTAGCAAATTCACTCAGGTTGAGCCCGTGAGCTCACCTACCCGTCCGGACGTAGCTGGAATAGGCCCCTTGGCTACCAGCGAATAAGCGGGGGAAAAGATTAATTAAAACAAATTGCAGTCATGAAGCCAAGACCGACTCTGCCTTCGTATATCTACGGAGTGCTCCCGTATTGTTGAATTAGATATTATTTGAGTCGATAACTGTTATTTTGACCATTATTTATTACTAGTATTTGCCCAATAATCGAAATTTCACTAGTATTATTGACAATTCAATATTTAAATTCATAGATGGAATACCATTTTCCTTTGGTTTTATTATTGGTAACACAATTTTCGTCTCTTTTAACAAATTGGTTGATTGTTATTACATACATATTTTCTTAGATGAACACTTAAGTTCGTCAATAGCTACTAAACAACAAAAAAAGAAAGGAAATCGGTTGACAAACAAGAGATAACGCTACTCGACAATTTTTACTTTTTTGATAAGGTGCCTGACTGTATCGACATTTTTTACGTGAATCACACTTGAGCTTCTTCAATAGCTACTAAACAAAAAAAAATCGGCTGACAAATATACGAGAAAATAGTACTTAACTGTTTCGTCATTTTCTATTTATAAATAGATAACATTTATTTGTTGATTACCACATTTCCTGTTAACGGCTTAAAGTATTTGAGTAAAGATCATTTAACATTATTAGCATTAAATTAATTATTTTAATGCAAACTAGTTTATTTTTATCAACAATAACTTTGATTCTGTATAACTTACATTAGTATCTATGTAATCCTGCAGCTAATTGTAAATATAAAAATACAAAGCGCGGTAGCAGAATACGTTTTTTTTTTTTTTTTTCCACGGCGATACGGCGGAACAGAGTTGACGCAGAGCACATTACATCAATCCCACCGGCCCACGGATGCCGGACCGGTGGCCGCCAGCGACACGACCACCGGTTCTCTCGTTCAGCGGGCCGAGAGCCCGCTTTGATGGCGCCGCGTTACACCTTCCCCCAGAGCGGTCGGGGGAACGCGGTCTACCATCACCCGGCTTCCTATTGCGGGTGAGCGTGCAAAGCACGCCACCCCACGTCTGGGTCTCTCCCCGCACAAAACGGGTGGGACCCCTAGCTCTTAGGGGGCCGGGTCACGGATACGACCCCGGTCCCGACCCCCTGAGCAGAATACGTAGGTATACCTAGTGATTAAATGTGTTAGGTATAGTGAAAATCGGACAATACAATAATATAATAATAATAATAATAATAATAATAACTCTTTATTATATAAATATGTACTTAAAAAATAAACAATCACGCTTGAATTACAAACCGAACTGACAATAAATTACTGGTCACGACATTACTGTGAAGTTGCTTAATTACTGTATCGTATATGTTGTCATCTTGTGTATTTTGATACGTGTGTTAATTTACAAGTTAATTGATATCTTGAAGACTATGAAAATGACGTTCAATTATATCAACAAACAGACATACATAAAGCGTGAAAACGGATCCGTTGATCTTAGCTAATTTAACTCAAATAATAGGATAAACATAATGTAATGTCCCTCTGTCCGCTTTGTGAGTCATTGCCGAATACCCCTTAACATTGCAAATTGATAAGTCCATACTATGTAGATATCACCTAGAGCAAAAATAAATAAAAAGTTTCAGGATTGTGACCGAGAATTTAACGCTTATCCTGGGAAGCAGTTGTCACTAATGTGTCAACGAGGCGATCTAAATTAGTAGTACCTAACAGTTTTCATTAAAATTTGCGTAACTCGTAAAATGTACAATTATTCTTGTCATCTAAAATGTACAAATTACTACCTTAAATAGTTCAAACATTTTTTGCGCAAATAATATTTTTGCGCATTGGATTTTTATTAAACGATTACTTCAGCGTGGAAGTAATTCGTGAACGTTTGTTATGTAATATGTATTTAATTAGCAAATAAGTACCTAGGAACAGGATTTAACCACGGCCTCAGTCGCATTCCTCGATACGAGTACACCGGGCATCTTATTATTTAGGCTACGATGACCTCAATATGAGGTATTTCGATATGTTATATCGATCAATATGTTAAGGACAAATGGTTTGAAGGAAAAGCCCTCCTCCTAAATGAATCCGTGGCCACCCACCCGCCTGTCCTACTGAAGCTGGAATGGCTATGGGGCCATCAACAGTTCCTCCATTCAAAAAAAAATCTGAATGCGTGTTGCTCACGTGCTTGCTGAAAGCGTTCATGGCCTCTCACGGGAAGCAACTCATCATCTCATGGATCTTAATTTTGGGAATATAATGAAACCACATGCGAGATGCGCGACGATTTCTATCTACCCTATCAAAAATGATTTTGTATACCCGAAGCATTTGTATGGTGCAACGTGCGGCTTTTTAATTGTTTTTTTAGGAATTTTCAAACCCTGCACTATTGATCTTCAAATGAGATGGTGCAGAAACTACAAACATCTTTGTCCGAAAGAAAATAATGCAATCCCTTTTTGTCAATGCACCATATACCATGTTGTTTATTGTGTACGGTCACGTCATTCCGGATTTCCCGATACACTATCACTGCTTTTAGGTACCTCAAGCACCGGTCACCGTTCTTGTCGAATCCCTCGCTTGCGACGAAGGGTTCGGCGAGAAAATTTGCCTTTAGAGACAGCCCACTGAGTTTCTCACCGGATATTCTCAGTTGGTTGCGTTTATGATTCGGTGGTAGATTCTGCGAAGCACTGCTCTTGCTAGGGCCAGTATTAACAAATTCACCAGATTAGAGCCCCGTGAGCTCACCTACTCGTCCCGTGAATCTAGTATGACCCCTCGAGGTCACTAGAATAGGTAGAAAAAAAAGTGTACGAATAGGTACAATCGCCCTGCCTATTTTCTATTTTCTATTGATGCGTTCGGGTTTGAAGGGTGCGACAGCCGCTACTATACAAATGAGACTTGGTTCAGTGGTATTCACGGATTTTTAATCTTTGGGCTCCTGTACCTACATAATATCATGTAGCTTAATAAAAATAGATGTGCAATAGTTTTCCTATTTCTATTGTACCTACTACAATTTTTATATTTATTTTTAACGTACCAAATGATCGCACAGTTTTATAGCTTGTTTTTTTTATCTTTGGTTAGTATATCTATGTTAGTTAGTTTATAATTAGGTCGGTTTAAACGAACATTACATATCAATATTCCGATCACGAACTACGCGAAAATATTCGAATGATAATGTATTGTTTCAAATGTAAATCGTGCGACCTTTTTGCTTGGCAAAACTAATTTCAGTGAAGTCCTTTTAAGGCTCTTTTTAAATTGCTGTATTTTCACAGACAATTCCACGGCATATCTGGCATATAAGTGGTTATCGGAGCCTATTTACACCAGCACAACCTGAATAATTGTTGGATAATTGTTCATATATACATATCGACGCTTGAAAGGCAAACGTGACTAAGCGACAATAACTGCTTTGTACATAAATTATAGGCCATAACCATATTCGATGTGCAAAAAAAAAATATTTCTAGGTCTATTAAAATCATTTCAATCCTACAGCTAGATTCTACTACAGCTAGATTCGTTAAAATAAATTTTGTTTTCAGGTATTTCAACTTTAAATTAGTCTACTGTAAAGTTCACGCATTGTCGCTTAGTCACGTTTGCCTTTCAAGCGTCGATATATAGTTTGATAAATAGAATCTAATGCTAAAAATATTAGGACTAATCTATGTATAAAACAATAGAGTTAATAATTTTTCGTGACATGGCATGTATCTGGCATAGCTGACGTCCTAGAGCGATGGTAACCACTCATTTAAGCGTATGGTTTTGTAGACAGACACAAAATAATCTAAATGTTGACTATTATTTTCTGCCTTTTTTATTTAGCAGCCCGTTGACGAGTTTAATTGTCATCAGTGAAAATAATACACAAAGTGAATCTATTTGAGGTATCATTATTTATGTTGTAATTTCAATCATTACATAAACGAATACTAGTTATCTTAAATTAGTACGTTACAATAGTGAGTGGTCTTAAAATACATATAGGTTGTCTATAATTATTTAGTGTTATTGTTGTTGCATGCGATGCCAAAACGTAGCGACAACGGACAGGTGGGAGCGAGTAGCAGGCGAGAGCACAGGTTTATGTAACGCGAGGGCGCGAACGAAGCCGCGCGTCGGCAGTGCTCAGCGCGTCGCCCGTCAGACCGTCGGGCCGCGCCGCGATATGGACGGGGCGCACGGTAGCCCGCCGCCCAGCCCGCCCGCCGCGTCGACCGGCTTCAGCGCCTTCTGCAGCGCGATCTCCGACACGATCTCGGTACGTACCGACACTACCGACACCCACCTATTCGCCTGTTGCGAGTGTTGCGACGTTTCGCGGCCAGTCGCGCGGCTCTTGCCTTCTAGTTTTTATGACCCCGACGCCGTCCAAAACGCATTTGGCGCCGAAACACTCAATACGTTCCCGATTAATAATCTGATTGATGATGATCATTCGAGTGTCGCGTAGGCATCTATTTCGGGGCGCACGTGGCAGTCGAGGTCGCCTAGCGAGGTCTTCGCGACGCCGTGGCCGGCCGGTCCGAACATTAGCGTGGTAATAGAATAAAAGTCATGGAGGGAATAAAAAATATAAACAAGTTTATAATTAGAGTGCTCGTTGAGGCCGGGTCGCACGGTCGCGATTTGTTTGATGGTGGTGATCTACCGAAATACCCGCGCATTAAACGTCCGTCCGACGCACAGCGCAGAAAGGTTGGCTGCGACGTCGCATTCGTACTACCCCAGCTCCGCGATCGCTGCGACCGCGCCGCTCATTCTACTACTTCAAAAGTTCGCGATTCTGTATCCTTCGTGACCTCGTCCTCGTGTGCATTCACTAATTTGTCATAAGTACGTACAAAATCAATTTTTATCTTGCCACAGCATAATAACAACGGCGATGTAAAACTATGTCTCTTCTCCTTTCTCTATTATTTGTCATGGTGTGTGTTTTTCTTATCTATTATTACTAAGATGATCGAATTTGAGTGATTAGGCTTAAATTAATTATTTAATTCGTGGTACAGTTGTGCCCCTTGAAAGAGAAGGTCGCAATTTCGAATCCGGGCGTATATTATTACAGTTTACGAAAAATATATAAATTTACATCGTTAATTCAAAAAAACAATTAGTCCAGCGGAAAGTAATCGTAACAAAATAAATCACGCTATCAATCAATGCCTTCAAATTTGTTATAATTCGCGTAGCTACCAATTGATTCTCAAGTTTTAAAAGCGTAATTTGGTGGAGATAAATCTATAAAGCACACAGTTTCTGTAATTACTTAATCATTGTAATACAAGAATTTTCTGTATTTTCTTTTGTTTGGTTAATATCGTTTCAAATTTTTCACTAAACTTTTGATTTATTAGCACCGTGGCACGTGTAAGTCACATGTTGGATGTACCATTCAATGAATAGTCTTTGTATAGTTATGTATATTATGTATATTGCACTGTAGAGTCGCAATTGTGTGATTTTTATATTTAAAAAGTCTGGATTCTCGATTATAATAATAAGTTTGGCATTCGACACTTTTGTTATGACTACTAATTTGGGATAGTTTTTTTTTCACTAGCGCTAGATTCCGTGCGTTGATACCTACGCTCTTTAGCTCATCTGCAGCAGAACGTGCAAACAGTGCTCTATAATAATGTGCTAAGTTCCGTTCTCACGACAATTTTACACGGATTACTAGCTAGCTGCAGCTACTTTCAGTAGTTCAGTAAGCGAAGTTTTTTTTTTATTGCTTACGTGGTTGGACGAGCTCACAGCCCACCCGGTGTTAAGTGGTTACTGGAGTCCATGGACATCTACAATGTAAATGCGCCACCCACCTTGAGATATAAGTTCTAAGGTCTCAAGTATAGTTACAACGGCTGCCCCACCCTTTAAACCGAAACGCATTACTGCTTCACGGCAGAAATAAGCAGGGTGGTGGTACCCACCCGCGCGGACTCACAAGAGGTCCTACCACCAGTGGCAAGCGTATAAGTTACAATTCTAAGCATTATTTCAACTTTGTTAACCATTTTTCCGGAGCAAAGAACTCCATATGCAACTAATAGATATATATTATTATAGAGTCTAACATATGTCATTTTTATATGATGTGTCTTTTGATAAATAAAGAATTAAAGATTTAGGTTTCATTGAAAAAAAAAACCTCTTTGATAATGTAAATGAAATGGCGGCATATAAATCATAAATACCTATAGTATAACATAGTCGTAGACCGCTTATTATTTTTCTTCGAACCACGTATTTTCGAGAAATTTACGGTGTGCAGCAGAGCGAATATATCTCCTTTGAGTAGTCGTTCTATAACCGAAGGCGTAGACGATAGTAACTTCCTATAAATGAACCCCTTCAATCATCCGCTTTTTGAAATCACAATAAAAACGTGCCATCTGCCTAATGGAGAAAAGACATTGTAACACATTAACACAATTAGTTATTTAAGTACGTATGAAGCTCTAATCAAGGCTGGAAATGTGCTGGAACGTGCAAGGTTAAGTCCAAATGCTTGTAACCCCATCGATCGACGGCACGCAACCCTCGCGCTTGCTTAAACTATTAACTTCTACGACTAAACAGCTCACATTAAGAACCAGGTTGAAATGTTGTGTTGCGACCTTGCGTCATACTCTTAGGTAATATTAGTAGTTGACATTCCGCAGCTAACCCTCACATTAACAAGGTTACTGCAATTTTCTCTGAAATTAGTTTGTGCCAGAATAGAATTTTAGCATTTTCATAGTTTAGAATATCTATATTGTATAGAAAAGAAATCAATTCGCTAATCTTTGATATTATGGAAACGTATAAAGTTATTATAATTTTGTATTAAATTGAATATCGCGCTGCCAATTAAAGTTTTTGAATATTAGGTAATGAATGAGTCTTGAACTTTCCTCCGCTACGACTGTGAAACCAGTTTGACAACATAATAAATGTTGTTGATTTTTTATCGTGATTTTTTTTTATCAAAAAGTTATTACTTAAGAAATTACTAGGTTTATCTTTGAAGTCTTACTTTTAGATTAACGTAATTTGACTAATTTCCATGATTTTTATACAAAAATGTTGTTAAAGGCTAGTTCTATTGCACATCAAATAAAGTTTAATATTTCATACTTAAATATAGCAAATATTTCTATCTATATTTAAATCTTTAGTATTCTCATGAAATTTACTTTTACCAGTGAATCGTATGTCATTGGTAAACATTCACGGGCCGAACGAAGATTTAGACTCCGTTCGTATGTAACGCAAACTATTTGTGAGTTTTCCCGCCTAAAACTCCATCACGAAAAGTGTTTCTTACCAAATTATTTCCAGGAAAGCTATGTCCACATAATAACTGGGTAATCCGTTCGTTGTTGGTAATTCCTTGCCATTCTGTTATTTTGCCTAGAAAGTCTATTTTCATTACTTCTTTACTGTTTACTGTTTTGTATATCGGATTACGTTGTCAATAATTTTTTTTTATATCTCACACTTGAGTATAACATTCAACCAGAGATCTCTAACACTAGATTAATGCTTCGTTGCTAGTGAAGTTGCTACTAATTTTAAAGTGGTACTAATAGAAAATGACATAACAGCGCATAAGTAGGTACCTACAATTCGTACAATATTGTAATATGTAATTTACGTCAAAGCCGTCGGTCATACTTCAAATCTTTAAAGTAAACTTTCCGTATGTTGCCGTTCGGTAGCGATGTTCGTGAAAATAAGCAATTTATTCAATAAAAGGAAACCAGTAGACTCATGATTTAACAATTTGTTGCTTATTTATTCGCTTTCATAATTTTAATAAAATGCGTGATTAAGAATCCTTTATATATATATAGATAGATCCTTTATAGATAACTTTAACTGTATCACTACATCTCCTACAAAATACTTGTGTTTAGCTTTCAAAGTAAACTTTTGTATGTTTTTAAGTTATTATCTTCTTTTTTTACTTAGTTACTTAATGTTTCTAGTCCAGTTCTGAAATCTCTCAAAATACATCTCATTAATCGATTACAATTATGATTGATTGTAAGTACCTATTTGTAATGAATTTAGTAAGGGAATTTAGTTTATTATTATAATCTTGAAATCTTAATTTTATGTACATTACCTACAATGTGGTAAATAAATTTATTATGCTACCTATAAAGATAGTTTAATTAGTAAACTTAATTGACAAAGTTTGTCAAAGAGTAGTTAGTATTAAATCACGATAAGCCTAATAATATAAATACCTTGATCTAATACCTTGATCTTGCTATTTAACTATATCCAGGTTACGCTTTCTATCTTATCTATATTATGAATTTAGTTAGAAACTACAAGGCGTATTTTATATAGCCGCATACCCATTCAGTTTTAATGCATTAATATTCCTGCAATAACGAAGTGCTCAAACAAAATTCAAGAATGTTTAAGTAATAAAGCGGTCTGGAATAATAGGAATCATTCCATAGTAATAATAATATTACATATTATATTTTGCAAACTTGACCTACATTGGAAAGGTGAATGACACGCTCGGCTGTAATTTTAATTTATACAGAATTCTATCAGCCAATCGTCAGTATGTCAATTGTATCAAAATTTGAAATTGATGGAAATGCATAAGCCGCCGCTAATATACTAATTTAATTTATAAATATTTAGCAAAAATATACATTGTAACTAAAACACTGATCCCTTTTATACAAGTTTTCTTTCTTGGATGAATGCCAAATTTATATTATAAGTCGGGGTAAGTGTGCATCAGCGTTGGTCACAAATTATGACATTCTAAAATATCTTTTATACTGTAACATTTAGTTTTATAGAATATTTCGTTGTTTTAAAACTTATAAACGACCTAATTAGCTTTTTTAATCTATCGTAAATTTATACTGGTCAAATATTATCAGTGTTAGCACTTCTTCGTGTTATTAAAGTCAATATATTGCCGAATATCATCAGACAGTCTCTCAAACAAGCTTGTTAAGCTATCACTCCCGAAGCCAAGATGCTAATATCGAAGGTTAAAATACACCTCCTTCAACATAATTGTTTTGACAATCGAACACATTACAATATTCATTTTCATAGCTATGTAAAGATACATATGATTTTAGGACGGTTCGTATTTGGATAAGGCTGTAATCTAAATCAGAAGTAAGTCACGTCAGCTAATTTCCATTGCATTTCATTGCGTGCTGCATATCAACACAATTTAAATATTAAAATTGCAGCGATAGAAAACTAGTTCAGTAGTTTTCGTGTTATGCTCGAAGAAACAAAAAAAGAAATGGACAGATAAACCAATAAAAAATCCATATACTGTGGTTAGACGCCAATTCAGAGTATAACTTTTTTAAATTTCTTCATTGTATAGATTGTTACGTTCTTCTTTTCTTACTACCTTAGCTTTTTCTAAGCGATCTTTTCTGTTAAATTTTCTTAAAATAACTCTACTATGTATGATAAAATATTTCATGTATTAAGTATACAAAGGGGATTGCCCACTCTCCATAGTGTGCTAGGCCCAAGATGGACATCAAATATTACTATAAAAATTTACTGATTCAAATTCTTAAATGTATTGGATATCTAAAAAATATAATGAAATTGACGCCACTATTATAAAAAAAAAAAAAAAAACTCGTTTTGAGGTTAATTTTCTATATAAATAAGTGTCGGATTGTGAGATACTTCAAGAACTTTTCTTTTCTTAATGTTTAAGATGTTCCTAATGTATTTTTATCCAATAGGGTATAAAAAACAAACTTAATTCTTTAAATATCTATATTTTCCTCATCTTCATACACAATTAGTATCATCTAAAAATAGCAAAAGAGAGCATATACACGGTTTTAAATCTCGGTCAGGGTAAAACCACAATTCACACAATGTTTTTTAGTCGTAGTATGAAACGTTATTGATAAAAGTAAAATAAATCGAAGAAAAATCAAAACACATCCATTTTGTACGCAAGCACAACACCACGAGCAGCAAGCGAAGTGTCAGTCAGTCAGATTAAATTCAGTGTTGTCAGTATAAAGAAAAATAATTACATGAAATTCATATATCGATTATTTTTTTAAATAACCGATAATTGATTTATATCTTAATCTTTTTTTTACGAGTAAACATTATTTTTTATGTTTTTGTTTTAGTTGTACATATTTAAATAACAATACTAGTAAAGTTTTTTTTATTGCTTAGATGGGTGGACGAGCTCACAGCCACCCTGGTGTTGCTAAGTGGTTACTCGAGCCCACATACATCTACAACGTAAATGCGCCACCCACCTTGAGATATAAGTTCTAAGGTCTCAAGTATAGTTACAAGTTAAAGTCCAATGGGTATGTCTTCGATGTTATTTTATGTGCATAAAATCCATTAAAATCGTTTGATTAATGATAATACTTAAAATGATTTATTTATATGTTTTATTTATATACTCAAAATATTTACTTCATACGTAAAAGGATTTGAAGCTGGCAATATTTTTCCCGCAAAAATAAAAATCCTTGTTTTTTCAATAGAGTTACTTTTTTTAAACTACTTATTGTAAACTGTAGTGGCGCTTATTTGCAAGAAAGTAAATGCATATTTATTTATGACAAAATTAATGCACTAAGTATTTTTTCTATAATCTATTGTCCGCTTTGGGCCTAAAATGGGCCATCCCCTTTTAGAATACAATAAAATTCTTTGGATAGACATTTATTGTATGCTAAAATCAGGCATTATTATTTATTTGACTATACTCAAATGTTTTCTAATACATACAGTTCTTATTCATTTCTAATGAAAAACAATAACGCTTTTTTGCGAACTTCATATTACCGGCTTATAAAGCTCCGATAACTTATTATGAGTAAGATCGTTAATGTTTTAGTATACACCTTCCAGCATTAAAGACTATTTGATGTCTATTTTATTTTGGGTATAGAACTGTAATTAATTTTGTCAGTAAGTATTTTATGTTTCAATTCCAGCGTTATGCTTAATATAAATAAAGAAGATTGTATAAATAAAAAGGAATTTCATTAAGTCTACTTAAGCAGAGCTAGGGAGCTATAGATGTAATACAGTATGAAATTACCAACAAATTGAAATAAACAACAGCAGCACTAAAAGTTTGTAATATGCTGCGAATGATATTATAAATATACTATAAGTATATAATAATATAGTATATGGAATAAGTCATATTTATCTATTCTTATTAACATTATATTTTACGAATTGATCTCGCGTTTTTTGTTCTCATTATATAGTATAGTTAGCATAATAATCAATTGTTGACAAAAACATTTTAGTCGTCCGTAATCGCTAAAAATATAAAACATTTGAAACGTCAGAAATAATATATGTAATGAAAATAAAAAAACGCGGGACCACACCGTAAACATTGTGCCTGTGACTTACGAAAACTGACAAAAATACTATATGTATATTCTATATATAATATAAAATTTAATAATACTATGTATATAATTATAAACAGGCTTACTAATGGTAGGACGTCTTGTGTGTTCGCACGGGTAGGTACCACCACCCTGCCTATTTCTGCTGTAGAGCAGTAATGCGGTTTCGGTTTGAAGGGTGGGGCAGCCGTTGTACTGTAAAAACTGAGATGTCTTAAAGTGGGTGGCGGCATTTACGTTGTAGATTTCTATGGGCTCCGGTAACCACTTAACACCAAGTGGGCCGTGAGCTCGTCGATCCATCGAAGCAACAAATAAATTAAAAATGAAAAGTCAACGAGAAGAGCTGTCACGCAAATTTCGTTCAGTATTCAAATCAAAAAAGATATTTAAACAATAAATAAATACCGTAACTAATTGAACGAGACAATAATTTTACAGAAATGCCAAAAACAAGGCAGCCATTGAAGTGTCGTCATTATCAATAGCTGTCGTTCTGTTACTCAACACAATTCAATACCGATTAATTTTTATTTATTTCATTCTACTTAAATTTTGGTGGATCGGTTACTAGTTTGAGCTTCTCTTTTATGCTCAAACGCTTTATGCCGTGTTGTACCTGTTCTTATACGAAAGTGAAATATTTATTGCGCTATAAGAGTATTTCTAAGTATTTCAAAACAGGAATGATTCCTAGAAATCTGCCGCTAATAGGATTATAATCGATTCGGTTTCGCAGTGTTGGAATAATATCGTAATAGAAATTAAATTCATATTTCTTCGTCTTTCCAGGGAATGGCGACTACGTCGAGGAGTAGAAGAAAAGTAAGTTTATTATAAAGACAAATTTGAAATGAATCAATGAATTTTAATCTGTTGTAACATTTTGTGCACTGTTTTTATGGGAATCGGAGAATATTAAATGATATTTTATATGTTAGTTAATGTGATTCAAGATAAAACGAACTGTAATTACAGTTTATGTAAAAACTAGTAGTTGTAATTTTTTTTTTGTATTGAAATTACTTGTATTGCACTTAATTGATTTTTAATTTAAATTATTACTTTTGACGGCTAAACGATCGGGCACGTAGACATTAAAAAGTCATTTTATTTAACGGCTGTATTTAAAAGATGCGACGGTTCAAATAGAAACGTGCCGTTGCTTCCCAGTAAAATTAGGCATGATAGTGGTATCTATTCGTGCAGCCTTACGATATGCTCTATTATCACTAAATTACTTCACTGATGATGAATATAGTACAATCCATAGAATATGCACATTCTTCGGCGAATCCCATACTCGTCTATTTCGACATCTACAGAAAGAGACTAGTAAGTATATTGGAAAATATAGTTTAAAATCATCTGTGTTTTTAATGCCTATATGGACGAATGAACTCGCGGTCCGGTAGTTGTTAGATTTCTAAATCGGCTAACGATGTTCTGATGTCAAATGTTTTTGGTAGGGGTTGAAAGAGGATGCTCTATGCCTTTTACACAAAGGGAGTTTGTGAATGTGGACTAGAGACTAGACTAGTATTAGAAATATTAGACAGAAAATACAATATGTACATTTAATGTTATATATGGGTAAAGGGAAAACTGTGAAATAGAATTATATAGTTGTTACTATAGTTTTGTCAATTCAAAATAATAAATGAATTAGTATTTTTGTTTGTTGTGCTGTTAATGACTGTAGTCGAATTTAGGTCATTGGAAGAACACAAGTGCAATTAAACGTGTCTGAATAAAGTGGTTAAAGAGTGAGGGTGTTAGGAGGAAGGGGCGTGACATAATATTTGTTTGGGAGGCAAACGTACACATCTAGGTACTCTCGTGGGCAAGATTAAATATGTAATCCTCCTCCTCACATTGTCTTTCACGTCACTGAGGGTCGTGATTCCTCCGATAAGAGATTCATTTCTCGTTGATGGTGCTCTTTATTTTTCTCTGTCTTTGGTGTCGTGGCGAGCACTATGCAGCTTGGTGTCGAAAATTATAGGATTTGATCGGGTCATTTAATTGGGCTGCGGCCTCTTGGTCTTTGTCCTTTGATCTTCCCAGTAACCATCAGCTGCTCGAGGTTATGTTCGTCTTTTCGTGCGTTGTGGCAAAAGAACTCAAGGATCCATCAGAGACAGATGTATTTTTATAAAAGAAAAAAGAATATTATAAATTTTTTAACAAAAAAAAATATAATTGGTAAAAAAACAATATTAGATAAAAAACCAAAAATTAGAATATTTATTTGTGACATGACATTGACATTGACGTTGACATTGTTGTCTAAGCATTTCATACTTCAGTGAAGCAAAAGCACTTGAATGACAGGATACTTAAATTATAGTTGCCCAGAATGTCGTGCTCGCTGTCATTTTGCAGGAACGTATGAAATGTCTGGAATCTTTCTGAGCGGTTTTCCAGCTAGGGTCGCGATAAATATGCAGCGTATGTTTGAGATGAGAACGCTTCACAACTATGTTCGTGTGGTACAATCTCAAACATTTCACGTTGAAACTCTGTTTGTATTTGAGTGCAAAAGTTATTTTTTTAATGCAAATAAACATTTTCGTTATAAAAATTAGATAATGTTTAACTGCATGAAAACAGGAAATTGTCATCGTGTTCGCTTCTTTCTGACTAGAAAGACATAACAATCGTGAAACTAGAACTTGTGTACGGCATTAAATAAAAATGCTAATTTCAAATCAGTTTGTTTGTACTTTGTTAGCAGACTTTGTGAGATTGTTTGTTTAACGAAGTCTCAACGATTAAATCGGGTTGATTTAGTACACTCTTTGAAGATGCCCTGTGTAGTTTTCTGTGTGCACAGGCAGCTATAGATCAAGATTCGGTTTATTTACCTACTGTAACTCTGGCTTGTCACATTTTTTCACAAAGCCATCGTTTATTGGCCGCGCCACGAAATTGAAGTTGTGCCAAAAACGACACGAGCTATTTCTAAGCGAACTTCGATTCGGTCACATATCGCTTGCACTCCAAGTCCAAGTACTTGTAGTTTTTTTTTTTTTATCAAATACGATTTACGTCGTTATAACAATTTGTATAAGATGTTAGAAATTTCGTTATTTAATCCGATTAATTTTAAGTTGGTATTTGTTTTCAACTAACCTAGGTTTATTTTACTGATCATGAAACATTTTTAGATATTCAATTTTAATGTTACGTTTACTAATGGTCGGGTATCTTGCGAGCCCGTATGTGTATGTATGTGAGACTTAGAACTTATGTTTCAAAGTGGGTTACGGCATTTATGTCGTTGATGTCTATGAGTTACACTGACCACCCGTGAGCCCGTCCCGTTATCTAAGCAATAAAAATGTTTTAAGGTTTATTCTTGTTTGTTAATTTCCTTAAAAAATTCAAAGTACCAACAAATTTTACAAGAAGAGTTCCTGGTAAAAAAAAAAAAAAAAATCGATTAAAATCAAACAGAGTAATCTGACCCAGCGTGGGATTTAAAATAAATATCGATATATTTTAACAAGCTTGTTCACAGCACGGATATTTGTCCAACGTGGAAGTCGAACCCACGACTCCCACGGCCCACCAGTGTAGCTAACTACTTACTGCGTTGCCGATTCAATAATAAAAACATGAAGTAATTTTTGCAGTTTTCTATTTCAACTACAGCATTTCACTATTAGGCAAACTAATTATAGTCTCTATAGCATCGCTGTTGAGATATTCAACAAATTTTTATTGATTAAAATCACGTGTGTTGGCTCGATACATTAATATTATGAAATCACTCACTCGCCATAGAAACATAAAACTCTGCTATAGTTACGTTTTTTTTTAATTCCATTGTAGGCAGACTCGCATACGGCCCACCTGATGGTAAGTGGGGTCCCCGTCGCTCATAGACGTCAGAAATGCCAGGGGCAGAGCCAAGCCGCTGCCTACCATAGAAAACTTAGTACTACAAAACCACGTATCGTAGACTTGGAAGAAATACTCACACAGTACCTATTTCCTACGCGGTAAGGTTTAAAATGAAGTTTGAAGGAGTTCCTCAGTTAGGCTGCGGCTTCTCTTTGCTTCTGCTATTACTAATATCCATCAGCAGCGGTTTCTCCTCACCAGCACATTTCCCGCATGGTCGTTCCGAAATGTAAAAAATTGAATCAAATTATAATGAATATGCTAATAAAAATAGCAAGTACCTACATGATCTTGTATGCATGACACATATCACGTGGTCCCAATTCCTATTAGACTGTGTATTACTGGTAAATATATTTAGTGTTCGGAGTCTGAAATTGTAGGTTTGTGACATCCGGAAGTCAGGAGAAAGTCCTAATTTAGAGCCGTAGAATGTGTAACGTTTTTAACAAATTGAATATTGTCTACCTCTTTGAGGCGAAATCTTTTTAGAACTACTGTGATTTGAACCTCGCTGAAACGATAAAGCGACAATAAAAAAAGACAAGCGTATATTATTTAGCTTAAGAGCTTACTACGCTACGCTTTTAACGCGTGCGAATTGTATAATATGACCTTTTTAAAACCCCGAGACTTACATAACACACTGAATTTTCAGCGCGTGATATAACATGCATCCGTATCCGTTTACCGGGGACCCACATCTGAATGACATTTTAAAATTTTGCTCGGAAGTACACTGGCACTGTATACTTCAGTTTTAGTACGTACATACATCTAAAGCCATTCAGAGTCTTTTTTTTCTATTTTTAAACGCCAACTCATATGATTTCCGCCTGACTGTTGACTAAAATTATAGATATGTACACTTTATTGATCAGACAATGGTCCGATAAAATTCGACAAGATTGATAACAGTGGAAATTGATAAAGTAAATCACTAACATATTGTATTTCTTACATATTCATTGTTAGTAAATACAGTTGGAGTGGAGCGTATTAAGTTTTATTATCGGACTGGATTTTATGTGCCGTGTGTATGTCTCATAATAATGAGCATGTCGATTTCCAGACGGATGATGAGAAAAAGAATAAGAAAAAACAATCGCCCGTCGACGAACGACCAACGGTTCCTGCACCGAGTGAAGCTATGCTCAACAGTAAGTGATTATGGTACCTTAAGAATAATAAACAGCACGGTCATCACTACACTATAAAACAAAGTCCCTTTCTTTGTCCCTATATCTGTCTGTCCCTATGTATGCTTAAATCTTTAAAACTACGCAACGGATTTTGATGCGTTTTTTTTTAATAGATAGATTGATGGAAGTTGAAGGTTTATATATATAATAACATCCATTAAATAGTGGAGAAATCAATAATAAATTACAGTTTCCGAAGCGAAGCTAGGGCGGGTCGCTAGTTAAACAATAAACTAAACGACACGGCTTCTGTTTTATTCTTCGGTATGTGTTCGCGAAAATTGTGCTCGAACCGTTCATGATAGTGATAATGTTGCAAATAAAAAAAACTGAAAATATCGTAAAAACCTTCGCAACACTTTCCATACAATAATAAAGTTATGAATTATGTATATTATTGGGAAGACGCAAAATTTTCGTATGTAAAATTTCAATCAAGGCGATCGGTCTTTAATTCACTAAATCTGAATGTTTCAAGTCCCCTTTTTAAGATATTATAATGAAGGTAACATAAAATTGTCGTCGAAAAACCTACGTTGGCGTACTGACAGTTTTAAGTGTTAATAGTTCGTAGGTAGTGTGTTTGAATAGGAGCTTTTGTTTCATTTAAAATAAAATACTGCTGCCTCGAAAGAAATTTTCATCACAAACTTACACTATAAATGTGAAATAAATAGCGTAATTATTACAACTAACTACATAATGGGCATACATAAGTCATGTCTCCGATTCTTGAAATTCTAAGGATACTCTATTTGACTAGTATTTTTGCTATAAAGTACTATTTAAAGCTTTTTAATCACATATATGACTTGCAAAGTTTTAGGAGCTTTTTATTTGTTTTACAATTGATTTCCTGTTCTATGTTCCGTGTTTCGCAAACATTGGCGATGGAATTAGGGAATTAATAAGACAATTAAATTTATTGCTAACAAACTCAAGAATGCACATTTGAAAAAGATGAAAGAATTCTTAAAGCTTGTAAATATTTATTTTCACGTTATCTGTTCGGTTTGTTGAAAATACTTTTGTATGTCAAAAATTATGAATGGATGCCAAATACTTTTCTCAGTGAAATAACCTTGTGCGATTTTCTTAACAGAGAATATTTTTTCATACGATGTGCTAACAATGTATTAAAACTAACAGAGGCGTGACTGTCTGTGTATGGAATGTCTACATAATAAGGACAGAATCATTAATTTCTGAATCTGTTGTCTGTGTTTCTTTGTTTGTGTGTTTTTGTTTTTCATTATTCACGTTTAAAGTCCACAATCGAATTAATTGTTTTTTGAACACAAAAGATCGTGACTAGAAAATAATAGTATTTATCTTATCTCGATAAAATGACGGAATCTATAATATCTATATATTAATACGTGAAGCAAAAACTTTGTATCCCTTTTTACGAAAATTTCGCGGACGGAGGAGTATGAAATTTTCCACATTTATAGAGAATATAGAGAAGAAGTGCACAATGCTAATATTTTTTTAAAATAATGCATAAAAGATACATTAAATCAATAAAGAAAACATTACACACACTACATACCATGTATTTGACGCACACACGCATGCATACTATTTATTGTCAAACTTTTGTTCTTGACGTCTGTGGTCAAATTGAGAATAGATTAAATATTGTTTGTCTTTATTNCCATTGGCAGTCACAAAACTCTTCTGAACGACATCTTAGATAAATAACAGGTTAAGTATTAACCTTTATTTAATGCAGGTTTTGAACCGTATTCTTTGAAGGAGACGATTATATTCAAATCAATCTGTATTGACATATCAATAACATTTTTTTGTCCAAATGCACAGATTGCCACCTTTGATAATAGACGACTCATTTAAAGCTTTTTAATCACATATGTATATGATTTGCAAAATTTTAGGAGCTTTTTATTTGTTTTACACTTGATTTCCTGTTCTATGTTCCGTGTTTCGCAAACATTGGCGATGGAATTAGGGAATTAATAAGACAATTAAATTTATTGCTAACAAACTCAAGAATGCACATTTGAAAAAAGATGAAAGAATTCTTAAAGCTTGTAAATATTTATTTTCACGTTATCTGTTCGGTTTGTTGAAAATACTTTTGTATGTCAAAAATTATGAATGGATGCCAAATACTTTTCTCAGTGAAATAACCTTGTGCGATTTTCTTAACAGAGAATATTTTTTCATACGATGTGCTAACAATGTATTAAAACTAACAGAGGTGTGGCTGTCTGTGTATGGAATGTCTACATAATAAGGACAGAATCATTAATTTCTGAATCTGTTGTCTGTGTTTCTTTGTTTGTGTGTTTATGTTTTTCATTATTCACGTTTAAAGTCCACAATCGAAGTAATTGTTTTTTGAACACAAAAGATCGTGACTAGAAAATAATAGTATTTATCTTATCTCGAAAAAATGACGGAATCTATAATATCTATATATTAATACGTGAAGCAAAAACTTTGTATCCCTTTTTACGAAAATTTCGCGGACGCAGGAGTATGAAATTTTCCACATTTATAGAGAATATAGAGAAGAAGTGCACAATGCTAATATTTTTTTAAAATAATGCATAAAAGATACATTAAATCAACAAAGAAAACATTACACACACTACATACCATGTATTTGACGCACACACGCATGCATACTATTTATTGTCAAACTTTTGTTCTTGACGTCTGTGGTCAAATTGAGAATAGATTAAATATTGTTTGTCTTTATTAATATTTTTTTATAGAGTAGAGCCTTGGCGAAATTTGTGATTATAGAAGTATAAAATACAATCATAATAGTGTACAAACTTACAATTCCAATTAATTATAGTCGAATTTCGACTACTGCGGGTCCTCTAGTAACAATAAAACCTACTAATGCTGCACAATTAAGAAAGCGATTTATTAAAACAACAAATAAGAAAACGATTCGTTTTACATTTTCCTGAGAATAAAATAAAAACGTTACCCACTGAATTCGGTATAGGCAGTACATACTTTGATTACCTTTATTCAACATCAATCAACACCACGTTCGTCATTACCATGAATTTCCATTATCATTCATTACCCACTGCGGTTCATTTTCGCAAATAGCTTTTAAAGGTCGACTTTCTATATTAATCTTTGAGCTACGTACGTTTTACGCTATCTATCCACTTTTACGAATAATAAACTTTAAAAACATATAATAATAAATTTTAATTTTAGGACATACTTGAATAACTTTGTTATATTTTATTGTGTTAAATATTGATTAAGTTTAATGCAAAAATTAAATAACATTAACAACCTTAACTTAACGTAAAAATTCTTATTTCCCTCTTGGAAGAAAACAATTTAATTAAATACTTATCAACAATGATTTTTCATATCTTAATGATCACGGAAAAAAAAAACGGCTTGTAAGATATAAAGAAGGAAAAAGTCCCATCAACAGATAACATCATTGATAACAATCATAGTGGGAAGACAGTGCACTGTATAGTCGCTATGATTATTGTCAGATAATAGTACTATTTTATATTTTATTTTAAATTGTATTATAATATAGAGATAGAGATAGATTATAGAGAGATAGATAGAGAGATATAGAGATATAGAAAACATTGTGAATATACGCGTAATGCGTGTTAAAATTGGAACAACAATTAAAAACAACAATTTCTTCGAAAGTCTACGGAATGTTTGCAATTAAGATGAGTCAAACTAACGAAAAAAATCTCATTTCATAAATCGCACTGTTCTATTTAGGCGTCAGATATTTTCAGAACTGGCAGAATCACTGAAACAATACCGACATTTGGCTCGGTCATTATTGCTAAGCCGTTGAAATGTAATTAGCAATAAAATGTTTAAATTTAATCGATTAGCTGTGATAATTTCGATTGACAATATTTTCTTCACAATTCGGAGACTTGGCTCGGTTCTTACCAAAACAAAATAGGTTGATATTTAAAAATAATCTAAAACGTAGAGAGGAAATTAGGTACAGCGTTATTGCTGTAGGTACTATTAGGCCGGTTATTGGCCATTCACTTCTTTACTGTGACTTTATTTTCTTAAAATATACCTACACTTTAAGAATTCGCAAGACACAAGATAACGTTTAATCTATTAATTAATTTGAAAAACATGACGGCACCGTTTCAAAACAGAGTTGTAATTTAAGATAAGAAATGCATGATGAACGCGTAATTAATCTTTTGTAAATATTGCCTGAGCAGGTATATGATATAGAGATGATGATAGCCTTCCATTTTCCCAAAAACACTTCGAAGATAGCAAACCTAGTAGATATAACGATAAAAAATATTAAGTGATAAAAATAGTGACATGTGTTAGTGAAGGACATATTTTAATTTGGTGTTTCAGAAAGCATAGATTTTATAATGAATGTGAAAAAAGACAACGATTTTTGTTAGTTCTTCATCTATTTATGTAAATAAGCAGTGATATTTTGTGAAATAAAAATATCGTTTTTTTTTTTAAATATTGTAGTCGCTTTTCATGCATGAGCGTTAGTGTTGTAATAATATAAATACCTATTCACTATTATGACCTATATATTACTGTACAATGCTTCTATCAAAAAGAACTTACAATATCATAGATTAGAAGTTACGTAAAATAAATAGTACCTACGTGCGTGCGATTTAAATGTTTTACAGAGTTGTTGACCGAAGGTTTTACTCAGATAAAATATGAATAATGTCCAAGTTAAATAAAAGTATTCGCGCCTTTTGGAATGATCCAGAAATGATTCCGAAAGTTTGTCACTTAAACATTTTTCTCGAATTTCATATCTCGGGTTGTTCGACAATATTTTAAAAATATAACAGATTTATTTAATGAAAATGATTTGCAGTTTTTGTTTTTTCAATCGGAAGCGACTTTTAGTTATGAACCAACCTTGAAGAGATAAGCATTAAGGTTTACATTGATTGCCATGAACTGATATACTCAGGTAATTAAAAAGCTATTTTTTGTATCAGATCTCCGTACAGCGTTTGGACTATTGGACCGGGACAGCGATGGTCACGTGACACCAGCGGAACTACAGTTCATGTTGCGTAACCTCGGCATTGAGGTCAGCGACGACCTCATCTCCGATCTCATTAAAGACGCTAGTAAAACTGGTGAGTATTTAATTACGGTTTCTTGGAACGAAGTTCTTGATCATGGTTTGTGGAAGTGCTTGATTCATAAAAATCGAAACGTAACAATAAAGCGTATTATTACGAAGTGCATCGAAGAAAAAAGGAGACATTACAGTGAAACAATACTGAAATGATGTGCTCAACGTTAAAAAAGTATCGAAGGTGAGGAATTTTGTTTTTGAAGAGGTCTCCTGGCTTTTCAAGAGTCGTCTGCCCTTCAGCGTCCGATGATAGCTTAAAATATGCCACCTTGCGATGACATGCTCTCTTGCTTTCCTGACTAGGAACGGACTCCCTTAGGAGAGGTCCATAGCCTCACGATTTTTTTATCCAGCGATTAGACTATCAAATATATACACATTATACTATACAAAATATGCCGTACATTTCTTGATTTATATTTTCTTTGCCTTTCAACTCTTTCGCATCAATTAATTTAAAATTTGTACTGTCTTGAATGATGATTGACCCGATTCATTGTCTTCAGAAGCACATGTTTCTTTTGTAAACTAAGTACATAATTTTATTCAGAAATATATCTCTTTTTAAGACCCATTTAGGTAGGTACATTCAGATCTTCTACACCCCCAAATCCATGTTTTGCCAACCTTAATTTTGTTGTAAAGCGGTTCATATATAGTGTCAATCTTCCAAATTTTATTTCGAGAGCCAAATAGTTTCTATGTAAAATAACTAACAAATGAACAAACGAGAATAAATACCGTTTCGTTCTTATCGCTTGGTTACGGAACCCAAAAATACTTGTATACATATTTGGCCATCAATAATCAAATTGTTTAAAAAATACAATTATCGATAGACAAGATTGCGGTAGGCAGCGGCTTGGCTCTGCCCCTGGCATTGCTGAAGTCCATGGGCGACGGTAACCACTCACCATCATGTGGGCCGTATGCCCGTCTGCCTACAAAGGCAATAAAAAAAAAATAAAAAAAAGACAAGATATTATTAATAAAATATCGGTCTCTTCTTTTTCTCCACCTTATCCCACTAGGTAGGGTCGGCACAGCTAATTTTTCTCTTCCATTCTGTTCTATCAGCTGTCATCTCAACACTCACTCCTCTCTCTCTCATATCGTCATTCACACACTCCATCCATGTCTTCTTCGGTCGACCTCGTCCTCCTCTACCTTGCACTACCATTTCCATACATCTCCTAGTCACATGCATCTTCTCTCTACGCATCACATGTCCATACCACGCTAGCTAAGCTAGCTAAAATATCGGTTTTTGTCTAATTAGTAAACATGAAGATTTTTTTTGTGTACGTACACAAAACCCAATTTTTTACAGTGTACATATGAAAGTAGTGACTTTTTCAGCTGTATAGTAAGTACTATTTACTATTTATGAGTAAGTTAAGATATCGGTAAAACATTTAAGGGCCGTTACCTTACTTTAACCTGAAATCGCTTGACGAAAACTCATTAGGGGTCGTTTTTGGTGAACGTTCTACCGTAAAGCAAGTGATTCTATAAACATGTAATGTCTTCATGTAACATTATGTTGTTGGGTCTTATAATAACACTAAGGTGTGATCCGCAACTGAATAGAATCTTCTTTGGAGTTGAGTCTAAAACTATAAATCATTTGCGTATTTCGTAAGATTACGGAAGCTGAACAATAGTTAGTGTTTCGCGGCTCACCTGGTCGGTGTCTCGTAAAGATTGCCGGAGCCCCCCGACAACACAGCATGAATAACGTCACTTGACGTTACTCATTTTGAATTATGAGATTGAATTCTACATTGTATTTACATACCGAATTTCATAACAACAATTTTCGTTATGTTTGGACTGTGAGATAGACAGACCAAATTTTGCAAATTCTCCGGATTGTATTATTTAGGAGAGTATGGAAAAAATAACAATTATTTAGTCTTCGATCTTTTACTAACTTACAAGAAATTAAATCAGCAAATCAAAGAAATTGATTGCGATTAACTCGATAGTTTCTATTGTTGTGGAGGCGTGCGCCTGTAGGGAGGGCGACTTCCGGAAACATTCGACCTCACGCTTCACAAAGGTTACGTCTCATTTCCAGGCCAACACTTAAACTTCGTAGGGAGATGGCCCCCGAACTTTGGCTGATACAATAATTGATAAAGTTACTGTTGAAAATTGTATGAAAGTTTCACACCGTCCTTTTTTTTCAATTGAAAATTCTATATTTATTCACCAGACTAGGTAATCTAATATGATAAGCAGGTTAGCACTTATTGGTGAATAATTAATTGACTTCTAAGGTAGTATAAAATGCCTTTGAAGAGTTTTTTGTCTATTTAAAACAGCTGTTCGGAAGAGAACGCTTTTAGCGATAAGACCACTTATTGTACAAATATATCAATACAAATATATATATACTGTTGACTGATTTTTTAAATGTTAGTTGTGTTTTGATATGCCACAAAGTATATTCTCTCTCTCTCTCTCTCTCATTACAAGATATTTTGTGTTCTCTCTTATTCTCGATTGTTCGTCGGCTAGATTAATTTAAAATAGATACTCCCTATTGTCTAAATTGTCTCTGAAAGCCCTACCCAAATCTTCAGTTGCCATCTACAAAGCCAGTTTTGTCGGTTTGATTTCTCCTAGAAACTCTTTGGTATGCCTTAATTTCACTAGTCTGGTTGAGGGGTTACCCCAATGTGGCGACTCACCTATATATATTAAAGCATATTCTCGGTCAGTATCAAAATAATTACTATTTTGACCTTCAGATTGAAACGCGTGGCTACTTCGCCATGGCTTCGGCTTAAGAACTTTTACACTGTCCAAATTATTGTTGAATGTCTTTTTCGGTTACTGTATTTTTTTGCATTAGTTCATAAAAATTCGTCATGTTTGACATGACAGTTTTAAATGCTACGTTTTGTTTATGTGTGTTTAGCTTGAAAAAATATCTTTTGTAAGAACGAACCGCATTAGAAATATCTATGCGGCTGCAGTAACAATTGAAACCAATAAAATCTAATAAGAGGCATGCGTATATTATCTTCCTTTGAGCACTAATAAAGGACAATATAGTCGGTGCCATCATCAAAAATGAAATTGTATAAAACAGTAAAAAGACACGTTGTTTAAAGAGCCTTATATGTACGTGATCCCGCTCACCTAATCTGTTAATCCAATCAGATTGCGCTACGTCATTAGCTTGTATGTGGATATGGCTCGGCTCTAGTAGATTAAACTATACCTACTTCGTGACATTAATAAAAGATTTAAAGAAAAATTGCTATGCAAGTGGACGGGCTTATGGTCCACCAAAGATAGACCACCACCAACCACATAAATGACTGATGTATGAGTTCTAAGTCTCAGGTATTACAGTAGAACGCCTTTCTCGCCTTTCAAATCGTAACGAATTACTGCTGCACGGTAGAGATAGGCAGGGTGGTGGTACCTACGCTTCCCGCTCACAAGATGCCCTACACGAAAATAATTACACAAAATACTAACATTGGTTTTAAGTAAACAGAAGTAGGGACCGCAGGGTGACCAGATGACGTAAAATGACGATGTAAAATGTAATGATTTTCCCCGGCACGACGTTAATTAAGATTTAACGACTCTGGCCCTTCTGTTGATTGTCGCATTATATTTTCTTACTCATTACTCGGGTAGAGCTTACATTTTGTGGTGAGCCAATATACGAACGTTTAATTACGTTTAGGTACTCACATTTATTACTTGGCACGTATCAAATGGATCGCAAGAAAAGTAATCATCGTTATTAATAAATAAAAAAAAATCTCATAATAAACAGGTTCATCATCGAATGGTTTTGTGAGTATTGTTATTATGAAGATGAAATTCTTAAGCTGGATTACGATCAGAAAACCTCTTTACTTCATCGAGAAAATTGTGCCTTTCAAGCATTTCCGTATTTTGTTATTTCACGTATAATACAGTAGCTATTTGTTATTTTAAAATAAGTTATTTCGATATTGACTCTTCTACTATTTATTATGTTGAATTATAATAGTTATACTCGTGTTATTCGATTCTTTTTTAATCCTGCGGTATTTACTAGAAACTATTTTAGGATGATAATCTTAGAAGAGTAAGCAATACGCGAATTATTGAACCAGAAATGTATTAACTAGACCACATCTCTGAATATGTGCGTCGAAATTGCCGTTGCGCTGTCTGTGACGTTATGTGTCTAAATATCATCTTCTGTTCTCAATCGTTTCACTCATGACAAAGTGATCGTCATCGTCATGTAGTGTTAGAGGAGGCAGACTTGACGCATCTCACGATGTCCCGACATCTCTTCATACTACTCTAGGCCATCCTACCGTACTCATTTAGGGGACCTCTCACTAGTTTTAATTTGGTCGGTTCACGCATAAGCGACCTCCCGCCCGGACTTGTACAGTCTGCCCTTCTTTGTACGACGAGGCGTTCCATGGACCAGCCAGCTCCTCGCGAAACGTGTCCCAAGAAATCCACCATCCGAGACTGTATTATAGAAAACAGACTCTACTTAACGCCAAGTTTTTAAAGTATCGTGATGTTTTTATTAAACTCGGTCCACGAAACCCCAAGCATTTTTCTCCAGCCTCACATCTCAAGAGCGTCTATTTTCTTCTTTACAACTTCACGCACAGTCCATTATTTAACACTAGTTTGACATGTTCTTTAAATATTTTTCAGGCAACGGCTTAATAGACGAGAACGACTTCATGCAGTGGGTGACAAAAATACAAGCCTTACAAGGTTTGGACGTGACTACAAGCGGTGGAGATTCAGAAGAGGAAATAACTAGGGATCTACTTGCAGCGTTTAAGTAAGCAATGGCAGACAAATGCATTTATTAAAATTTTGTTTTAATACAAAATAAATTAGTAACAACTCTTTATTCTGTTGCTATGAAATAGTGATGATTAAATAAATTTTATACGAATATAACGTATTTCGTATTAAAAAGTGGATCTGACCCATAAGCAAAATATTCAGTTGCAATCATCATGCTGTATTATTTTTGTTTGGTAAAGAACATTTTAACGTAGTGTACTCTTAAGCGTGTAGACGTATTTACCCTCTAATATCTAATAGCCATATAATGATTATAGTATAAAGTACCTACATAAAGAGCGGCAACCCCGATAACTTAAGTATTTTCATTTATGCCGGAGTAAATTTTTTTAAAGAAAATAACAGTCACTCTTTGATAAAGATTACGAGTCAGATTTCATTAAATAAGGATTACTTCGTGTAAATAAGAGGTTAAAAAGTTTATTACCGTAGATCCATTCAAAATGATTATTATATCTATATTATTATTTTTTTGTAAAAGATCATATTTAGACTGGCGTTTAGCTTTTGTTTATGAAGTTATTTTGAAAAGTAAAGTAATCTGGTGACTCGACGTAAAAGAGACCAGAATCCTGTAAATGTCACAAATACAATACATACTAATTTTCGAAAACGAACACTTATTAGGACATTTTTTTTTTCTTATTTAAACACTACGGATCGTACTAGAAATAATAATAAAATTATATCTAACCAACATTCACATTTAACCAATTGAATTATTTCACGTTTCATTCCTTTATTAGTTTCATTGTTACAATTCATTCATAGTTACAATTACTGATTTTGCAGAGTGTTCGACCGTGATGACAACGGTTATATAACACGTGACGAGCTTCAAGCAGCTCTGGAGATGATCGGGGAACCGGTTACAGATGCCCAACTAAACCAGGTGCTAGCGTTAGGAGACATCGACCATGATGGTCGGATCGACTATGAAGGTTTGTTCTTCATTTACTCATTTCTGAAATTTGATAATTTATTGCTTTCAAGTTTTTTTTAATTTTTTTTTATTGCGTTCATGGTTGGGCGAGCTCACAGCCCACCTGGCGTTAAGTGGTTACTGGAGCCCATGTTATGTGGGCGGCAAAACTGTTTGTCTTGGAAGCTAAAAAAATACTTCAACAATGATTTGTTTTTATTAAGAGACGAAAATATTTTTGATTAAAGTTCTTTGTTTCATATTTCGTATAAGATGTTACTGATAAGGTTATTTCAAACGAGCATAACTTTATACCTACTTTTTGTTTCAGAGTTTGTTAAAATGCTACTTTAACTAGCAATTTGCTGATGAAGACCTCATTAGTTTTAAAATTAGGATAAAGACAAGATAGTATATTTTTGAAAATATAATCGAACGGAGCATCACGCAATGATTGTATTTGTAAAATACTTTTTATGGATATTAAATTAAATAAATAATAAACCGGCCATATTTTATACACAGTTTATAGGTTATGATTTATTTTCAATAATATACTGATATAAAATTTACGAAATAATGTGAAAATGAATATATTTTTAAACTAGATGCTCCTAATAAATATATTGATGTGAATGCAGAACTGATTGTGTTGACGAGAGTAAGGACGTTTAAATAAATGATGTATTGTAAAATATCAAGACCTAAATACAATATTTACTGTTACTACCTAATAAATAACAAATAAATTGTTACGTTGTTAAATACACTATTTATTAATAATGTTATTGTTGATTATATACGATAAGCTACGAAATCAAATAATTTTGTATTTATAAAGATAAAATACTAAAATTACTATAATACTTAAAAAACAAATTACAAATGCGTATGTTATGTACAATTTTAGAATATAAAATATGAAAAGAAAAGGGTAAACACATAAATTTATAGATTATTTTTATATTCATTACCTAAACGTTATAAACCAAATTTAATTGTAAAAGACAAATCAATAATAAAGCAGCTCTACATAATTCACAAACTGCTTTTTCTTTTAATGCGTATAAACTGCTTTGAATTTTTTTGTTAACAATATTTTATTTTTTTCAAGCGGTTGCACTTTTATCGGACGCCATCGAATGAGAGGTCGAAAGTTGGAGACTGTATATTATGTAGCAACCCTGTTTTAATGTAGGTACCTAGCGTAATGTTTATACACATGTTGTCTAAATATAATTTTCGTGCAATTATCAACTATTCATAAATACAAAATAATAACAAAACGCAACATTAAGAAATTGTACATTTTGAAAACAGAATAGCGTGCTTAGAAGGAATTCAATTTTAGATTGCGAGTTAGTTTAAAATTTGTAAAGCTCATTTTATTGAAAGTCGAATTTTGCTTTAATAATTCAACTGTAGGCAAAGAAAAAATTTGTTGCGTAATTTTTATGGTTGTGAACGATAGCAATTTTAACAATTCCTTGACAAGCGAAATTGTTTTCAACATTAAAGAGAAAAAAAAAAGTTACTCATATTTACCTAATCATCGTGTATCTAAATATATTTTGCAGTGATTTTTTAATATCAAATGGAAAGTTTATATTTTTCAGATTTTACTATCAATATGTCTTCGTGAAAATTTGTGATGTCGAATGATCGTAAAAAATAAATTACAGAATTAGAATTTTGTTTAATTTTCATTCATTCTGCCTTGCCAAGTGAAAAAATCACTTTTAGCGTAATTGTGAGTAAAAATGGTAAACGATTTAAATTGAATAAAAAATATGGATGGATCTTACTCAAAAAATACATCTATCGGGTAGTTTTTAACAAATATTAAATTAATCGATCCCTTCTAGAAATTTTCCAATAAAGTCATAAGGCTTTGGTTCAAGTGTAGGATTCCAATGCGCCATCACGTGACCTTTTTGTTGCCACATATGTTTCATTTCTTTTAGTTCCATGTAACCCTGCCGAAAATAAATTGGATTTGTATTTTTTTTTTCAAAAATAAAATAAATTTAAACACAGAAAATATTGATGGAATTTATGTTAACAAAAAATGTGGGAGTATGAATATCTTACAAATAACAATAAGTGGCGCAGTTTTCCAAAACTATGTGGAATTAGTGAATAAAAAATCGATAAGGGCTTTGGAAAACACTAATATCAGGAGGATCGAGATTTCGTTTTGTTTTGGCAATATTTTCGTAAAGAAAAAATCGTATATATTTTGAACTTCAGTACTGTAACTGAGGTACAGTACCTACTTAATGTACGTAGCAGCTGGAGGCATCTTTGACTTGCATTGAATTAATTTGTTTTACTCAACCGCGGATATCCCTATTTTTCGTATAGATAATATTATATATAAGGGTGTATTTTTCTAATTATACTTAAACTACGCAACATATTTGAAATATTTACAGTTATGTACCTCTGTATAATCACAGTGCTGTTATTAGGTTATAATTAGCTAAAGTTAACTTAATGTATTAAATTATAAATTTTAATGATTTGCTTAAGGTTGGTTGGTTGATTTGTATATGGTAACGCACACATGAATTACCTTAATCACCAACATGTCTATAACACGTATATCAGTTACACAAGCATTTCTATAGAAATATTCTCTGAGTTTCCATCGACAATCTTCCTCACTCTTCGGTATATCGAAATGTTTAACTATAAAAACAAACAAAAAAAGATGTTTTATCACAGAAAGCATATAAGACCCATCGACAATGGCCTTTAAACATAAAAACCCGAATACCCATTGCATAAAATGTCCTTTCATATTGTTCGAGCCATTACATTCTCAAAGTATAAATTAAGGCATATTATGCTTCACCTCTTCCTTACAGAATTTGCAAGTGACTGAAGTGACATAATTCGCCAAGCACGTTTTGCGTAGGCGCTCTCTAGTGCCAATGTGTCATTTGTTTGTATTACATTTAGATACGATTACTTAGAGGAGGACATTTAGAAATTATTTTGTGTGCCTTAGACCTGAGTTTTTCTTCCATTCAAAAATGAATTTGAATTAAGAGTTGATACTAAGTGGTCTTAGACCATCCTCATTGGAATTCTTATGAATGGTTTTGGTCCTTTCATTCCTTTTACAGAACCCTTTTTTACCAAATATACGACCTCTTTGTTTCCATCGATTTATAGGTGGTAGAAGAAACTGACTAAAGAGAGTTTCTCTTTAAAAACCAAATTGACTAGCTCTATTGCGTCCTTCCAATTGATTTAAGAACAGGACACATTCCAGTGTCAACGCATATTTTGCTATATTTTTTGCTGCGCATTTTTTGACGGCAGACGTCTTCTGTTGGAAGACAGATGGCCTTCCAAGTTATATTATGACAAGTATTTTATATAGTATTATATTATTATTATTTATTTATACTTGAAGTATTTATGTAGTCAGTCCTTGTTCTTGGCCCGGTCATAGAACCGTTAGCATATAATAATAATTAGATGATTGACATTTTTTGATAACGCCATCTTGTTGTCTCTTTAAAGCGGTTAGTTACCCTCAATTAAGAAAAATAGTATTATTATTCGCCAATAGATGTCGGGAAGAGTTGATTATTGAAAACACGAATAAAACAACATTTTCTGAAATTAAATCGTAGCTAGATCGATTTATCGCCCCCGAAATCCCCTGTATACTAAATTTTATGAAAATCGTTGGAGCCGTTTCCGAGATTCAGGTTATATATATTACAAGAATTGCTCGCTTAAAGGTATAAGATGAACGAAAGAGTGATCTTTTGCGGCCATTCCATTCTAGTAGAAAGAGAACTTCTCTTGAATTCCTATGGGAATCGGCTGGATTTTATTACAGATCATACTCGAAATTCTATTAATCTTTAGATAATCTCCAATCTTGTGCGTCTAAATTCAAGCACGCTATCGCTCCATAAACCACCTACTTGAATAATCGAACAAGTCAAGTTGTTGATTTTGTACTTATAGATATACGTTATATATATTGAATTACAAAAATGAACTAGCCTATGTATGGAATGTAGCGATAAATAGCTCTATAGAGTCCAAGAGCTCGACGTCGCGCTTCACAGAAATCAGCCGACACTAAGGGTCTCACGTTTTTACATGCAGATTTCACGGTTTCTCGAGCTGCCATTCTGATTTATAGTTTAATATTTTAAATATTTTTTATAGATGCTTCAAATAGCTATGCTGTTAAAAAGATCAATTTTTACTATTTTTACATGACATTGAAATTGAAATTAAAACATGAATTATCTATGACTTAGACAAACTTTTTTTAAATCAAGAACAAGAGCAGCGTCTTTCTATTTTTTCCCGCTGGTAGCCTAAGGGACTATTCCAATTCCAACTACTCGTGGATGAGTGGGTGAGCTCATGGGTTCTACCTTATAAAATTTACTAACACTAGCCCTAAGAAGAGCAGTGCCTTGTAGAATTTACTGAAAAAATCCGGCGAGAAACTCAGTGGGCTGTGATTATGGGCTAGGTTGCTCGTCGAACTCGTTAATTACAGAGAGAGGAGGGTGACTGGGGTCTGAATACTCTAAAAGCACCCAGAGTGGATCCGGGGCATCAAGACATGTTTAGGGCGGCGCGGCGGCGGCTTTGCGTTTCCTGTCGCCTGTATTGGATATGTAATGAGTGGCAGCCATGATAGGAGAGTTATAGCATCGCGCCGCTTTGTCAAAGAAACTTTTAATTAAGTAGCATGGTCTACTACTGCTTACCACCAAAATCTCTCTAATTTTTTAAAAGAAAGCGTTCTTTTTGTTCTTAGTCTAAAAGGATCTCGTTATTTTATTTCAACTATTGCTATTGCTACCTAGGCGGCACTGAACATTTCGGGAATTAACGAAGTGACACAACATTACTATTTAAAAATGTATTTATTGCTTTTCGAAGTATTCTCCGCGAAATTTGACACATTTTTCCATACGATGGAACCAATCATTGAAGCAACCATTCCATTCGGAAGTTGGGGTCTCCAAAATGGCCGTTTTGTAGGCGTCCACAGCTTCTTCAGGTGNCCCTATTGTCTCTTACAATAAATGTTTATTCATAAATGTCTCGCTCTTTTGGTTTCGCTCTTTTGCATGATTTATCAAAGTAATTTATTACATTTTAGTTCAATTCTTTACACTTTCTACATGCATAAAAAAATGGAATAGTATTTAGATACATTTACTCGATTTGTTGTGAACTATGGGATCACTTTAGTCCAATATACCCAAAACAAAACTTTAAGCTGTGCGAATTTGTCTAACTTTACATGTTACTGAAAATCTTTCAACGATAGCTCATATTGTTTTACACGTTACTCCAAATCTTTCAATGCTGGCTTAGATAATTTTACTTGTGACGAGAAACCTTTAATATAAAATTCAGATAATTTTACCTGTTTATCAAATTATGGACAATATATATAAGCGACAATAACTGCTATATACACAAATGATAGGCAATAGTCTTTAAGTATATTCGATGGGCAAAAAAAAACTATATCTAGGTCTATTAAAATAATTTCAATCCTACAGTTAGATTCGTTAAAATATTTTTTTTTCCAAATATTTCAACTTTAAATTGCTCTACTGTAAAGTTCACGCATTGTCGCTTAGTCATGTTTGCCTTTCAAGCGTCGATATATATTAATATTACAAGAATTGCTCGCTTAAAGGTATAAGATGAACGAAAGAGTGATCTTTTGCGGCCATTCCATTCTAGTAGAAAGAGAACTTCTCTGAATTCCTATGGGAATCGGCTGGATTTTATCACAGATCATACTCGAAATTCTATTAATCTTTAGATAATCTCCAATCTTGTGCGTCTAAATTCAAGCACGCTATCGCTCCATAAACCACCTACTTGAATAATCGAACAAGTCAAGTTGTTGATTTTGTACTTATAGGTATACGTTATATATATTTAATTACAAAAATGAACTAGCCTATGTATGGAATGTAGCGATAAATAGCTCTATATAGTCCAAGAGCTCGACGTCGCGCTTCGCAGAAATCAGCCGACACTAAGGGTCTCACGTTTTTACATGCAGATCTCACGGTTTCTCGAGCTGCCATTCTGATTTATAGTTTAATATTTTAAATATTTCTTATGGATGCTTCAAATAGCTATACTGTTAGAAAGATCAATTTTTACTATTTTTACATGACATTGAAATTGAAATTAAAACATGAATTATCTATGACTTAGACAAACTTTTTTAAATCAAGAACAAGTCTTTCTATTTTTTCCCGCTGGTAGCCTAAGGGACTATTCCAATTCCAACTACTCGTGGATGGGTGGGTGAGCTCATGGGTTCAACCTTATAGAATTTACTAACACTAGCCCTAAGAAGAGCAGTGCTTTGTAGAATTTACTGAGAAAATCCGGCGAGAAACTCAGTGGGCTGTGATTATGGGCTAGGTTACTCGTCGAACTCGTTAATTACAGAGAGAGGAGGGTGACCGCGATCTGAATACCCTAAAAGCACCCAGAGTGGATCCGGGGCATCAAGACATGTTTAGGGCGGCGCAGCGGCGGCTTTGCGTTTCCTGTCGCCTGTATTGGATATGCAATGAGTGGCAGCCATGATAGAAGAGTTATAGCATCGCGCCGCTTTGTCAAAGAAACTTTTAATTCAGTAGCACGGTCTACTACTGCTTACCACCAAAATCTCTCTAATTTTTTAAAAGAAAGTGTTCTTTTTATTCTTAGTCTAAAAGGATCTCGTTATTTTATTTCAATTATTACTATTGCTATTAATTAAACACGAAATTGTGACCTTGAAATTTTATTTTAACCATTAGAATCGATGATAGTGAGTAATTGAACACTTGTTAGGGAAAAAAGTAGTATTTCTTTTCTCAACCGTGACTTTTTTGGGAACCGGGTGTTGTAGAACAATTTTTACTTTCATAAAGGCTCGTTATTTGTGCCTTATGACGAAATAAATTTGATATCATTTCATTAATTGACTATATGATAATTAATAATAATACAATTAGTGGTCGTGGCCTAAGGGATAAGCCGCCCGGTACATTCGTGTCGAGCGATGAGACTATGCTGATGTTCGCCTCCTGCAAGTAGGAATCAATTTTTCTAATGAAATACTTCCCGAATAACTTCCACGGCGAAAGATTAACGTTGATTAATAAAAATCAAAATTATTATTTGCGTAATTACTGGTAGGGCATCTTGTGAGCACGCACGGGTAGGTACCGCCACCTCCCCTATTTCTGATGTGAAGCAGTAATGCGTTTCGGTTTGAAGGGTGGGGCAGCCGTTGTAACTAGAGACCCTTAGAACTTAGATCTCAAGGTGGGTGGCGCATTTACGTTGTGGATGTCTATGGGCTTCAGTAACCACTTAGCATCAGGTGGGCTGTGAGCTCGTCCACCCATCTAAACAATAAAAAATTAAAAAAAATGTTTCAAGGTGGGCTGCATTTACGTGATTGGTGTCTATGAGGCTCGGTGACCACTTAACACCACGTCGACCGTGTGCAGCGGCGTTTGTTTTGTGATAGTTGCCGAGTAAAGCATTTAAAAACTTCTGTATACAATCCCAACCTATTTTGCAATTAATAATTTTCGTTGCATAGTAAAAATATACCGTTACACGTATACGTTTCAGTTACCAGAATCTGATTTAGGTAGTAGATTATTCTTTTACACGTTCATAACAAGACCACTGTCATATTAGTGACATGGCCCACACTATTCAGAAGTTTTATGAAAAGTATAGATAGACATTTCATTAAAAAAACGTTTGGATTCATAATTTATCTACTCAAATTAACATTGATATATTCATTACTTAGGTTTAACAATTTCAAGATATGTACAAAGTAAATAAATAAATCATTCGTTTCCAGAAAAGAATTTCGAAAGGAAATTTTTTGGTTTAGGTTCTTCTGTTGGTTTGAAGTAAGCCATAATGTGCCCCTTTTGTTTCCATATGTTCACCGACTCTTTCAACTCCATTTGACCCTGGAAATATAGTTTTTTTTTAAATTTCAGGTCGCAATACAGTACACCATAAAGGTAATCACAGGTGACCATAAATTTCAACAATAGGGGAAATTATCTCCATAAATTAAAGTTAATAGTTTAAAGTGTATAGCATAAACATAATAAAAATAAGTAACTGTTACTAACAAAATGTTATGGTTTTAAAAAAAATTGAAATAAAATATAAATAATAATAATAATACTGCAGCAGCTACTGTGATAAGTTAGGTAGGTAAGCCACGAAGAATTACATAGTCCAGTTAAAACCTATTCTACAATAGAATTGAGACTTCACCCTCTTATTCATCAGGTCATAAATGCTTTCAAATAAGACATCATACCATTAACCAAAATCAATAAAAAAAATTGTTTCTTTGTCTTTTAACCACCCCAAATAGTGCACCAAAAGGGACAACTACACCATAAATGTTAAAATTAACAAAGACTGTATTTGCATTCAAAAGTAGACTAATATCTTTCCCAAAGTAATTTAAGATTTTAACATTCTCCATTGTTATTTTTTTTCTTAAATCTTTGTAATTCTTATAAGTGTTATGAATCTTTAGCATAATTCTTAAAACAGTTTACAAAAAGAACATAACAGCAGTATTATATAAAACCATTTTTTCTAGTACTGTGAAGGAGCCATGGATTATGATTTGAAGGGCCAGACAACTGTTCCTGTATTTTCTCTTAATCAAATATTGATAGATCCAGAACCATATTCTAAAATAGTCCTATTAATGTACATTTTTCACATTTTTACTTCCAAGGCATAGATGTGTGTTGTTTTATTTACTCATCATTACAATTGCAAGTGAATTGGTGAATTGGTGAAAAAGATGGCGAGGCTTGGGGAGGCCTATGTCCAGCAGTGGACGTCCATGGGCTGATAGGATAGCTTTTTTAGGTAATCTTCATAAATTTTATTATTTATGTTTCCTTTTACCTTAATAACCAGCATATCAATGACTCGAATATCAGTCACATGTTTGTTCTTAATGAAGAGTTCTTTCAATTTCTCTCGACATTGTGCTTCTGACTTGGGAATGTCATAATCCTTCACTGAAAACATTATTTATATACTTAATTAATAACAGTTATTTACTGAAAGAATAGGAACATTTCTATCGACTAGTATTGTTGAAATGAAGCCATTTGCGGAGTAATTATGTTTGGTTTTATTTTTCCTATCTCGGCAACAATCACTTTTCTTTTAAAATTAATGAGAAATCAATCACATTCTAATTAGGAGGTGCTATTTTTCGATATAACTATATTAACTACATTGAAACGAATGAAGATGATCAGTTGATGGTATGACATAACACAGTACCTATATAGGGGATCTGACGATACCATGCTTTGTAAAGACTCAGAACTCTATTCCGAGCTTCAGCATGAGACGACGATAGTACTGGTTTTACGGTTTTTGTACCAACTTTTATTGCCTGCCTTGCAGACATTTTCAAAGTGAATCAATCTGTGACTCGATCCAACACAAAAATCTTCTAATGAAAATAAACTAGCGTCAAACTTCAGAGTTGTCAGCAGTAGACTGTCAATGTCACTTGAGTATTAGTATTGTTTTTCCAACTAGAAAGGCAATGGTATAATACCATACAACATAATCTTTTGTATGTTCTATTTTACTACAGATGATATGGAGGGAAATGCAATAAAATTAATTAATTTGTGACATTAATCAATTGTGATGAAATTAAATGAAACGAGATGGTATGGCATGAAATATGGTCTCAGTAAAATGGTGATTATTACTAAGACTTTTTGAAAGATCCTGAGAATCTACGTCTAGTGACTTTGTTCCATTTTCCCATATTTATGCATTTTCACAGATACTATAAAGTTAACAAGCCACCGTTATTACAATTTAAACCGGAATAAACACTTTTACAAAGTAAAACAATCAACACGACTTCGCTCCTCGCGTTTCCTTTTTCTTTTTTAGGGATTTTATGACCTGGTAACTCATGTCTTATTTTAATTTATATTCTTATTTTTATAAAAAATGATAATATGGAGTGAAATGAAATGAAGATGATTAATTTGATGGGGTGAAATTAAATGAAATGAGATGAGATGATATGCGATGAAAAATAATCTCAGTAAAATGGTGGTCATTTACTGAGATTTTTACAGTGGTCTTTTTGGAGGATCTCGAGAAGTTATGTCCAGCGGCTTTGTTTCATTTTCCGACATTTGTGCACTTTAACACATATTAAACAGTTAATAAATCACGGTTATTACACATTTAAACCTGAAGAAACACTAAATAGACAAAATAAAACAAATCACACAACTTCACTCCCCGCGTTCCCGCGGGGAAAAGTCTCCGCGCCAAAAAGTCCCTCGCGTTTCCGCCAAAAGGCCCTCGCGTTTCCGCCAAAATGTCCTGTCATTAGAGCTCTCAACAATCACTCTAACTTTTTATAATTAAAAAACGAAGGAGTATATGTAAGTCATAGACCAATTTAATTCAATTTAATATGCAGAGATGCAATTTAAAGAAAGTTCACGTTTCAAAAATCAATTTTTATTTTTATTTTCTAGCTGTTTAAAATATTTTTTATATCTCAAAAAAAACCTTTCGTGTTTTATCTTTTCCATCCATAAAGATAGTGAATATGGTCAATGCTTATATTTCAATCTTAATATATACAAATCTCGTGTCACAATGTTTGTCCTCAATGGACTCCTAAACCACTTAACCGATTATAATAAAATTCGCACACCATGTGCAGTTCGATCCAACTTGAGAGATAGGATGGTTTTTATTTCGATGAATGGTCGCAATATTTATTAATTAACAATAAAATGATTTCTTATGTTGATTTTTGTTATTAATTGTAAGTTTCATAAGTNAGACATTCTGTTTAGATATTTCAGGAAAAAGGCTACCAACAAAATCTCTTCGGAACTATTTAAATAAAATAGTTTTATTCCGCAGTGAGTAAAACACTATTGTCAACTCGTTAAATATTTAATAATTAAGTGATTTTAAAGAGGAAGTCACAAGGAATGACGTTTGTAATTTTATTAACGAATAAATGTTCTGTAGGTGTTTTTTTATCAGGCGGTCCCTTGATAAGTTTAAAATTTGAATCACTCTCAAGTGAGAGTGATTCAAATGGTGCGACGTACCATCCTTGAGGTGCGCTGCGGTAGTGTGTTACGGACTTTAGAGTCAGGAAAACAATTAAAATAGACTGTAATAGTCTAAGAAAAACACGTACTCAAAATACGATAACATTCAGCATGCTAGAAATGGGCAGATGGCACTGTACTACGCCATATCTTTATGTTTTGCGGCAAATGACAACTTTATAAAATCAGTGTAGCAAATTTTAAAAATCGTCATATCGTTTACTTGGCAAATTTTAAGCACGAACTCGTCTTAGATTTCACATAATATCTAAATCACATCATCTTTGCACATAACAATATACTTACTTCCTATTAAAGTATAAATTCTACAAATACATTTATACTCAACAATATTTAAAATAAAATGACCAAAGAACGTTTATCGATAAAACCTACTAACATTAAAATCTTCTGGGCAGCACTAAAACCGCCATGTTTTGTGGCCAGATGACGTCACAGTGGCACGAATTTTTTGTTGACGTTTCATTTCCATAGGTTTCCTACTTCAGTGACTTTTTATAATTAAAAAACGAAGGAGTATATGAGTCGTCTATTATCAAAGGTGGCAATCTGTGCATTTGGACAAAATATTTTTATTGATATGTCAATACAGATTGATTTGAATATAATCGTCTCCTTCAAAGAATACGGTTCAAAACCTTCACTAAATAAAGGTTAATAGTTAACCTGTTATTTATCTAAGATTTCGTTTCGAAGAGTTTTGTGACTGCCGATGGAATACAAAGTCAATAATTCGTTTTTCTGATTTACCAATCATTTTCCAAAAGTCAGATTGCCGGCTTTGATAATAGTCGACTCATATGTAAGTCATAGACCAATTAAATTCAATTTAATATGCAGAGATGCAATTTAAAGAAAGTTCACATTCCAAAAATCAATTTTTATTTTTATTTTGTAGCTGTTTAAAAAATTTTTGATATCTCAAAAAAACCTTTCGTATTTTATCTTTTACATCCATAAAGATAGTGAATATGGTCAATGCTTATATTTCAATATAACTATACCTACATTTAAAATCTTGTGAACTAGGAAGGAGATAACTTGCAGTTTTAATAATTGATCAAAGTTAAAATGAATGATGATGGTAATTACTATTTTGTATAATTGTTTTAATCACTATTTTGTACCTGTTACTATAGTGGACAGGTCTTCGCGCCATACTTTGGTGTCCGTTCAGAACTATAAGGATTTATTAGAAAAGTGTCTTTCATTCTTCCTGGCATGTATGTAAAGAAAATATCTCTGAAAAATATACCGTTAAGTAAGCTGTTCATTTAAGAAGTAAAATTGTTAGCAGTTGTAGAAAGTATTTTATAAATGCGAGTGCAAAATACTATTTATTTTAATTCTTGCATTGCACTCAAGATTTTTACTTAATGCTCTTTGCTTTAAAGCTACCTACAGTATGGAAGCACTCAAAAACAAGCAGTTATTTTATGTCAGAGAATCTAAACATAAATAGTGTGTATAAATAAACTCAATACTAACAGAAATGCTTTACTTGGATAAACATCGTATTTAGTTGTGGACCACCATAGTCGAGTTTGCTCTAATTGTCTTAGTCTATTCCTTGTTACAAAGTCATTCAGTAATATTTCAAACTGCAAAAATAAACGTAAATATGAGGCAATTCTCTCAATATGATATTGTTGAGGACAATTATCGAAAGTCCAAGCGATATTTGTATTTAAAATTAAATAAAAATAAGTATAATACTTTTTTATGAATGAAAACCAGTTACAAATGTTTGTAATAACATTTCGCTTTGTAGCAAATTAGGCAAGCAAGTTAAAAAAAACCGAGTGTCATTAGAAAATGTACTTAGATTTTTAGGCAAGAAAACCTTTTTTATTGCTTGGATGGATGAACAAGCTCTTAGCCGACCCAGTATGAAGTGGTTAGCGAAGCCGACAGACATTTACAACGTAAATGCGCCACCCACTTTCAGATATAAGTTGTGAGGTCTCAGTATAGTTACAACGGCTGCCCCACCCTTCAAGCCGAAACGCATTACTGCTTCACGGCAGAAACAGGCGCGGTGGTGGTACCTAACCGTGCGGACTCACATGAGGTCCTACCACCAGTAAAGCAAACCCACTCTTTAAACCAGAACGCATCACTACTACGCGGCAGAGTGGCTGTGTCTACCCATGCGGGCGCACAAGACGCCATACAACTAGTAAAAGTGGTGCCACGAAGCAAGGACAGGTTGTCTGTTGAGCGAGACCGTCGCTATTCTAATGCAACGAGACTGATCAAATTCTTAAGCATTCATATTATTTACTTTAAGTATATAATAAGTAGCAAACAAACACTTTATTTTCTATAATAAATACTAAACGTAAAATCGAAACCTATCCTAATATAATATTGAAAGCAGGAAAAACCTGCCGATATCAGAGTTTACACTAAATTGTTAGAAATACGTTTACCAATTTTTGGATTAAATGACGATGTGACCAGTTCATCAGTTTGAGTTCTTTTAAACTAAACGGAATCATATAGGCTCGAGCCCTAAAATCCATATGCTTAAGATCTAACCATCTGCGCAACGAGTGTAGATTGAGCAGTTCTGAAAACAGTAAAAGAATAATTACGCTAGAAAGCAACAGCTATAATCCTTTGTGCGGCATTAATGAGAATAGCACAAATATGATCGCAGTCTGCTCAGTGTGCTTAGTGCGAGTTTCTTAACGTTCTCGATAGCGTAAAAGTTAAGCCAATTTTCTATGGCATTAGTACAGCGTCCCTAACGGCAAACGTACGCAAACGATCCCATTCCATACAAATATCAGCTAATTTTTACGCTTTCGAGACACACGTCATTTCGGATCCTCCCGATCCACTAACGGTGCTTTTAGGTACCTCAAGCACCGGTGACCGTTTTCGTCGAACCCGTTACTTGAGACGAAGGGCTCGACGAGTAAATTAGCCCTCAGATACATGATAGTTTCTCGCCGGATCTTTCAGTGGGTCGCATTTCCGATCCGGTGGTAGATTCTGCGAAGCACGGCTCGTGCTAGGGTTCGTGTTAGTAACATCGTCAGGTTTGAGCCCCGTGAGCTCACCTACTAGTTAAGGTTACGCTGAAATAGCCTTTCAAGGCTCTCAGCAAGGTCTCGCACTAAGCACACAGAATTATGCTGTACGCAGGCGGGCCGTACGCCCACCTAAAAGTGATTGGTTGCCGTCGCTCATGAATATCAGCAATTTCAGGGACACAGTTAAGCCGCTACCGACCGCTGAGTCCTCACCGCAAGCCTCGTTTAAAGTAGGACATAGTCATGACACTCAGAAAGCAAAATGAAAAGGACCATCTGTCTACGTGTGCAGAAAATACAAAAGTTAAAAAAAATGAAATTATTCATTTGTATAATTCACTAACTGCTTTCCCGAGGGCTTATTTTCCCGTTAACCCGTAATCGCACCCACTCTTGAAGATTCTTCAAAAGGTTAGCCTGTGGCAAATGAGGTATGAGCAGCGGAGTATCAGACAAATCCGCTAATAAAGCCTGAAATCGTTTTATTTATATAATAACAAGAAAACGAATAAATTAATTTTTATATCGATTTTACGTTAATAAGGTTTGATAATTTCTTTATTGCTAATTTAACTCAAGACACTGGAGTGGTTGAATAATCCTTAAATAAATAACAAGAAAACAAAAAAAAATCAACAATGTATTCAAAATTCGTTGCGAATGGAGAATACTTGAATGGAGATTAGGAACGCGCCAAATATAAAAAAATGTGTTAAGTATCGTGGGAATTTCACAAGATGACAGTGCTATTTATGAAATTAAAGAAAAAAACTAGAGAAAGGAACAAGATTTCAAGTGTAATTGGAAGAATTTATAGGTTTACGGTCGAGCCGCAGTTGATACATCTGAAAATTAGTAAGATCTTACTCAAAATGCCACAATCGCATCCTAAAATTGAGTATTGAAACTTGCAATCATAAAATGCAGCTTTTAGAAAAAAATATAGAGCTTTTGATAACCGTCACATAACTTGGAAAAGTATTAAGATATGAACATTATACGAATGTTAACACTTATAGAAAGGTCCCTTCTTTTCCTACCTATGCTGATAGCCTTGAGAGGCTATTTCAGCTTCACCCTAACGTTTGTAGGTGAGCTCGCGGGGCTCAACCGGAGAGTTGCTAACACTGACCCTAGCAAGAGCAGTGCTTCGCAGAATCTACCACCGGATCGGAAACGCGACCCACTGAGAAGATCCGGCGAGAAACTCAGTGGGCTGTGTCTATGGGTTANGGCAAACGTACGCAAACGATCCCATTCCATACAAATAGGAGCTAACTTTTACGCTATCGAGAACGTTATAAAACTCGCACTAAGCACACAGATTTCAGAATTATGCTGTACGCAGGCGGGCCGTATACCCACCTGAATGTGATTGGTTACCGTCGCTCATGAATATCAGCAATTTCAGGGACACAGTTAAGCCGCTACCGACCGCTGAGTACTCACCGCAAACCTCGTTTAAAGTAGGATATAGTCATGACACTCAGAAAGCAAAATGAAAAGGACCATATGCCTACGTGTGCAGAAAAAACAAAAACAAAAAAATGAAATAATTCATTTGTAAAATCCACTAACTGCTTTCCCGAGGGCTTATTTTCCCGTTAACCCGTAATCGCACCCACTCTTGAAGATTCTTCAATAGGTTAGCCTGTGGCAAATGAGGTATGAGCAGCGGAGTATCAGACAGATCCGCTAATAGAGCCTGAAATCGTTTTATTTATTTAATAACATGAAAACGAATAAATTAATTTTTATATCGATTTTACGTTAATAAGGTTTGATAATTTCTTTATTGCTAATTTAACTCAAGACACTGGAGTGGTTGAATAATCCTTAAATAAATAACAAGAAAACAAAAAAATCAACAATGTATTCAAAATTCGTTGCGAATGGAGAATACTTGAATGGAGATTAGGAACGCGCAAAATATAAAAAAAATGTGTTAAGTATCGTGGGAATTTAACAAGATGACAGTGCTATTTATGAAATTAAAGAAAAAAACTAGAGAAAGGGACAAGATTTCACGTGTAATTGGAAGAATTTCTGCATAAAATGCAAGTTTTAGAAAAAAAAGAGCTTTTGATAACCGTCACATTATTTGGAAAAGTATTAAAGATATGAACATTCTGCAAGTGTTAACATGGGATTTTTATAGGCTAGACCACGTCACTTAGTGTTGGATTATGAAAATCACATACGTCTGTCTATTTTCTCTAACTTTAGTAGACACTAATTATTGTCTGGTAGCCCAGATGGATTTGAACATTGACTTATTTCAAGCATCAATGTTGTTTTCACGCTACTAATTAATATAGAAAAATAATTTATTCGATTTATTTTTTATTGCTTAGATAGGTGGACGAGCTCATGGCCCACCTGGTGTTCAGTAGTCACTGGAGCCCATAGACATCTACAACGTAAATGCGCCACCCACCTTCTGATATAAGTTCTAAGGTCTCAGTATGGTTACAACGGCTACCCCACCCTTCAAACCGAAGCGCATTGCTGCTTCACGGCAGAAATAGGCGGGGTGGTTGTACCTACCCGTGCGGACTCAAAAGAGGTCCTACCATCAGTAATTACGCAAATTATAATTTTGCAGGTTTGCACGAAGGTACGAATGCACCGAACGTCTTATCCTTTAGGCCACGACGTCTACAACTGGTCTTTATACATTACGGCATTGGTCTTTATATAGCCTATAGCCTTCCTCAATAAATAAGTCATCTAACACTGAAATAAAATTTTAAATCGGACCAGTAGTTCCTGAGATTAGCGCGTTCAAACAAAAAACAAACTCTTCAGCTTTATAATATTATATAAGTTTTAATAAATAAAACACAGTTATTATTAATTACCGCTAATAAATCCTTCGTGCTTAAGCCGGAAGCAGAAATCGTTGGCAGAGACGGTTTTGGCTGTGAAAACAAAGTTTTGGTATCAAAGCAATATAGGAATGACTTACAATATAAATTTAAATATACTAAAAAAAATTTTAACCGTGGGGTCTCCAGACAGCATGGCTTCATTTACAGTTTGCTTAACGAATTCTTCTAAATTATCGAACTGATAGATTTTCGCTTGATCAACCCAGAAAGGCCCATGCTTAGATGGTGGATGAAAATATTTTTCAATCAATTTTTCTTCATGGTAAAAATCATATAGATGACCGCATTTACATTTCGTATTAGCAAGATAGGACATTACATCGGCTTCCCTAAAATTACGTATTGAATTAAACATCTTCGACATTTTGATTAGCCTAAGTTAAAAAAAAAGGAAATGCTGATTGAAATTTAAAAGTACCATTTTGTAGCGCAATTACATGCCTCGTCGCATTCCTCTTTAACTTCTTTAGGAAATTTCCAGAACCCTTGAATACACGTAACGTATTCACCGTTGGCTAGCGCTATCCCTCCATTTATATGAATGTAACCAGTTGGTAACAGTGAAATGCCTTAAAATAAACGAGAGGTTGGTATATTGGTTCCTAAATGCCATGCTCTAGTTTATTTGATTCAGGTTTTAGTTACGGATGTAAATTTTTACAGTAATAATACAATTATATGGATAAATTGGTTATGTTTAAGTTCTAGAATAAATTTGTAGATATTACTTACTCGTCAAGAGATAATGTGGAGATCCGCCGGTAAATGCCACACCGCCGACTTCAAACTGTGAATTAGGGTAAGGCGCTTTGTGTTTCGGTTTTGCCTTCTGTTTTATCATCTTCAACTTATTTACGTATGCTGCCATTTTCGGGTCAGTGTTTCCTGGCGGTAATGAACGTTTAAAATCATATTAATATTAATCATATTTTTTGTAAGTATATACCTACGTGTATAAAATAGCACTAAACATATACGTAAGCAGTTATGCATTCCGATTTGAAGGGTGCGACAACCGTTGTATATAGAATGTTGTAGATTTAATGTTTCTACTAGGTACATGTCTCAATGTGAGAGGGCAATCAGATTGTGAATTTCGGTAATCATAATCAGGTCAGTTGTAAAATTGAAAACCTATCCAAACACCAATAATAAAACATTCGAAATGTTTTTTAAGTAAAACATTAAAAAAATTTTTTTATGAAATTTTAATCAAGGAAAATAAATCGTACTTAAAGTACTGGGTGGCTCCCAAAATTTGTACTTGCAAATTCTCTCAGCTTGTTTTTCTTTTTTGTTTCGTTCTTTACGTTTAAGCAACTGAAAAATGGAAGTGAAACTACATATATGTACCTACTTATATGTAAGGTCGAGAAATTTCTTATGCGTTATTTTTTTATTATTAAAAATGTTTAAAGAGTTTGCATATTTTGCATTAATATTTTTTCCGCCACCTATTCGCTGGTCGCCTATAGGGCTATTTCAGCTGAATTATTCAACTATGCTCTGGCTGGTAGATGAGCTCATGGGGCTCAATCTGAGTGTGCTACTACTCGCGCTAGCAAGAGCAATGCGTCGCAGAACCTACCATCGGATCGGAATCGCGACCCACTGAGAAATTCCGGCGAGAAACTAAATGGATTGTGTCTATGGATATTTTGAATAAAACAATTTCTGCAATATAACGATACCATATACAGGTAGATTCTGTCTATCTATCGAACAGATGCAAGATCTTGTAACCTGATGTGATGATGATATGACATTGAAAGCTCACTTGACCTGAAATACTTAAAGCGCCAGAAATCGGACGAGATTCTTATGCCTGTGCCGACTTTCGGCTTGACGGCTAAGGGTTGACATGGAAAGAAGATCGTTCTCGCGCCAGAAAAGAAGACTCCGACTCAGAAGTTGGCATCTTCATTTATGATGGTCGTGTCTATTTTCATGACTATTTTTAACAGTCCTGAATGTTTCAGACAAACGAAGTGATGCTATCAATTTTGACCGGATAGACATTCAATCACGTGGTCTTTTGGTGGTGTTGAAATACTCTTGGGCCACCTCATACCTCAGACTGGGCGTCGGCATTTAAACTCAATAACCATTTAGCACCAGGTGGCCGAGAGATCAACTGCCCATTCAATGCAACAAAAAAGAAGACCAGAATAGCTTAAAAATACTTTAAAAGCTACATTAGCGAAGTCGTCGTGGCCTAAAAGATAAGACGTCCAGTGTATTCGTGTTGAGCGATGCACCGGTGTTCGAATGGATCGTGATGGAATAACATCGAGTAATAAAAATCAAACCCGCAAAATTATAATTTGCGTAATTACTGGTGGTAGGACCTCTTGTGAGTCCGCGCGGGTAGGTACCACCACCCTGCCTATTTCTGTCGTGAAGCAGTAATGCGTTTCGGTTTGAAGGGTGGGGCAGCCGTTGTAACTATACTGAGACCTTAGAACTTATATCTCAAGGTGGGTGGCGCATTTACGGTTGTAGATGTCTATGGGCCCAAGTAACCACTTAACACCAGGTGGGCCGTGAGCTCGTCCAACCATCTAAGCAATAAAAAAAATAAAACAAAAACATTACTAGAGTGCCGTGCCGTGGTCAGTACTTACGAAGTCATTATTCCTGCACAGTGTTTCATAACTCTGAAAAAAAATACAAACAAGAAAGTCTTCAAATAGAACTGTTATTTATTTTATTGAGGTAGACATTTATTGAAATTTATGAAGTCGTCCCTTACTATTACAATGAAACCAAATATTTCAGTTCACTGAAACATACATAAAAATCCGGAAATAAATAAGTAAATAAATAAAATTACAAAACACGTTATATAATTAAAATTACCTTACGGTATAATCTGAGCGTCGTACGTACATGTCTAGAAAAAGTGTACCTAAAGTATTCGAAACATCAGAAATTATATTCAAGTGTAATGACAATAAAATAAGCGAAAATAAATTGTAAAATTAGTTTTCGTTATATCTAGGAAGAAAATGAAATTTCTGCCGATTTTTTTTTATTACATAGATGGTTGGACGAGCTCACAGCCCATCCGATGTTTGGTGGTTACCGGAGCCCGTAGACATCTACAACGTAAATACGCCACCCACCTTCAGATATAAGTTCTAAGGTCTCAGTATGTTTACAACGGCTACCCCACCCTTCAAACCGAAACGCATTACTTTTTCACGGCAGAAATAGGAGGGTGGTGGTAATTGTTCACAAGAGGTCCTACCACCAGTACCTAATTACACATATTATAATTTTTCGGGTTTGATTTTTATTACACGATGCTGTTCCTTCATCGTGGAAGTCAATCTTGAACTTTTGTTAAGTACGTATTTCATTAGAAAAACTGATACCCGCCTGTGGGATCTAACACCGGTGCATCGCAAGATACGAATACACCGGACGTCTTATCCTTTAGGCTACGATGACTTCGATATTACGTAATAAACGATTTTATCCCTGGAAGCACTTCCTAAGAACGGGTCAAGTATATATTATTTACTTCGAAAAACTGTTGGGAAATGTATGGGATTTGACTAAAGCCATTGTCGCATCGCTTGGTATCGAGCGATTTGATTGCTTAAAAAAAACAAATTAAGCCTTTTATATACCTCCTGGCTTCTTAATCGAAACTTATAACCTAATGGCGGTGGTTTCTTCATCTTTTTTTGGCCAGAACCATGATTACTGTAAAACGGCACGTAGCACCGCTGTAAATATTCACCGTAACGTACATCAGGCTGAAAGTTTCTACGTTGTTCTGTGGAAAATTAAACAACCAGCTGTATGAATGAAATCAATATATAAATAGCATCAAATTTAAAAGAATTTCTGAATATATATCCATTGAGAAACTTAGAAGAGCGAATGGCAAAAAAAGTAGTTAGTAGAAGTACAATAAAAGAATTTAAAAGGAATCCTGTTCGAACCAGATTACGGGCGAGACAAAACAAAATTTTTATTACCAAAAAACCATAGCTATGCTTACTTTTTTTACTTTTAGCTGGAGGTATATTTTTTATATCAGTTAGTTTTTCTAGTTTTTGTATACATTCTTCTAAATCGATGAAAACCATACTGGACATCAGAATCATTGCATTCATATCATAGCCTGAAATTTACATTTGGTAAGTATATAAAGTAACAGATAACACCCGTGCGATTCTGTAAGCGTTGTTTAACAAACTCGCACGTGAATTTGGTGTGAGTTTTCAAATTGGCATTCTGTAAATTTCATTGTAGTGCCGAATCTACACTAGCGCCCCTCGCGGGTGAATTGAACTAGCAAGCGTGAGTTTTTTTTACTAAAATGTATGAGTTGACGTTTGAAACGGCATTCTGTAGTGTAAATCACGNGCGCCTCCGAAGGAGACCTAACAGCTCAAGAGTAGCTGCTTCGCGAATGAATCTACTACCGGATCGGAATCGCGACCCGCTGAGAAGATCCGGCGAGAAACTCAGCGAGCTGATTCATGGGTTAGGTTGCACGGCGAACTCTTTGTCGAGTTCGACGAGTACGGTTACCGAGGTCCCTAAGCCTGCTCCTAGTGTTAGAACTGAAGGCGTCTAATGCAAAGGTTATTGGATCTGATGGATCCGTAAGGACGTGTCTAAGGCGTTGACGGTGACTGGCTCCTGCGTGATCAGGGTTCGGGGAGTAGTCAGCGGCGGCAACGATAAGGCGATTATCATGACGCATAGCCTTATCTACAACGTAAATGCGCCACCCACCTTCGGATATAAGTTCTAAGGTCTCAGTATGGTTACAACGGCTACCCCACCCTTCAAACCGAAACGCATTACTTTTTCACGGCAGAAATAGGAGGGTGGTGGTAATTGTTCACAAGAGGTCCTACCACCAGTACCTAATTACACATATTATAATTTTTCGGGTTTGATTTTTATTACACGATGCTGTTCCTTCATCGTGGAAGTCAATCGTGAACTTTTCCTATAGTACGTATTTCATTAGAAAAATTGATACCCGCCTGTGGGATCCGAACACCGGTGCATCGCAAGATACGAATACACCGGACGTCTTATCCTTTAGGCTACGATCACTTCGATATTACGTAATAAACGATTTTATCCCTGGAAGCACTTCATAAGAACGGGTCAAGTATATATTATTTACTTCGAAAAACTGTTGGGAAATGTATGGGATTTGACTAAAGCCATTGTCGCATCGCTTGGTATCGAGCGATTTGATTGCTTAAAAAAAACAAATTAAGCCTTTTATATACCTCCTGGCTTCTTAATCGAAACTTATAACCTAATGGCGGTGGTTTCTTCATCTTTTTTTGGCCAGAACCATGATTACTGTAAAACGGCACGTAGCACCGCTGTAAATATTCACCGTAACGTACATCAGGCTGAAAGTTTCTACGTTGTTCTGTGGAAAATTAAACAACCAGCTGTATGAATGAAATCAATATATAAATAGCATCAAATTTAAAAGAATTTCTGAATATATATCCATTGAGAAACTTGAAGAGCGAATGGCAAAAAAAGTAGTTAGTAGAAGTACAATAAAAGAATTTAAAAGGAATCCTGTTCGAACCAGATTACGGGCGAGACAAAACAAAATTTTTATTACCAAAAAACCATAGCTATGCTTACTTTTTTTACTTTTAGCTGGAGGTATATTTTTTATATCAGTTAGTTTTTCTAGTTTTTGTATACATTCTTCTAAATCGATGAAAACCATACTGGACATCAGAATCATTGCATTCATATCATAGCCTGAAATTTATATTTGGTAAGTATATAAAGTAACAGATAACACAACAACAGTAATAGGCAACATTTGATTTATTTATTGCTCTAGATGCGTGGACGAGCCCATGATCCATGCGGTGTTAAAAGCGGCCGAGCCTATTGATATTACAATGTGAGTGCTCAATGGTATCTGCGGTTGGTACCTTGAAAAATTAAATCGAAATCTCCATTTTATTGTTATACAACTGTCTCACCTTTCATACAAAACCGCGTTACGGAATCGCGGTAGAAAAAGGCAGAATGGCCTTAAATATTAATTACGCAAATTTATAAAAGTGCTCTTTATAAATTTTTCATCGAGGAAGTTGTAATGCTTTCCTACGAGTTTTTAATAACGCCTTTACTCCTACTATTTGATTTGCAAACTAGGTACCTACCTACGTTACGCACTAACACTAGAATAGGTTTTATTAAAATACACCAACTGATCACATTGGGGTATCTACTTGTTATTTTATATTGAGTTGGGGGTCAATAATCTTTTTTTGTATATTTAGTATAGGTACGTGGCATTTTCGAGTGCATAAGTTTGTCAGCGGGTCTGCGGTCGACGTTATTAATGACATGACAAGGTGTCCAAAGTGGATGGCGCATTTACGTTGTGGATGTCTATGGGCTCCAGTAACCACTTAACACCAAGTGGGCCGTGAGCTCGTCCACCCATCTAAGCAATAAAAAAAAAACATGACAGCGCGCTTAAGATTATGATATGACTTGCTTAGACGTACTGCTAGCCTAAAAACATTAGCTAATAATCTTAAAAAAAACAAGTCGCATACTCGCTCGTCCTTCACTTGGAAACGTTTTGTAAATAGCTTTGTATAAATTCCAAATGAAAACTCCGGTATCTTCAACCGAATCTTTCATAGCTTGCATTAGAACGTTTTTTGGAATTTTCAATGTTAATCCAAGGTCTGCTAGAGATTTTCTTGTTCGATTTGGCAGATCTTCTAGCAGATCCTGGTGTATATTAACTTTAAGTTCATCCAAAACTATCCGCTGGTCGGTCGAGAGTTCAAAATACCACGAGGGTCCGACTTCTTTATTGAGCTGTCTTAATTTTCTTTTACCTGAAATGGTCTATTTGTAACATATTGCATAAAAATAGATATTACTTTATATTAATCAGATAAATCTGATTAAATCGATAGCAATGCTGCCTACAAAAAAATTAACAAATACCATGGATTAGTTGACTTGTGCGCGTTCAAAATATTAAAAGACACAAGAGTATTTAATTAGATTACTTAGTGTACGTAAACTGGGCAAGACCGACGCGGATGAATTTAAGAATTTAATTCGGGCCCTACACAGAGTAACAGAATAACCCTAACAGAGGCTAATAGGAAAGAAAGAAGAACAAGAAGACGCCATACGACGAGTAATTACGTAAACTATAATTTTTGCAGGTTTGATTTTTATTAGATGATGCTATTCCCTTCCCTTCGTCGTGGAAATAATTCGCTAAAATACATTAAGTACCTACGTATTTCATTACAAAAATTCGTAATAACCAGCGTTATTCGAAGACCATCACAGGCTGAGCCCTTGCTCGATATGAGAACAACGGGTATTATAATCTTTAGGGCACAACTACTACCTCAGTATTCTATTTTTTTAAAGTGGTTACTAACTTTCACGGTAAAAATAATAATGGAGATCTCTTAAAAATTTTAACCAAGCTCCTACTTTTTCATTGTACGGCTTTTTGTCAATATTTTGTTTCATTTCCTTCTCCAAATATACCCAAACCGGTTCTTTTCGTGGTCCATAAATTGTCTGAAATGAAACAATTCAATCTATCGATGATGAAGATCTAATAGCCTGAAATAGCACCATCTCATCTCTTTTTGCGGGTTTCGTCGGAGAATAGACAAAGTTCTCTGAATTTTATACCAGCGCACTACAATCTTCAACTAAGATTGTAAGTTTGCACAGATTTGTACCACCGTTCTACCCATTTCTCTCTTTTAAAAGGGGATGGCCGTTGTACAATACAATTGAGGCTTCGACCTCATGTCTCTGGGTGGACAGCATTATTCACATTGTGAATGATGTCTTTGGGCTCGGTTATTTTAGTGATTTTTTCGTAGTTCCAAATAAAACCTTTGGCCGAACAATTTTTTGCATTTCGTTGTCCTCTTATGCCGGCCACTCACATGCGCGCGAACATTCGTACAATGTACAAATGTTCGCGCGCATGTGAGTGGCCGTCAGACATTCATTCAAACTTAGCGGCTGTGCAAATGGGTTCGGTATTCAATTTGCGAACCCGTTTGCGCTTCCTCGTACACTTGTTTACGAATGTCTCACGAATTTCTCTTCTTTTTTAATTCGTCAATAGAACATTGAAGAGAAATAGAGTGTTTAATTCTTTCCCAGGCGTCATTAACGCCATTCTGTTTTTATGGGATTTCTTTTGAGGGTCCCATATGGTCGATTCATTTTGCAGGAGTTCAATGAACTGCATCACCTTGGTGTTGTTCCAATCCATGATGAAGGTACGCTACACAGTAGACGTCACGAACTATGAAAATGCGAAACGTCCGTTACCTTCGCAATCGTGGGCACAACTGGTCACACGAATGTGTGGGAGACTACGTGAAGGATCGGGGTTTGCGCGCTTTGATGTCCGTTAAAAAACCGACACAGCGTGGAAAACCACGAATGCAGCGAAAACTTTGCATAATCATTTGCAAATGTCGTCCTACACTTGTGGGTTTGCGTATTCGTGCGAATGTGAGTGACCGGTATTAGAGTTCATGCTCACAAATTGCTAGGCAATTGCAATTGCAAAGGCAGCATTGCAAAGGCAATTTTAAACAAGAGATTTAATCTAATTTATGTTATGTACATATCAAAATATAACAAAAATTACCTTTTTACTGAGAAATTTTTGTACACTACACATTTTGAAATTTAACGATTTCACAGATACTTAAATTTTACCTAGAATAATTTAGTTTTGCATAGCCCAAATAAACAAATAACAAACTTAAAATTTTGCTAAAACATAATGATGTTTAGAAGTTGTCAAATCTCCATGTGACAATTTTTAATTAACGTTTTCCACAAGTCTGTGGAATTTCAGAAGAGTTTAATAGTTATTTTTTATTGCTTGGATGGGTCGACGAGCTCACGGTCCACCTGATGTTAAGTGGTTACCAGAGCTTATGGACATCTATAACGTAAATGCCGCCACCCAACTTGAGACATGAGTTGTAAGGCCGCACTTTTAACAGTACAACGGCTGCCCCGCCCTTCAAATCGAAAAGCATTTCTGCTTCACGGCAGAAATAGACAGGGTGGTAGTACCTACCCGTGCGGACTTACGAGACGTCTTACTACCAGTACATTCTTATTTCCAATTTATCACTCAAGTGAGGCCTTTGAACAAGATCTTTTGATACCAGCCTTATTATTAGGGCTATCAACAGTCTCTCATAGTCTGTTGCAGTTACAGCACTGCCAGATCTCAAATGGTCTGTTAACAATTTTCTTTAACAGTGTCAATAATGTTGACTAAGATATTATATATCTATTTAGGGGCTATCCAGTTGATGTTTTTAGGGGTTGGCCATTTGAGTGACACTTTACTCAGCTCTTTCCTGCACTTCCTACCATTGACACACTGTCTATTGTTCTGCATATGATGCTAAGAGTAGGTAGTAGCCATATGTGTCTTATCATATGATGCTGGTCTAATTCCAATAGTAATAAAACAAATATTTAATTAAAGACAAATATGAGGGGACTGATAACAAGATATAAAAAAAGGAAATTTTATAAGATATATTTTATTTATTTAGGAACATGATTTATTTTTAATTTTTTTGTTTTTTCCAAAACATCTTTGTAAGGTGGATTGATAGGACTTTGTATTGGATTTTTATACTCATAAGATGTTTGTCCTTCAAGCAGTAGAGAATATGATGTATCCGAGTCATAAGCACTAAGATCTCCACAAGCATTGAATGGCACTATAAATCTATTTATTCCAGTAAAACTATTAAAATCAGAATTCAAATCAAAGTATTTATGATCTAACAGTGGATTGACCATATTCGGCACATAATCTTCTGGGGGATTGTATTTCTCGCAAATTACAAAGGCTTCAATACTCGAATTTCTTGAACTCCTAGGTTTGGATACTGTCACAAGTTTAAAAAACTGTTTTAATTGTGAGTACAGCAGGGAAACATCTTTTCCTCTGAATATTTTGGCCACAAATGTACCTCCATTCTTAAGAACATGGGTTGTTATGTTCAGTGCAGCGAGTAATAACTGAGATTGGACATATTCATCAATATCATGTAAGCCTGTTACATCTGGTGCACCATCACATACAACCAAATCTGCTTTGAGGCCTTGGAACTCTTCTATTATAGCATTTGCTGTTTCTTGTTTGGTAATATCCCCTTGAATTTGTTTCACTCCCGGTAATGCTGCCATCGCCTGAAGATCAACAGCAACTATTTTAACGTCCTCAGTATTTACAGCATTTTGTCGAAGATTCTTGGTTAAAACTTGACTCCAACTGCCTGGTGCTGCGCAAAGATCCACTGCACGCAGTACACCATTAAATATGTTGTATTCCTCGTTAATTTGCAAAAGTTTAAATGCGCTACGTGCACGCCAACCTTCTTCTTTAGCAAGCCTGTAATATATATCTCGCTTATCTTTGGATGTCTTGCCCATATTTTTTTTTTACGAATGAAATTTACGACTTCAAAATAATTAAGAATGCTGAAATAAAATATTTAATATATTTATTTTACTAATATATATATGTGTATATATTTTTAGTATTTGGATAAGGTGGGTAATGTTTGTTTTTCCACACCTGTATAGTAAGTAGTAAATAAAACATTAACGCATTAGGTAACCGTACCGTCCGTACTTACTTTTGTCTCCTTTTTGAGTAGTACTCAGTAGTATAGTCGGATTTTTTATTAGACGAAGTCAACTGACGTTTACTGTGTTGTCAGTTTTTGATGAAATAAAAATAGTGTTGTGACAAAGTGAACGATTGAAAAAACTCCTGAATTAATGAAATTGCCTCGATTGTCTAGTGAATAGTTAGTGTGCCGAACTGCTGATATCGGGCACGGGGTTCGAATTTTAGCCATGCTTTGTACATACCAACGAGTTTTCGACGAAACATTATGTTCCTATGGTATCTACCTGCACTGAATACCGAGTGTTTTAAACATTAAGAAAAACATTGCGAGGAAGCTTGTAAGACTGTACTATTTCCAATGCATCATATAGTTGAAACTATAGATGTATAAAATATAAGAATTATAGGTACATAGGTAATGAAAATAAAAAAAACTGATTGTAGTTACTTACTACTAGTAACATATTATTATATTGGATCACTTTAATACAATTTTATTGTAAAATATAAATAATATTCTTTTATAGTTTGAAATTAATGATTAACTCTTCACACTCATTGTTCATTTATGTGATTGAACGAGAACTGAACGCATCACTATTACTTTAAATATAGCAACATTCTTTCACAAAGTGACATTAGCTACTGTCAGCTGGCTTCGTCTAATTAAAAATCCGACTATAGTAGTCAAATTTAATAAGTGTATAATCTATGGTAGTAGTATTATTTTTCCAACTGGAAAAGCACAGGTATCATACCATACAGCCTAATCTTTAAATATAATCTCAGTCTCAGTAAAATGATGGTAATTTACTGAGACCTTTTCAATGGACTTTTTGGAGGATCCCGAGAAGCTACGCTCAGCGGCTTTGTTTCTAACTTTGTAAAACTAAAAAGTTATCCGGGATACAACTAATACTTATTTCCAATTTGCCAAATAATAAAATTTTTGTTTATCGATTAATTTACCATTTACCGATTGCTTAAGGTACGGTAAAGATATTTAACCGATACTGACAACTATTAAACAAAACTCTATAAGAGTAAGTAAGAGCCAAGAAGTGAAAACTGCCCAACAAACTTTACTCAATTATAACTTGTGAATATATCACCCTAAATTTAGGCAGACAGCTCGAATTACTGAGTCTATCCGCACTTGGAAATTACGGATTATTGGTATATAGGAGGGTAGAGGCATTGAGGATAGAACTAAGCAGTAACATCTCAGTGTTTTTTATTTTTATTTTATTTTTTTATTGCTTACATCGGTGGACGAGCTCACAGCCCACCTGGTGTTAAGTGGTTACTGGAGCCCATAGAAATCTACAACGTAAATGCGCCACCCACCTTGAGATATAAGTTCTAAAGTCTCAAGTATAGTTACAACGGCTGCCCCACCCTTCAAACCGAAACGCATTACTGCTTTACGGCAGAAATAGGCAGTGTGGTGGTACCCACCCGCTCGGACTCACAAGAGGTCCTACCACCAGTAAGAAGTGTATTAAAAAGTGCCCGCTAAATGGGTGCTAGTGAAGGAGTAGCAAGTGGAAGAATTTTAAAAACAGCGACATAAACTATCACATTTCGGCTATGTTTCAATAAACACTCCAAACACTTTAAGGTGTTGTCTTCACTCCAACAAAAAAGTATTATTTCAATAATATTTAAATAAAAATGTTTTTTAAATTAAAATTTGGTTACATTTAAAATTGAATATTTCAGGCATATTCAGTTGAATTAATCGCTTTTCTACTAGTCGAACATACCGTCGTGCAAGAAAAGGTGAACGATACAAGACCGCGCGTAAGATCTCTCGTGCGGTGCCGCGGTGGACCGACCAAATTAAGTCTGAAATGAGTATCTTATATGAGTGCAGTAAGTTGGCCTCGAGTAGGAAGAAGTTGCAAGATATCGTAAGACGTATTATATCTGCCTTCTCCAATTTTACATGACCATGACAATACCACTTTTGCAAGACTGAAGCGATTATGAATTTAACATTTAAATTGTGATAATATACACATGTTTCAATTAAATGTTACTTGTATGCTATGTACTTAATGATCAAAACAGACTATGTAAATTTGTAGTATGATTGAATACGCATTGCAGTACACAATGAGCATAGTCAATATATCATGTTGTTAAACAGGTTGATGTAATATGATTGTAGGTACTTATTAACTCCATGGTAAAATGTTAATTAAGTTTTATCTATGCAAGTCGATAAGTATAGTCGGATTTTTAATTAGACGAAGCTAGCTGACAGTAGCTAATGTCACTTTGTGAAATAATGTTGCTATATTTAAAGTAATAGTGATGCGTTCAGTTCTCGTTCAATCACGAATGAACAATGAGTGTGAAGAGTTAATCATTAATTTCAAACTATAAAAGAGTATTATTTATATTTTACAATAAAATTGTATTAAAGTGCTCCAATATATGTTGCTAGTAGTATGTAACTACAATCAGGTTTTTTATTTTCATTACCTACCTATAATTGTTATATTTTATACATCTATAATTTCAACTATATGATGTATTGGAAATAGGGCAGTCTTACAAGTACTTCCTCGCAATGTTTTTCTTAATGTTTAAAACACTCGGTATTCAGTACAGGTAGATACTATAGGAACATAATATTTCGTCGAAAACTCGTTGGTATGTACAAAGCACGCCTAAAATTCGAACCCCGTACCCGATATCGGCAATTCGGCACACCAACTGTTCACTAGACAATCGAGGCAATTTCATTAATTCNAAAGCACGCCTAAAATTCGAACCCCGTACCCGATATCGGCAATTCGGCACACCAACTGTTCACTAGACAATCGAGGCAATTTCATTAATTCAGGAGTTTTTTCAATCGTTCACTTTGTCACAACACTATTTTTATTTCATCAAAAACTGACAACACAGTAAACGTCAGTTGACTTCGTCTAATAAAAAATCCGACTATAGTATTAAGTAGGCATAGATTATACACTTAATATATTAGATAAGTAGGCATAGATAATACACATTTAATTAAGGTGCTTGCTTTTATTTTTATTGATCTGAAATCTGAGTAAAAGATGATAAAAGCGAATAACGGAGTGTTTATTTACATTTTTTGAATCTGAATTTGAACTAACAAATTAAAATTAAAATGAATTTTTCACCTGGTACAGTGCAAATTTTACAATTCATTCAAAATGATTGGAAGTTAATATTGATTTTAACTCTTCTAATATTTATTTACTACTACTACACAAATACATTTGATTATTTTGAAAAAAGAGGTGTTCCGTTTAAGAAACCTGTTATTTTTCTTGGAAATCTTGGACCGCGTTTGAAAGCCGCAAAGTCGTTTCACCAATACCAATTGGATATCTACCAATATTTCAAAGGTCATCCATACGGCGGTGAGTTTTTTTTAATGAAAAATACCCTAGATTCTTTCGCAATGCGATTTAATTTTATTGAGGAACCCATGACGCTTAAGCATGTATGTTTATCAGAGCCCATTGATACTACGAATGCGACCTATCTTGAAACTTGAGTCGAAGTTTTATGTTTTCCAAAATTATTGTTGTGCTTTTAAAATGGATTACTTTTTATTAAAATTGGCAAGATCATGAGAGCATTGCTTTAAGGCCGAACCGCTTCATGGCCCACCCTTGTAGGTAATGGAACGGTGAAATCACATCTGTTCATGAAAACGTGACTGAAAACTGAAGTGGATGTACTGAAAAATCATGAAATAGAAATATATGTAAGATATAAGAGAAATCAGTAGTATGATTTATCAGATTGTTAGTAATTACTGAAATATTTCAAATTTTTGTTATCAAATATGATTAAACTATGGTTGTGTACAAAAATGTAAAATATTTTTTTATTTGTTCAAGGTACCTTTGATGGAAGACGTCCAGTTCTACATATTTTAGATCCTGAGCTTATTAAAGCTATAATGATCCGGGATTTTGATCATTTTACTGACCGTAACACTTTAAACAGTATGGAACCACGATATCTGAGTCGGTCTTTGCTGAATTTAAAGGTTTTTGACCAATGAAATTATGTTTTGTACTTGTATCTTATCTTTGCTTTTTGTTATTAGTTAAACATAAACTAGCTCATGCCTCACCAAGTGGTGTCTAAGTAGACATAGATTATAACATGAATGCAGTTGTATACCTTGAAACATTAAATAGTAAAACAACTCTACCACTCTTCAAAAAGCAGCCGATTGGCTGTGCCGGGCATTGCTGAAGTCCATGGGCGACAGTAACCACTCACCATCAGGTGGGCCCTATGCTTGTATGCTTGCAAGGGCAATCAAAATATTAAAATAATAGATTAAAAAAACTAAAAAACACTTTATATAAAATTCAACTAAAAATAGAAAATAAATTTTAATAAATTTAAATTGAAAATAGTGTAAGAAAATATATTTTATTGTAAAAAAAGAGTGGGGTGCATGGTGTTATTAGTTGTAATTTTTTTTCTGACAGAATTATGAGTAGTCAGATAACTTGGACAAAGTGATTGTGACGGGCAAAGTAGAAGTAAAGAGACCCCACGGCCGATTACCTAGCCGTTGGTGTGATCAAGTAACCACTCTAACTGGGTTGCCAGTCGCAACCGCCATTCGAGCAGCTGAGGATCGGATGAGATGGAAATAGCTCACGAGACAGGCAACGGTCGAGTTTCAGGGACACGACCTTCAGCAATGAAGAAAGCGACGAAGAAGAAGATATGAGTAGAAGAATAATTCTTCTACTCATATATCTGTCAGAAAAAATATTTCAATAATATCTTAAAAAGCACCCTACACCTTTTTTAACATAAAATATATAAAATATATATATTATATATATTTTTACACTATTTTCCCATATGTCTAAGCTTGGTCCACCATGTTTTAGATCAGTCTAAATCGACCTGCTGCAATTGGTGGTACAGTCATCTATTGACAAATAGCAAGAGCTTAATTGCGCACCTAATAATTTCCCACAAACATGTTATGTAATTAGAAATTATAAAAATTGCCGGTAACTTTGTAGTAATACTGGGCGTTTGGAACCAGAGAGCGGTACCGCTTTTGCACTAGCCCTCTTGGATTTCGTACAATTCCACCCTCGTGCATCTGCTTCAATGAAGTGATATATGTACACTACTAAACTAGTATTTTTTTAAACAGGGCTTAGAATGGAAAGGCGTTCGCAGCACATTAACACCTGCCTTCAGCTCATCACGCTTAAAAAATATGATTCCACTCATACAACAGTGTTCTAAGCAGATGGTCGAATTTCTCAAGAAATTTGGTACGTACCATACATTAAAAATGATGAAAAAAGCATGCATTTACATACTTATTTTATTCTTATTTTGAATGACATCTGTGTGCTTAGTGCGAGTTTTTAAACGTTTTCGATAGCGTAAAAGTTAACCCAATTTTGTATGCAGTTGGAACAGCGCCACTAACGGCAAACGTAGGCAAACGATCCCGTTCCATACAAATATGAGCTAACTTTTACGCTATCGAGAACGTTAAAAAACTCGCACTAAGCACACTCAACTTGTAAGAAAATATTATTCATGAGAATACTTGAAAATTCTAGTTAGCTTGTGTGTAATGTCGTTAATTTATTTTTAAAATACTTTATATTAAATTTTATGATATGAAGTCAAATTCGCTATATAAAGTTTTGAACATAGAGTATTCGTTTTACAACAAATGTTGAGTCTAAATCGTCGCTATCGCTCAAGGTCTTCAGCAACACCGGGGACACAACCACGCTGAGTTTTCGTTAAACTTCAATTGAAATAAGACATACTTGCATTTCGCGAATTAGGCTATACGTTATAAATGACTTGAAAGATTGACCTTGAAATTGAGACACAGACGCAAGCAGCAACTGAAGCACAGGTCCCCGTACTGGATCAGACTACATAGTTCAAAGCATCAGCCCACTGAGTTTCCCGTCGAATCTTCTTTTTTTTCCCTACCTATTCACTGGTAGCCTAAGAGGCTATTCCGCTAAGCCCGGACGGGTAGGTAAGCTCACGGGTTCAACCTGAGAGAATTTGCTAACACTAGTCCTAGCAAGAGTAGTGCTCCGCAGAATCTACCACCGGATCGGAATCGCAACCCACTAAGAAAATTCGGTGAGAAACTCAGTGGGCTTAAATCTTCTCTGCGCCGGAGTCGTATCTGAACGCTCTAGTTCTTGTCTTGCATGTGTCAAAAATATCTTGGAGCCATTGACATTGCGTGTGACATTTCGCCATTACTAAACTTGTATAATACTACCAGTCTCGACTTCTGGTAATGAATTCATCAAATTGTCTTGTTTCAGATGGGAAAGAAATTGAAATGAAACAAACAATGGGTCATTTCACATTAGAAGTTATCGGTGCTTGCGCATTTGGCATTAAATGCGACGCTTTGAGTAATGAGAATTCACGATTTGTTAAAGTAAGTATCTAACCACATTGTGTTATGAAATTCCCGCCATCATACAGATTCTGATGCTGAGACGGAGTTCACTAACTTCACAAACTCCTTTGGCGATGCCATGTCACAACGGGCGATGCGATGACAAACCGGGCGATGACGTCACACTCGTCGACAAATTAGCACAAAGTTTTAATTGAATCAGACGGAAAGAGCTGCAGACGCTCTAGAAGGCAAACGAATAGTAATTGTTATAAAATCAAAGCTCATGTGTAGCCAAAAAAAAAAAATACAGACGTTTTTCTCAAATTCTTACTAGACTTTCATCTGTTGGGAGTAGAGGTTCGAATGTTTATGCGTAACAGGACGACCACAGCTACCATTACCCTCGACATGAAAATATCAGGACTGAAAAAGCTAGGACCAATTTTATCATCTAACTCTTACAAACTTAAAATTTTATCCACGGCCTGTGTCGCACTTTTACTTTATGTAATAATTTTTTATAATGCATCGAATTTTTTCGTTAGATTCACGGATTTTCGCTGACAGAAAAACAAAAAAAAGTGGAATTACCTATTTATAGTTCTGTTTTTAGGTTGTAATTTGTTTAACGGTAACAAAATCGGTGAGATACAAACAGTATAATTAATAATTTTTTACTTATAAAAACAAAAAAAACTCTTGCCAATGCCATGTAATATCAACATCTTATCACAAGTTTTCTCAAAATTGGAAGGGACAAGAAATTCCTTGATAACATCGTCCGTTGGAGTTTCGGGTTCATTTACCTACCCCGAATAAAAAATACTTGTGTTTTGTAGGTCGCAGAAAAGTTCGACTACATGCCCAAATACAAACGAGTTATATTACTCATGTTATTAGTATTTATGCCTAAAATGATCAGATACCTCCGGCTATCGTTTCTGAATATTGAATATACCGGAGAATTAGTGAGAATGCTACAAGCAGCCAAAGCTGAAAGACGATCTTCAGAGTCAAAGTAAGTTTTAGTACGTTTTAAATCATTTCATTACATTTCTAGGAACATGTAAGGTTACAGAAATTATGTATGTATGTATGTATATATTCGGTCTGTCGATTATTAATCGCGACTGGCACAGGCCACCATTGGTTTTTGGGATTTTTTTTTATTGCTTCGATGCGTGGTCGAGCTGACAGCCCACCTGGTGTAAGTGATTACTGGAGCCCATAGACATTCACAACGTAAATGCGCCACCCACCTTGAGATATAAGTTCTAAGGTCTCAGTATAGTTACAACGGCTGCCCCACCCTTCAAACCGAAACGCATTACTGCTTCACGGCAGAAATAGGCAGGGTGGTGGTACCCTACGTGCGGACTCACGAGAGGTCCTACCACCAGTAATTACGCAAATTATAATTTTGCGGGTTTCATTTTTATTACACATTTTTATTTTATTCAAAATTTATTAGTGTGATAATAATTAGATTTGCTTTAATGAATTTTTTTGTGATTTTTAGGAAAGGAGACTTCCTACAGATTCTTATTGATTTCGCTGCAAAAGAAACTGCGCAAAACGATACGGCTAAACGGGAAATACGTAAGTTTAACTATTATTATGAATACACCAAGTTATCTTATCACGACATAAAATAATTCACTTTATCAGTAAATCGTTTTAATTCTCTTGTGAAGATACAATAGAAAATTACACATACAATATAAATGCAAACCTACATATGTAACAGAAGTGTCTTTAGGGTAACAATTAAAATTAATTAAAATCACCTACTATTAAAATTTGTCGTGTTTCATTTTAACATACATAAACGGTTTTGTTGGAGGCTTTTAAAGGCTAATGTTCACGTTTGGAAACTGGACGTTTTGTGATTTTTTTTATTTATTTTTTATTGCTTAGATTGGTGGACGAGCTCACAGCCCACCTGGTGTTAAGTGGTTACTGGAGCCCATAGACATCTACAACGTAGACGCGCCACCCACCTTGAGATACAAGTTCTAAGGTCTCAGTATAGTTACAACGGCTGCCCCACCCTTCAAACCGAAACGCATTACTGCTTCACGGCAGAAATAGGCAGTGTGGTGGTACCTACCCGCGCGGACTCACAAGTGGTCCTACCACCAGTAATAAGCACGCATGGGCACCACCGCCCTGCCTATTTCTACCGTGAAGCAGTAATGCGTTTCGGTTTGAAAACGGAGACAAAGAACTCCTGTCTCTAAGTAGGTGGCGGCATTTTCTTTGTTGATGTCTATTGGCTCAGGTAACCACTTAACAACTCTCAGAAAAAGAAAAAAAACTGAAAGGTTTTCTATTTATCTCCCTTTTTTATCGCTGGGGAATCACAGCTTACGGATACCCGACCACGAAGGGTAGCGCGCCAGGCTATGTCTGAATCAGGCGCCTCCAAAGAACTAGGGGAAGAGGTCGTGGACCAAACTCCTCGCCCTCTTCCAATTGATCCTAGGAGTCTACTTTATTTATCTCCTTGTATTGAAAAGCCTACTATGTGTAAGTAGTGTTTGGGATCTTTTTTTTTTTTTTTTTTTTATTGCCCTTGTAGGCAGACGAGCATACGGCCCACCTGATGGTGAGTGGTTACCGTCGCCCATGGACTTCAGCAATGCCAGGGGCAGAGCCAAGCCGCTGCCTACCATCTATAAATACTATTTTATTTGTCAGACCACGTTATATAAGAAACGCTCGGTTTCTAATACACAATGTTCTTTCTTCATTGTGGAAAGAAAAAACATGAAAACATCTAAGTACTTATCTACTTTATTCTACCGCGTTTCAAGAAAGAAACGTCATAAATGGCAGGAACGCTTCCTATGAAACATTCATTACGGTGTGCTTAGTGCGAGTTTTTTAACGTTCTCGATAGCGTAAAAGTTAACTCAAATTTGTATGCAGTTGGAACAGTGCCCCTAGGGGTAAACGTAGGCAAGCGTTTCAACTCCACTCAAATTTGACTTAACTTTTACGCTATCGAGAACGTTAAAAAACTCGCACTAAGCACACAGAGCATGGAAATAACCGAAGTCCCTCTGTGGCTCAAAGATTTCAAACGTTAAAATTAAACAGCATTAACCCTTTGACTGCCGTGTAGGTCACCGATGCCCTACGCGGCGCATTGAAGTAATTATTGTCGATTTCTCTTACAAAGGCGCCTGGATAACTTTTGTTTTAGTCTTTTAGGACTCCCAGAAATACATTCGATTTCAGTATCCTTGGATTCGTCTTTCCGAGAGTCTACTAGATATTCTGGCGTCTTAGGAACAGAAACCGGCATATTAATTGCCGGTAAAGTACCGGTGACCTACACGGCAGTCAAAGGATTAAAACACGCGGATTTAAATTGCGAGAGTATTTTTATTATTAGCATATTTGATTGATTTGCAGTTCTGGACGATGATACGATCGATGCACAGAGCCTGTTATTCTTGATAGCTGGATACGAGACTTCCAGTACCCTGCTATCGTTCGCTATCCACGTACTGGCCACTAAACCTGATTTGCAAGAGACCCTGCGTGCTCACGTTCAAGAAATGACAAAGGGAAAAGAATTGAGCTATGAATTGTTGTCGCAAATGGATTACCTAGAAGCATTCCTTCAAGGTAATATAATAAGACTATATCAGTCAATAAACTGAAAAGGATATTTAAGAATGATATTTAGCATTAATACTAAAGTTATAGTTCTTCTGCCAGAAATGGGCTTGCTGATTTTGTGAGAAAGAAATTAACGCGAAGAAATGGATAAACAACATATAGAAAGATATTGCGGCATTTTGTTTTTTGTTAGCTTGATGGTGAGCTGAAGGCCTGTCTAGTGTTAAGTGGTTACCGGTACTACATCATGATTGTTCCTGCTCAATGTTGTCAAAACAGAAGTATCATAACATCTATTATTCAAAGCAGAACGCATGATCACATTCTCTCTCTCTCTCTCCCTGCATCTCTCTCGAACAGAAAAAATACGCTCGAGAGGTGATTTTGTAATATGCCCTGCTACCAATATTTAACATAGGAATTAAAGAGTGGGAAAGTATTTTATATTTTATTTTGCATGTAATCTGACCTGAATCTGAATCTGTAGAGGGGGAAGAGGTCGACCAAAGAAGACACGGATGGAGTGTGTGAATGACGATATGAGAGAGAGAGGAGTGAGTGTTGAGATGACGGTTGATAGAAGAGAATGGAAGAGAAAAATTATCTGTGCCGACCCTACCTAGTGGGATAATGTGGAGAAAAAGAACAGAGATTTTGCGTGTAATCTGTAAGAAGATATTTAATCGAATTCGTTTTTATATTTTCAGAAACTCTCCGCATATATCCGCCAGTGGCTCGAGTGGATCGTATCTGTACGAAGCCCTACATAATTCCAGGAACGACAGTACATGTAGGTGTCGGTGATGCTGTAGCCATCCCCGTGTACGGTTTGCACATGGACGAGGATATATATCCGGAACCAAGAGAATTCAAGCCGGAACGATTCATGGACGATCAGAAAAAAGATAGGCCTTCACATTTGTACCTGCCTTTTGGTGCAGGACCTAGAAACTGTATAGGTAAGTGTGTCATATAAGCAATTTTTTTTTTTACCATTATTAATTTATCTCATGTCATCATCTGGGATAACAAGAAGAACATGGCGGTTTTTGGCACGTCCGGAAAAACAAGGATGTGGAGAGGCTATTTGGTGAGCCAAATATTCTGGGATGAAGGCGTGGAGGCTAGGATTGCACGGGCATGTAATGCGTATGGAGCAGGATCGGACTGTATAACGGGTGTACGCAGATGTACTGGAGGGACGACGCCCCGTAGGGGGGACCCAAATACCGCTGATCTGAAAAGAAATTTACTTGAGCTCCAATTGTCGGACTGACAAAATGTTGCGCAGCGCCAGGATAAATGGCGACGTTCATTGTCGGAGGCCAACACCCATTTTCGGGTCATAGCGCCAGCGCAGCAGTAGTAGTAGTTTATTATTGGTATAATCGTGCATTTTTTTATTTTATTTTATTTTATAGATGGGTGGACGAGCTCACAGCCTACCTGGTGTTAAATGGTTACTGAAGCCCATAGACATCTACAACGTAAATGCGCCACCCAACTTGAGACATAAGTTCTAAGGTCTCAGTATAGCTATAACGGCTGTCCCAACCTTCAAACCGAAACGCATTACTGCTTTACGACAGAAATAGGCAGGGTGGTGGTACCTACCCGCGCGGACTCACAAGAGGTCCTACGACCAGTACAACATCCAACAACCACTAGTGCATCAATAAAATTACCACCAATTTTGTTCGTTTTCCGGTGCATTTCTAAAAAGCTCTGTATACTATTGCCTGTGACTGTTATAGCTGAGATGTTAAGTACAAAATTGACCCATCAGCATTATCAATATTTTTTAATATTCAATTATTATTTATAAATTTTTTTGCAGGCTTAAGATTCGCCATGATATCCGCGAAAATAGCAATGGTCGCATTAATGAAAAATTTCAAATTTTCTGTGTGTTCAAAAACAATGGATCCCATTGATTTCGATAAGAGAGCTGTTTTGCTGAAATCAGCCAAAGGATTGTGGGTTCGTATTGAATTAATTGATCTTTCCTAATTACGACACGAATAGAATTGTGGTGTAGGTTAATGATAGATAACAAACACGGGGTAAAACAAGGTTTAGAATAAAAATACCAGTATTCCTATTAATTACGAGTATCGTGTAATATGTAATTATGATAATATAAACTTGCCATTTTAATATGAATGTAACAAAAGAGATTGTGATAAAGAACAAACTATATAAGTAATTTATTTTCTCACTGTATTAATAATAGGAAATCTATATTTCTTACAGTATTCCTATTAATTACGATTATCATGTAATATGTAATTGTGATAATATAAACTTGCCATTTTAATATGAATGTAACAAAAGAGATTGTGATAAAGAACAAACTATATAAGTAATTTATTTTCTCACTGTATTAATAATAGGAAATCTATATTTCTTACAATTTAAGAATTTTTATTTTGTATAATTATAGGATTAGGTAGAGGGATTTATTTCAAATGTTTGAACGGTGATATTACATTGTTTATTACTTTATTTTTATTATCCTTAACGTTGAAATTGACTTAATGGGTTTTTAATGAAACCGTGACGTTAAGGCAAGTACCATATTGTATTTAGCTATACGGGTGACGTCATCACATTTATTTCAACTTTATTTCCTTCAAAATATAAATAGACGATTTAAAAAGATTTTCATGTGATAAAAAAATATACATTTATATAATTTCCATTTTGAAATGTTAATTAGTGCTCGTAAAATTAAATTATATCCCTATTGGATATATTAATAAATATATACTCGATGTTTACTGATGACTATAGGCATAAAAAATAATATAATTATTAACTATGAGATTTCGTTAACAATTTAGAAATATGTATGTATTAAAATAAATTTGTTTCATTTTTATCTCTTTTATAATGTTAAATGTTGGAAAAGGTTAATGTTATTAAATAATAAAAGACGTGGTCACTTCTCAAATCTATTTATTTATTATTTGCCGTTTTCGTAAAGGCTGCTATGAAAAACCCTATACTATCTCGATATATTTCATCTGCAGGTCGTAACGCATCTATGTGAGGCCCAAAGCGTTGCACCATTTTTCTGTAAAAGAAAACGAAATGTATGAATTTTACAACATAATAGCTCAGTCTGTTCGCAGTATAAGTGTACCTTTTTTTTTCTACCTAAGCTGAGAGCCTTAGAGGCAATTTCAGCGTAACCTTAACAAGTGGGTGATCTTACGGGGCTCAAACCTGATGACGTTGCTAACACGAACCTTAGCAAGAGCCGTGCTTCGCAGAATCTACCACCGGATCGGAAACGCGACCCACTGAAGATCCGGCGAGAAACTCAGTGGGCTGTGTCTGTGGGTTAATTTACGATGACCGGTGCTTGAGGTACCTAAAAGCACCGTTAGTGGATCGGGAGGATCCGAAATGACGTGTTTTGGGCGACGTCGACTGCTTTCCATTCTGTCCGCAGGATCGGGAATGAAAAGTGTACCCATAATCTATAACTGATAGGGTAAAATTGGTACCTCTTCAGTATGGTACAGCTACGTTCGAATTATTACTTAGTACTGTAAAGGTTACCGTAATCTACCGCTAACCTTTTTTTTTTTTTTAACGCTGGGGAATCCATTTACGGATACCCGGTCGAGGGGGGTAACGGACCGGGTTATGTCGGACTCCGGCGCCTCCTGAGAGGAAGAAGGGGAGAAGAGAAGGACCTCGGTCCTTCACCTCCCCCAATTTCTCACAGGAGACTACGCCTTGAAAAAGGCGCGCGAAGCACTTGTCCCGCAGAACGACTACCGACTAAACCACATCGAGCTCCACCACACCGACTACACGAAACTTAAGGTACCGCGATGCGCGCCGAAAACTCTACCGCTAATCTGAGTTACCAAATACACATCAGCATTTGTCTAAAACGATATACGGTTTTTATAAAGAACTAAGTTTATTACACATTTTTGTCTTTATTATAGCCAAATCTTATGGCCCAACTGATGTTAAGAAGTCACTGTTGCTCATGGACATTAGCAGTTCCGGTAGCACAACCAAGCCTCAGCCTACTGAGATTTTTATAAATGAAACAAATAATTAGATCCTAGAACAACTTCAGGTATTGGACTCACCTGTGTTCATCATCAAGACCTAAATTAGGTAGGCCAGGCCCTCCGAGAAGTGGTTCAGCAGGTATAAGTTTTAAACATGGAAACTTTTCTAGCACCCATGACACCAGACCTTCATTTTCATCTTCAGTTACAGTACAGGTACTGTAAACTAATTTACCACTAACTTTCAATAGTTTTACAGCCTAAAATAAAAAATAATTTTATTATGTATGCCTAAATATTTTAGTTTTGTATTGAAATATTATATGTATATTTAATGCGACACATACGGTGTTGAAATAGTTTTATGAAAAAATAAAATAAAAAAACTTCGGATTCAATTTACCTCACTTATCAGTTTACGTTGTAGGAATTTGTAGGATTTTATCATTTTCGGTGACATCATGTTTATTAATTGAGGTCGTTGCCCCAAGCCACTACAAGGCGCATCAAGGAGTATTTTATCGAAACAATTCGATGGAAACGGGGGTCCATTTGCTATTCCAAGACTTTCTTCCGAATGACACTTGGTGGCATCAAATGCATAAGCTGTGACGCAAGTAACACCTTGGATTTGACAGGTTTCTCGAATCCTTTCTGTTTTTTCTAATGTTTTATCTAATGCTGTGATGCATGCCTAAAATTTTTGCTCTCGATTTTAAAATTAATGTTGTGCTAAAAATTAACATACTTAGGTTTCACAGTGTTTAGATGTATGAAATATGAATAATCATTATAATAAAATTAACCATAACTTTACTGATATACCTGATTTTTAGACATCTCAGCCAGATGTGTTGTTTTGTTGCCTGGAGCAGCACACATGTCGAGTATGTATTCATTAGATTGTGCATTGACTACCCAACCGCATACAATAGATGGTAAGTTTTGTAAGAGAAGTTCACCTTTAGGACAGACAGATTCATTCACAACTGGCAATCTAGACACAGGCATTAAAGTATGCACAGCGATACCACTGAAAAGATAAAAAAACTGAGGTTTATATAAAGTTATTGAAGATTTAAACGAAATGAAGGAAGACAAGCTGTATCGCGTGATTCCAATCTAGTGCTGTGTAGAAATTATGCCTTGTATGTAACTATGCCTTGTTTACAAAACCGGTATTTTGTAAAATATGAGTTTATTAGTATTATTAGTAGTAGAAAATACGCGTCAATTCAATTGACAAAAAAAAAATTGTTTTTATAAATTACTCTGCTTTTTAATGAACTTTCTTTTGGTAACAGACCTTGGCTTGATTCCATTATCAAATAATTCGGACCGCAACATTTTTAAATATCCCGTACCCACATATTTCTTCTTCCCATCATACAACGATTTCAATCCTCTTTTGCATTTCTTTTCAAGGTCACCATAAATATCTACTTTTTCATCTAAATGGAGACCTACAATTTATAATAAATATTGACATATAAAAATATATACCTTCAAATATATACATATATATTTTTTCCCTACCTATGCAGATAGCCCTGAGAGGCTATTTCAGCTTCACCCTAACGTTTGTAGGTGAGCTCACGGGGCTCAACCGGAGAGTTGCTAACACTGACCCTAGCAAGAGCAGTGCTTCCCAGAATCTATCACCGGATCGGAAACGCGACCCACTGAGAAGATCCGGCGAAAAACTCAGTGGGCTGTGTCTATGGGTTAATTCGCTCGTCGAACCCTTCGTCGCGGGCGAAGGGTTCGACGAGGACGGTGACCGGTGCTTGTGGTGCCTAAAAGCACCGTTAATGGATCAGGAGGATCCGTAATGACGTGCTTTGGGCGACGTCGACGGTTTACCATTCGGTCTACTGGGTCGGGTATGTAGTTTCCAGCGGCTACGATGAGAGGGGAAATATATCTTTAGTCTCGAGATTAGAAATCTCGTCTCGAAATAGTAATAAATATTTTTTATAATTATATATTTCATTAAATATAATTTTTTCTACGACATTCACGTTGTAATATCTCTGGTGCTCCTGTAACCAAATAGGTAACGTCAGGTGGACTGTGTACCCGTTCACCTATCTATGCAGTTATAAGAATTTTAACTGCTTTGAAGCAGTTAAAATCAAGAATTTGTTATGAAGCATTTTAATTTTAGTTGGAACAGCGCTCCTAGCGGCAGACTTAATGGTACTGTTCAGCTGCAGAACAACTACATCTGCAGATTGTTAAATCCCACATACCTAGCGCGCCCCATAGGCGCGGGGATCTCAAATGCATTTTGTTTTTTAAAACGTCGCCAAGCCCTTCGTCGCAAGCGACGGGTTCGGCGAGAATGATGACCGGTGCTTGGTAACTAAAAGCACCGTTAGTGGATCGGGAAATCCGAGATGACGTGTTTTGGACGACGTCGACTGTTTACCATTCGGTCCGCGGGATCGGAAATGTAGTTTCCGGCGACCACGATGAGAGGGTTCTCGTGTCGTGCCGCTTTATCGAAATGGCAAATAATATACAGGAACAAACAATTACATATTATTTTATTGAATTAATTGAATGATGAACTGTATGAAACACTTTCACATTATTTTTTAGTTTAATTTCACTCATGATGTTTTTGATCTTAAGAGCCTTTAAACCTGAGCTGAAGATAATAGTATTTTATTTATACTATTTGGTATAAAAATAGTGGTAATAAGGTGGTAATAGTATAACAATTGCTAAATTGATATAAATTTCAATTATAAAATATTATATACCAGTTAAAATTAATTCTAACTATTTACTCACTGCTTGGAAGACCCATTACTCCTGGAGCAAACACATGAGCACCCCTTAATACTGCAGCAGCACATAATGCATCAACAATCACCTCCTTCCCAGTTGGATCCACTATTACACTATCAGACCATCTTTCCAATATAAGACAGTCAGGTTTCAAAAAGTAAAAGCTAGGGATCTGTTTGGTAGCAAATACATCAGCTAGCTAAAAATGTTTGAATATTGATAAATTCCAACAAAAATCGAATGTGGTATTTTTTATTCCATCATCAAAATTGTAATAGCATGACAAATAATAATAGAATAACAGGTATGAACTGAAAAATAATTCAGTTTATATTAAAATTTCTAAGAAATGGTTTTTTCCTTGTATTCACAATGAACGGTTGATGGATTGAATAGAGATTGGGTTAGTTATTTTAAGATCAGAGAATCCTACAATAATAGTAGTTCTATTCATCAGGGAAGTACAAGTCTCCCGGCTATGCTAATTAAATATTCCCCTAGTTATAGTAGCAATACTCTTCTTAAAATTACTTCAATTACTTTTTTCCACTCTTCTACAACCAATACTTCAATTTACCAGTGGCATAATTTAAGCCATACGTGTGTGCATTCTATTGTATAAAGCATGACAGCCTCATTACTAAAAAGTTAAGACTTCATTCTAATTTCACAATGGGTAGTGGCATTCACCTAAGATATCTATGGGCTTGTGAGTACAGAGATGTACCAGGTGGGCAGTGCCTATTTACACTAGGAATGAATACATAGCTTAATGTAACTGGTCTGCGTCGTTCTATCGATCATTAAGAATTCAATCTAATGCCAAATCATGCCTCAGGTTGGTCAGGGAATTTAACTTTCGGTTTCTAAGGGTTTCAGGACCGCTTAAATAATATGAAACCATGAGAGAACATTAATTTAGTGAAAAGCTCACACACACTTGCAAGAGGTATTGTTGTAAACTTTCATGGTGATTTTTTTTTAATATGTTTACACGAAATGTTGTATACTTAGGCGTCTCCTTAAGCCATTTTTGTAAATCCATGTTAAAATTTTATAATAATAAATGTGAAGAAGTTTTAGGTTACACAGGTAATAATAAGTAGTGGTTTATCTTAAATATGAAGCGTATTATCTGTAGTAGTTTAAACATTTACGTTAAATAGGTTTTTAATAAAAACAGCATGTTTTTATTTATCTACAAGGTTTAATTTTACTTTACTTGTCAAATGTCAAACATAAATTATTTTGCTGAAAATCTGCACAGACAAACTAGCAAGTCTGAACTATTTTTAGAAGATAATTAATTAGTCTATGACACTGACTAAATATTTAAAAAAATACTTTTCTGTCGTTAACTAACCGTTGGTACATAAATGACTATTAAAATTACGTGCGAACTGGCAAGTAAGCTTCGGGCTATTGCTCATTCATCTAATACTAGTTCTAGCAAGAGTAGTGGTTCGCTGAATCTAAGAATACTACTTTTTTTTATTGCCCTTGTAGGCAGACGAGCATACGGCCCACCTGATGGTGAGTGGTTACCGTCGCCCATGGATTTCAGCAATGCCAGGGGCAGAGCCAAGCCGCTGCCTACCGCTTAGCGCTCAGCGCGAAACTTGAGGAAACACCGTGGAGGGGAGCTCATTCCATAGCCGGATGGTACGTGTCGTTTATAAATCTATTTCAGTGGTACACTGAGGCCACATGTCCATGTTGTGTAGAACGATTAGGTATTGGTCTAGTAAAGATGAATAAATAACATAGAGTATAAATTTTTATAGTTTTGATTTTATGAAGCGACTACAACCAGGGCTGGATTTAAACTTAATGCCGCTCCTGGGCACCGGAAAAAAATTCGCCCCAATACTGATACAAAAACTTATAGTTTATATAATTTATTTTTCAAAATTAAAATAACCAATCTATTGCGGAAACTTTATCATATCATATATTCCAAAAACATTAATAAAAAATATATTTTTTAACAATTTTTAATGGCTAAGGGTGACTCATAATTATATTACAACAAAAAAAAACTAATAAAATTTCTTTAAATAAAGAAAATAGAAAAAACGATTTTTATTTTAAATCTCCAAGGAAATAAACTGGTTAAATCATTTTGATTATTAATTTTTATCAAAGGTGCCAAAGTTAAAATTCACAAATAATGGACTAATTAAATTTCTTGAATTATCAATTCAATAGAAAATTATTAATTATTAGAATTAATTAATTATATTGAGCAATCTTGATAAGACCAAAAAAAATTTACTTTCAAAATATTGCCGCCCTGGGCACTTGCCATGACTGCCCTTCGTATGTAAATAGTCCATTTAAATGAAAACAAATTTTCACTAAGACAAGAATAAAAACTTACCTACTGAATAGATGATCATATGAAAAAAGTTTTTTTATAGGTAGTTTTCTTTCAGTTTTTTTTTTGTCAACAATTGTGATTTTATGAAATTATGTCTTTACGTAAGTCTTAAGCTGACTAGTGATGTAGATGTATAATGTTTTACAGTTTTAATCTCGTTAAAAGTAAATAGTGTATGTTTTCTTGGTAGACAAATAAGATTAAATGTAATGCAATGTTTAATAATAAAACCTTGAACCTTGCTTCCTTTCACTCACGCTCATACAGAATATTGTTCACTCCGATCAAGAAACAACGGTATTCGTGATACGTGTCACTATACACATCACAGCAATGTTTCGGATGACGTGTCGTTTAATGATTGGATAGTTTACAGGGTCAGATGATATTACGCGAAATGTATCAAAAATAATATTAATTGTATTTTTTTGCTTTGCTACTCAGTGTTGGGTGGTTACTGGAGCCCATACACATAAAAATGTAAATACCTCCACCCATCACTGAGACTCATGGGGCATGTCTCAATTGTATGGTAAATACGCAAAGTAAGTTTATGAAAATACGTTTATTGCCATGTACAGTCTTCAGACTCTAAAACGAACCCTTTTTCATGATGTCAAACGAGGTTTGAAAATAAGCCTTAGCGCTAGAAAATGGCTCGGTTTAGCTTTTGAAGCTTTTGACGTGAAGGTATTCGTGAGCGCTCTATTTGGACAAACATTTCTATTAAAATAATAAAACTAAATAAATAAAAAAACTTGACAATACATAAAATATCAAGACTCTTGTCTTTGTGACTGGAAACGAGCATCGCGAATATCTTGACTGATTCCATAGACAATACCCTAAACTTTTTAAGTGTTGGCCATTTCTTTCTTCTTTCCAATACGTGGCATAGGCACGAACAAACTTCCACGTTCGCCGCCATTTTGACATCCGCGAATTGTTAGGAATTCATTGGTGTTGCGTTTTTTCTTTAATTCGTGATTGCTTCTGAAGATGTAAGTTAATTGCCAAGTGTATAAAATGTGAAAATTGTTTATCTCAATTATTGGCAATCGAGTGATAATTACAATTTGTGCGTAATAAATTGAGGGTGGTGACCGCAACTCAAGCTCAGACCAACAGCGGTGTAGGCAATCTTGTCAATTCGTAATTTACTTCGCTTAGTCATAAACAGGATAGGGAAGTCTTACGTGTTGAATTCACATAAGCCGACCATCTCTTGATTTCATCAGCTAAAATCTGAAACTTCCACATAAAAAGCACTGCCTGCCATGTCATTATCATTGATTAAAATAACGTGTACTAGTGTAGACTTGACGGATGAGTCAGAGTGATTTCACTTTACAATAATTCCCATTTCAGTGTACTCATAATAATTCAAAATGGGGAATATGTTTGCGAATTTATTTAAAGGCCTTTTTGGCAAAAAGGAAATGAGAATATTGATGGTTGGTTTGGATGCAGCTGGTAAAACCACAATTCTGTACAAACTCAAATTAGGTGAAATTGTAACAACAATTCCCACTATTGGTAAGTTTTATTTTATTTATTTATCAAATAATTAAAATAAAAAAAGAAAGTTCAAATTTCGTAAAAAAAATGTAAACGTAAAAATAAGAATTGTAATTGTTGCAATGTAACATACATACTTAAATAATCATTAATTTCTGATTAAATAATCTAACTGAAAATGAGCCCTTAGAATCAAGTCGCCTCATATGTGTTTCAAATATGCGAAAATGCATTTAAGTTCTAAATGTCAATAAATCTTTACAAATGATGATGAGCCTAAAATTTCACAGAACAATATTAATGATTACAATTATTTATTCTAGGCTTTAATGTGGAGACAGTAGAATACAAAAACATTAGTTTTACTGTGTGGGATGTTGGAGGCCAAGACAAAATCAGACCACTGTGGAGGCATTATTTCCAAAATACACAGGTATGCAAATAAATTACAAGAAATAATACAAAATATTATAGAAATAGCTTACTACTTGATTTCTTTTTCTCTCACAATTTTTTATACATTAGATAGGCATTTGGCCAGCCCACGGTACAGATTATATTAAGTGATTAGTCGAAACCATAGAAATCATAATGTGAACTGCTGTCTTGATTATTTCTGCTGTGAAATGTTAATGTGTTCTAGTATGAAGGGTAGGACCGATGTTACAATGCAGCTGGAATGTTAAATTAAGGTTCTAAGCTGGTTTTTACAATAGTCAGGTAGTTAGGTACAGAATTTCCTTACACTAGCGACTCTTTGCTCTGAGGCTATGTACAGAAAACATCTTATCACCAGTTTACCCCTGTAGTGTCACTAAACTTTAATGGAAGCAATTTTATATCACAAATTAAAATAAGTTTACTTAAACTTATGTAATAGGGGTGGCTCTCTAGAAAACTACAAAAATATAATTAGACATTTGTTAGTGCTAACAGAATAAAATTTGATAATTAATACTACTTTTACAGCTGAGTTCTGCGTTTATTATTTTAAATTTTTAAGCAGTTTTAATTATGATTTGTGAAAACTACAAAAACAATATTCCGAAGTATGGGAAAATCTCAAAAGAACTAAAAACTTACTAGGAATTTATTATTTTAAACTATCCTTTAGTATTTTTTTTTGCTAAGACCTGTTAAGCTGAAGACTCATTTGGCGTCAAATGGCTACTGAGACCTAAAGACGTGAATGATGTAAATTCCTCTACCCACCTTGAGACATCAACCTTAAGTTTCAATTCTGTAGTATGATGGCTTTCCCTCCTTTAAACTTGATTGCGTTACTGTTTGGTGGCAGAAATAGCTAAGGTGGTGGTACCTACCTGTGCAGGCTTACAACATGCCCTACCAAACTTAATGTTTCATTTTATCATAAATTTCATAGAAGGTAAAGTTGAGGTGCATTACTCTGCATTACATTACGTTATGAGATATGAGTTTAAATGTAATTGTAATCTGATGAATCTTTAGAAAAGAGAAAACTTTCTACATGCTTGAGTGTACTTTTTATTCTTTATTATGGTTTTTATTGGAATTTATAGTACAGTAGTAGATTCTAAATAGGACCCATTGATATGGATATATAAGTTATAGTTTGTAAAGAATTTGAAACGAATGTTTTATCATAATTATTTTGAATAGAGGTTCTTGCAAAATGAAAATTTTGGCAAATCTATTTAGTGGTTTGGTTAATAAATTACAGTTTCTCAAGTAAATCCTATTCGGATCAAGAACTACCGTTTTTATTTGAATTTGAATTTTTTAATTTTCATTCTTTTTTATTTCTATACAGTAAACTGTCTTTAGACATTCAACTTTAGTTTGGAGAAAAACAATAATTATCTATATATATTTAGGTGTTATACTAAAGCTAACTATTTTCCACTATACTAAACCATCTTAAGTGATCAGGTTATTCAATTACTGTGTTATAAAAATTATTATGTTGTTATTACAAGGAAGGTTTTTGTCCTTATACAGTCAATATAATAATATAATGGGTGTAGCATAAGTTGTTCACAAATTGGTATTTTATATGAGAGTTACAGTAGAGTGACAGCAATCAAACAGACAGCCTATAAGATTTACAAGTCTTCAGAAATGAATTATTCAGAAACCTTTTGTACTGGATAACGGAGTGTATAAAAAAACAAACAAATTTGAATTAAGAAACTCCATTTTATTTTTGGAAGTCAGTGGAGTAAAGTAGAAAGTGAATGGATGTTAGCAAGAATGCATGGCACCCAACTATTTGATGAAAGTATGGACTCATGATGTGAAAATGAGTTTTTTACGATATTTTAATCAATATTAGATTACTGTTTTATAATATTACTAGCGACCCGCCCTCGCTTCGCTTCGGAAACATTAAAACACGCATGAAACCAAAAAAATAAAATAAAAAAAAATTCAAAAAAAAGTAGCCTATGTTCATCAGGGACAATGTCGGCATCTAATGGAAAAAGAATTTTTCAAATCGGTCCAGTAGTTTCGGAGCCTATTCGAAACAAACAAACAAACAAATCTTTCCTCTTTATAATATTAGTATAGATGTGGTTTTTTGGCTACATCATAGATACAAATGGTTTTGCTTTGATACTTACTGTATATAGTTTTTATGTTTTTTTGTGTTTTAAGCAAAAAGCATATAAGATTAGTATGGGAAGCTGTTTCATAGAAATGTATCAATGAACAAAACAAAAACAAAGTCAGTTTTGTTTTTTGCATCTTACCCATACTAGCTCTTGAGGTAAATAATGTTACTAACAATTTATATTCTAATTTATTGTATTGAAATGAAAGCATTTTTTGGCACCTTAATATTCTTAATGAATTTCAGTTGATATTTTATTGCATCTGCTTGTTTATTAAATCGAAATAGACTTTACAAAAGAATAAAATAAAAGTCATGTTTTTTTGTCATAACATTCTTTGTAAATCGAACAATTTGAACTGATATCCCTGAGTGAATAAGTCTTTAAATATAAAACAATTTGACGAGTCTAACACGAATTGTTAGTGTAATAAAAATGCATAATGCATTTTTTAGTGCAAAAACAATTTATGTTTGCGGTATCTAGAGCTTAATCACATGAAAACATGAATACTGCTACCTACTTTCGGACAGTAGACGAAGAACTACATTTACACCAGTAAAAAAACCTTAACATCATAATATAGTGTTAAGTAATGACCTGTAGGAGCAATGAGTCCTGAAGATGACACAGTTTTGATGGTCAAGTCCTTACAGATCCATCAGATCCCATAACTCTTGCATTATACACCTTTCGCTCCAAAACTAGGAGTAGGCAACCGTGCTTGTCGAACTCTGCGAAGAGTTTGACGTGCAACCTAACCTAAACATCAACCCGCTTAGTTTCTCGCCAGATCTTCTCAACGGGTCGCGATTCCGATCCGTTAGTAGATTCATTCGCGAAGCAGATACTCTTGAGTTGTTAGGTCTACTTTGGAGGCGCTCGGGTAGCTGTTAGCAAATCCCACCCCTCCTGGCTGAGACCTTGCTCGCCCACCTGTCCTGGTAAAACTGGAAAGGTCTCTGGGCCACCAGTAATCTCTCAAAAATAAAAAAGGGTTTGATGGTTTTGATTTATTTTTGTCTAGTTACTATGATTCTCCTGTGACTAGCTAAATGTATGAAGTACATACTTTATGTCTTATCTACAGTGTGTTACCAGTTTGTAACCTTTCCCAAACTTCCAAAAACTATTTACGAACGCATAGGTCGCTATCAAACAATCATATAGATATGAAATAAAGGAAAAGACGAACGCATTTTGTGTTTTTTTATTTGTAGGTGGTATTAAATCCAAGTAGAATCGAAATCCGTGCCTTTCGTATTTGTTCGGCTACTTATTTTGTATGTGAAGGAAGCTTTGATGATTTTTTTGCATTTATGAGCCTTCGAAACTAGAAAAGTTGTATATACATACATCCCCGCGTCACAATGATAACAATCCTGCTACTAATGAAGATACGGGTATGCAAACCTAGCCTAAACACACACAGGATATTGATTTCGACTCTTATCATCACATGTCGCAAGTAAATTGAAATGAATGTTGCAAGAAATAATGCAAGTGTATAATTCTGCAGTTGCTTTTAAAAGGTTCTTTCGATGTCTGCAATGGTTCGCTTTCGCATGCGAACGCGGCACAGGACCCTTCCTTACACTTCAATAAAATATCTGTGCATAAATTTTTTGCGCCCGGCAGAGAATGTAGGTTAATTCTTAAAAGTCAATATGTTTTAGATATTGGGTACAATAGTGTACATATTTTTTGTTATTATTACTGAGGGAAAGAAGGCGTGGAGTAGACTATGTAACTTTCTGATATAACTTTTTTTTTGGAAATTTTTATCACACTGCAAATTTTATTGTAGTATTTATATCTGATAAGATATATTGATATATTTACCTATAGATAAAGTATAAAAATGGCTTACAACATGAAAAAGGATAATCAATTTTCTTACATAAATATTACATTAATTAAAGTGTAATTGTAAGTTTTGTTTTTAATCATTTATCATTCTTTTTTAAATGATTAGGTGGGTGAACGTGCTGCCGACTCGAATAGTGTTGAGTGGGTACCGGAGGTCATAGTTATCACAAAGTGAATGCCGCTACCTTGACACCTGAAATCTTTGTGTCAATTGTATAGTAATTACGCGAGTTTGATTTTATTATGCAATTGTTAGTGTCGCCGCACATTCCCGATCCTGCGGACAGAATGGAAAGCAGTCGACGTCGCCCCAAACACGTCATAACGGATCCTCCCGATTCACTAACTGTGCTTTTAGGTACCTCAAGCACCGGTTATCGTCCTAAAATTATCCCTCGGACATGGCCCACTGAGTTTCTCGCCGGATCTTCTCAGTGGGTCGCGTTTCCGATCCGGTGGTAGATTCTGCGAAGCACGACTCTTGCTTGGGTTCGTATTAGCAACGTCGTCAGGTTTGAGCCCCGTGAGCTCACCAACTAGTTAGGTTACGCCGAAATAACCTCTCAAGGCTCTCAGCTAAGTAGGATAAAAAAAACTACAACCACCAAACGCAGTCACCGACCTATTTCCTGTTATTTTCATACATTTTGCATCGACTCGCCGCACGCTGTAGACGCCGGTGGTCGCCACACGCCACAAATCGCCACTGCTCGCCTCTAGTGGCCGGTTCAGCCACAAAACGCCTACACAAGCCACTCACCACCCCTCTCCGCCTTCATTTTAACGTCAGAGTCCATTATGATACTGCAAGCACTCGTTAAAAAAGTAGCGGCCACCGACCGCAAGTATCCAACATTGACCACAAGTGACTGTCGCGTACGTCAGTTTCTTTTGTAGCCGTTTCTAGCTTCAAGTGGCGGCAATTGTGGATGTCGCTAGTGGCCCGTGTGCGTCGACTCTTATTCCTTCATCGTGGAAGTTATTCGTGAACATGAATCAACTACGTATTTCGTTAGAAAAAATCGTTACCTGTCTGCGGTATTTGAACACTGGCATAGTCGTATCGCTCAATAAGAGTTCACTAGGCCGCGACTACTTCAAAACCAAATCAATGGAACAAAACTGACTTACAGCGTAATTATAGCAATAAACATGAAAAAAGATTTCACAATTATTCGTCGTTACCTATTGACCTATAAAGCTGTCCAAAAAGTTGTGGTATCAAAAAGCTCGAAAATTATAAGTAAACAGAAAATTTGTTTACATTGTGTAAACGAATAAATCTTAATTGTATGTATATGTAAACTAAATTACGAAAATTTTACTATTGTACTAGTCTACTGGACAGAAAAACGTTCTAGTGAACTTGTAATCATTTAAATGTATTCTTCTTTAATCAAATTGGAAATCAATTGTAAAAATGCAATTCGGCGGATCTTCTCAGTGGGTCGTGATTTCGATCCAGTGGTAGACTGCGAAGCACTGCTCTTGGGGCTCTATAGGGCTAGTGTTAACAAGCTCTCAGGTTGAGACCGTGAGCTCACCTACCAGCGAATAGGTAGGGAAAAAAGAAGAAAAAGTAATAATGCAAATGAAATGTTCCTTCTTTTAGGGTCTAATCTTCGTAGTAGACAGTAACGATCGGGAACGTATCGGCGAGGCACGCGAAGAGCTCATGAGGATGCTCAGCGAAGATGAACTACGGGATGCAGTACTTTTGATCTTTGCGAATAAACAGGTGATCCCCTCCCCCAATTATTGCCAGTCCTATCTCTTTGCTTACAGTCTGGTTGTATATTTCAAAACATTGCAGTAATTTAAAATCAGTTCTATGATTGTCTTATGATTCCTAACTGTTATTCTAATTCACACGGGAAATATTTTTTTTGTTGCACAGGATCTGCCAAACGCAATGAACGCAGCCGAGATAACAGACAAACTGGGTCTGCATTCGCTGCGCAACCGTAACTGGTACATCCAAGCGACATGCGCCACTTCCGGAGACGGACTGTACGAGGGTCTCGACTGGCTCTCCAATCAGCTCAAGAACGCCAACCGCTAACCGTATGTGCGCCAACTCGCAGACAAATCTGATAATTGAAAGAGACTATGGTTTAAGATATGTTAACTTTATTTGCTATTAAATACAATGTATTATGTGCGGAATCATAAATGTATTACTGACGCGTCATCTGGTGACCGAAGGCGCGCCGCATTCGTTCCGAACCAGATGCAATACGGCACGTTGTGTGCGCTGAAATATTGTTTCTCTAAATATTACATAAACTATGTTTATTTAAACGCAATAAATGGAATGCAAATTAATTCGGTGCAATGCTTGTACTTAGTGGCGTTAGGGTCCATGATATGATCATGCGGCGCGTGTTCGATCCTCGATGACGTTGAACAAAATATAGTGTGTAAAGTTGGGGAATTACCTACAATTTTGTTTTTTTTTTAATTTTATCACTTAATGGCGGAAGGAAAAGGTGTAACATCTCCCCTGTGTGATCGCACATTGTGATGTGGATAGGTATGTAGCTGACGCGTGATAAGTTAATCACATAACATGTTTTATATGTATACAATAATTATTTGGAATAAGTTGTCGTAATAAAGAATTTAAAGTTAATTTATGACTTTAATTTAGATTCTTGCAGTAGTAGTATTTAATTTTTGTAATATTGTTAGGCTGTTAGTACTGCAGGTCAGTGTCTCGGGTTTATCTATTGATGTGAGTAGCGGGAGGCTTGGGGTGTGAGGGTCGTCTTCATTACACATGACATTAAAAGGGCGCTGCAGCTGCAGCCTATTCACATTGCATTGGCATCATCGTATCTAAAAAATTACTGCGGTTATCATATTTACATGTGCATTTCTCTTTCATCTTGAACGACTATTGTAACGATGATAGTTTATTTTTATCGAAGTTAATTAGGTAGTCTAAGCTGTTATGTATTCAACATTCGGAAACGGTCCTGATGGCGGTTCCCGTTTTATGAAACGGCTCGTTGTGATCGACCTGCATTTACAGTCTAATTTTCATGGCGAACCGAGATTAAGTTTTAATTTAGGTGTAAAGTGTATTAGATAAAAACACACAATGCCATTTTGAGGAGTTGTTTCCTTTCGGCAAGGAAACAGTGCTCAGGATTATAAGCGGTAATCTTCTCTTACACGATTAATTGTAACTTAGCATTTTATAATATTAATTTAGAAGAAATTGTTGAAACTCGATTCAGAATTACAATATATATATTATGGAGAGTGCGGCGAATAGCGATCTTTTTTTTATTTGATGAAAAAATAAAGTGAAAATGCGAATGTGACATTCCGGTTTGTCTTATGCTGTATTATGGAATAAAATATCCTCACCAAACGGGCTTTCCTTATTTAAAACCTAATGTTTACGAAAACATTTTAAGTCTTATCCCGACTCCATTTCCACCCATCATCTGTTCACCAATCATAAATACATACTAGATTATACTATGAGTGGTATATGATTCAACATAATTTGTTAGTAGAAAGATGTCATGATTGCATATTAAATGTGTAATATAATTTGGTTCATCTAGTGCCGACTAGGAATTTAGGCATCAGTGTATCTCTTTAGTATATTTCTTTTGTAAAATGAACTGATTTTCCACTGTTAAGAATCCCCCGCTCAGTATTATTTTTGGCTTTTCGAATCTTACATTTTGTCGATCGATTTTTCAAGTCGTCTATTCACTTTGTGTCCCTCAACGTTTATCTATTTCCAGTGTCACTCAAGAAACGACTGATCTAGCAGTTATCGGCTTGTGGCCAATTTTGGTTTACGTGAGTATCGTTGGTTTTCCGTGGAAAAGACTATCAAAGGATTATCTAATAATAGCTCATTAAATAACTAATTATTACATCATATCTCTTGTCGTGAATGTGTTCTACTGTCAACGTCTTGGCTTATTATAAAATTGTTAAGATTGCAAGCCATAGGTTTTGGAATAGGTGACGAGAAGACTACGCAAAATTTTCCAAACTTATCTAGTCCTAATTTAAGTGTGTGTAAGCTTATTGAACTTGACAGTTTGATCTTCATTGACTTGAATCGATTTGAATCTGGAATCGTTAATAAAATCACCTGTATAGTTACGATACCTGGGCTTTTTCCGATGTCTGTCTGATGGTTCGTATACATTGCGCACTAGAATGAGATAACTATTGCCGAAATGATCGTTCATTTACTTCTAACGCTCGTGTTTCGGCGAGTTAGATAAATCTGCCAAACAGGACATAGATACAGTATCAGTATATATCTGTATTAAAATAGATGTCTCGCTTCAACCAAAACAGATTGTTGGTAGACTCTTAGTTTTTATTAGCGCAGATGGTATTGGTGATGGTAGTTAGGTCATATTCTACCCAGATCATGATGTGAATGTCACCTGGAGGTATAGTCGAAATATCAACACTAATAGCGAAAATTGCTCTCTAACCCAAAAAGCATGATAGCTTTGTGACAGAATTAGGCAGAGCAGTTGTATTGTCTTAGGAAAATGGGACCATGGGAAAGTATATTTAGGTAGGCAGCTGTTTGAGTCTGCCCCAGGAATTGCTGAAGTCCATGGGCGACGGTAATCAGTCACCATAAGGTGGGCCAAAAATATAAAGAAGGTGGCTCGAAAAAAAGCTTTAGGAGGGATTACTAGCTAGACAGATATTATGGTAAAAGTCATAAGACGGTTCCTTGGTCTAAGAGTAAAAAGTACTTTGAGTTTAATAACGTATTATAGTTTATAGTTGTATTGCATTTAAAGTCCTTTAAGATTTCGTAGTCTAGTTGCGAAAAGCGGAACACTTATTTCTTCACGTCTAACTGTCTACAACTGTGTTCTCTATCTGTTTGTCATTTTGGTGTATTCTAGTAAACGTTTCATAACAGCCAATAATGTGTCGAATTAATAAAAAAGTGGTTGCACGCAATACCGTCTTTACCATAAGGGGGCCGTGCCCAGGGCCCCCATTCTCAGGGGGCCACGAAAGACCGACAATTTCTCTGACACGTTTATTCTCAAAACATTTTTGTCGGGCACATTAATTTTTTTTCACAAATCAGTAATCAGAAGGTATTTACAAGGCATATACTATGCCTATAATAGAAGATTTTGCTCAACAGAAATCCCGAAAGAAACCGTTATCGAAATCGTAACCAAAAAACCAGCAGCATTCTAATATCATTAATGACATATTATATCATACTGTATTTGATTACCTATAATAAATGGTCATACTCAGTAAAAAAATGTTATTATAATTCGCTTTTTTTACTTTCCAAAAGGGCCTCAAATTCTTTTGTGCTTAAGGGCCCCATCCTAGTTTAAGACGTCCCTGGTTGCACGCCATACATGTGACTTGGGTGTTTACGTTTAGAGGTATGTACGTGAGAATATGATGGTTAAGATTATGGCTAACATAAAGTGGTCTCTGACTACGCAAGACGTCAAAATTTCAAAATATCAAGAGTGAGTGGTCCGACCTTAAGATGCTCGAACAATTTCAGGTTTAACTTGGAAATCCAAAAGGGTGGTAGATGAAGAAAAAACAGTGTTCAAGTGTACCTATAACAAAAAAGAAACAATTTACGCCCAGCCGACGGAGCCTTCGAGGCGAATCGAAGGCTCTGAAACGTCAGCCGTCTCGGTACGGCAGCCCGTCAGGCCGCCCCGCTACATACCGGATTTTTTTTACGAAATAAGTCAGTAGACTTATTGATGAATCTAATGAAGATTTGAAAGAATTTGAAGTTGTTGTACAATATTATTACGAAACTTTGTTTTTTTTCCTTTCTAAGTAGACGAGCATACGGCCCACCTGATGGTAAGTGGTCACCGTTGCTCATGGACGTCAGCAATACCAGAGGCAGAGCCAAGCCACTGCCTACCAGAATGGTAAATGAAGAAGAGTGCTTGAAAAGCTACTGAAAAGCTATCAATACTGGAATGCCGTTATAAAATGCTGTTTAGATATCGGTTTCGTGTCTCAATGGGTCGGCATTGAAGTTGTGATGACCATGGGCTTCGATAACAACTTTGTAGNCACCGTTGCTCATGGACGTCAGCAATACCAGAGGCAGAGCCAAGCCACTGCCTACCAGAATGGTAAATGAAGAAGAGTGCTTGAAAAGCTACTGAAAAGCTATCAATACTGGAATGCCGTTATAAAATGCTGTTTAGATATCGGTTTCGTGTCTCAATGGGTCGGCATTGAAGTTGTGATGACCATGGGCTTCGATAACAGCTTTGTAGTAGCTCGAGATCTGTCCACTTTTCATCAACATAAAATCGACTGCGACAAAATCGCAATACAAATAAAGATGTACATAGTATAATAATTGGAGCAGTGCATTTATATCGATGAAAACACATAACACTTAGATATTTCAAATCGTGCTGTAAAGTCATAAACATATTTCAGTTTATATTTCATCCCACGCGGTATAAGTTATTATTGAGATACTATTTTCAACAGCAATAACGTTGCAACCGAGGCGCGTTGCAACGAATTTTATCACGTTCACAAATTCAAACTTTTATCGTAAAATCACCGATCACTGCAACTTTGTAAATGGTTCTTAAATGCCCAAGATAGACACGCTGAACACATTCAGACGAGTTTACGCGCTTTTCTGACGCATTTACGTTGTTTTGAAAATGAGTATAAACAGGTGGTGATTTCATGATTTCTGTACACCACCAGACAGCCTATTTGACCTTGCTTTTAGAGAGTTTTATGACGCGTTATTTAAATGTACAAAAATGTAGGTATATATAACCATTTTACTGGTGGTAGGACCACATGTGAGTTCGCACGGGTAGGTACCACCACCCCGCCTATTTCTGCCGTGAAGCAGTAATGCGTTTCGGCTTGAAGGGTGGGGCAGCCGTTGTAACTATACTGAGACCTTAGAACTTATATCTCAAGGTGGGTGGCGCATTTGCGTTGTAAATGTCTATGGGCTCCAGTAACCACTTAACATCAGGTGGGCTGTGAGCTCGTCCACCCATATAAGCAATAAAAAAAAAACCATTTTAAAATATTTAGAGATCCACGAACAGTCCTTAAATATTTATGAAGTTTGAATTTTATTTAGGATAGTCCATTATTTCAATAGGAACTACCCCTGACTACCCCTAAATATATCTCTGTCAACTGGGCCGCGTGTCAAGCTAAATATCAAACAAACTAGTGCATCAATTCAGTGAGTGTCAGATGGGATCATTTATTTTAATGTAGTTAGTCAAAAACGTCCGTAATTTTGGAAGTAGTTTGTAAAAATACTGTTTTGGAGAGATTTGGTAATGGGAAAAACGCCCTGCGCAATCGAGTAATGCGATCATAAAATGCGTTAGATAGGTGCAAAACCCCTTGAGAGTACTTATAAATATAGCAGATTTCCACAAACGACCGCTACGCAGGAAATCATCGTGTTATAAAAATAAAAATCGCCAAAAAGAAACATAATTACTGATGGTAGGGGTCATGTGGCGATTACCTTGAAGCAGTTGTCATTAAAAACTTTGACAACAGTGTGCTTAGTGCGAGCTTCTTAACGTCCTCGATAGCGTAAAAGTTAACCCAATTTTGTATGCAGTTGGAACAGCGCCTCTAGCGGCAAACGTACGCAAACGATCCCATTCGATACAAATATGAGCTAACTTTTACGCTATCGAGAACGTTAAAAAACTCGCACTAAGCACCCAGGTCTCAAGATGAGCCGGACATTACTTTTATGATGTCTACGGTCGGTAGCCACTTAACATCAGATTGGCTGTAAGTTTGGTCGCACATCCACGGTAGTGAAAATTAACTTTGTGATACAGTGGAAAACCTGTTTAAGCGCACAAAAGTTCTTACAGGTAGAGCTGAAAACCTGAACTGTGCTTCAGTGTTTCTTTTTAATATTCACAGTTTAAGTTACAAACATTTTAAATCTCGCAGATCCGAAAACGTATATCACAAAACAGTTGCAGTATGCAAAAAAATTATGCTTGATTTACTCAAAAGTTGTAGTTTACGGTAATCCTCAGTTCAAACATCTCAAAAAACTTTTCAATAAACACTCGATGGTTCAATAATTATTATTAAGCATACGGAGATATTTAAATTAGTTTCACGAGTTGCGATGGTAATAATGCACATATTTTGACGTTAGGTGTGCGGGAGGCGGCGGGTGGGGCGGGCGGATAGCGACGCTGCATTTTCCCCAGGCGTATCGCGCGTTGCGATTTCCACGAGGGGCGCGCCGGTCCCCTCGCCGCAAGAGCCGGGAAATCGCGCGTCGTTCGACTCAGTCCGGTTCAGCCGTCGCGCTATAACGACGCCTGCCAGTGTGCGCCACAATCGCGAACTCGCGCTCGTTGCATCGCTTGTTGTACGAACTGCGCGCGTCCAAAATAGTGAGCTCGTGGCCGGGAAACGATCAGATCCCGGTGAGATACTAGTGTGAGAGCGGCGCCATGCTGCCGGCGCTGTTGGTGCTCACGTTAGCGGCTCTGGCCCCGGCTGCAGCACGCCGTCATGCGCCTTACCTGCGCGAAGACGAGCCCGCCCGTCGTACCGCTCGAACCGCCGGTGAGTGCATCTCTAACGCTGCCAAAGATAATCATCCAATGCTCCCGAGGCATTTATGTATACATCGATGTACTACTACTAATCTACAACAGTGCACATTCAAACAGGCGGCATTAATTACGCTTCGCATAGAACGGCATGCGCGTAAAGACGCGCACGTGTGTTTATGTATGTAAATAATTGCATTCTGAAATTTATGCACCGGTCTAGAGCGACTGGATCAATTACATCAACCTGTACATTTACGAGCTGTAGTAAATGTTGTCGTTCAATTTGCAAAAATCGTTTTAAGTATTTCTTATTTGACGCTCTAAAACTGTTTGTTACGGGAATGATAGGAAATAAAAACAAAGTCACACTCATTATGGCAATATCAACAAATGTAGAGCTTCGTCGAGGGAATCTATTTTAGTAGGAAGAAATATCTAATCGTTATCGGGCAAAGACTTTCGAGATCATGTATAAGTTCGATAGATTATTATCAGATTCTGTTGTAGTGACAGGAGATCAGTGGGCAGTGGCTGTGAAAATATTTAAGAATAAAAAAATACAATCTGGAAGTACGTTTTATGTTTATTCTTGTGTTGATATTCAATGTTTCTGTTTAGGTGTGTAATAAAGTAGGTATACTCTGACTAAATGAATGAAAGCAGATATTATAGCTATTAATTTATGATATTTTTTTTGTTGACTTTGATGATAAAGCCTCTGATTAATCTGATGTTGCGTGGTATCGGATGCTTAGAGATGTCACAATTTCACTAATTATATAATAGTCGATGTCCAGTCAGGATACCGGTCATCTGTACCCAAACTAGGGTTCCCTGTACTATAGATACCAGAGACAGATATATATAGTTATACACGTTTAAATAAATTCACATATACATATTGAACACCCAGACCGAGAGCAAACAAAATTATTCATCATATTATGAATGTTTGCCCGATGTGGGAATCGAATCAACCACACCGTCCAGTAATCAATAGCGCTAGCTGTACCACCGAATAAGTCAATTGTAATGTATTTTATAGATAAACTCTGTGCTCTTCTGTTTCGTGCTTACAGTATTGTCTATGGTAGACGTGATGACGGTCTGATTTTAAACACTATTTTAAATTATTAACAGTGTTCAGTTTCTGAACGTAAAAATGTCAGCGAGCGACGTCCGCCATGACACCAAATCCCCTTTAAAATCCAGCCACCAAGAGCAACTCATCAATTTTATAGTTTTCTTATATTAAGTCGTTAATTTGTAATATAAAGCTTCAATAAATATTTCTTATAAAAAAATATTGTCCACGCTTAATTACCATAACGCAACAGACAGTGTATATAGACATCAGATTAACATGCATTATATGGCCTAACTTTAGGTTGACGTATCAAGAAGAAAAACTGTTGGCTGTTCATTCGGAATAGAAACTCGTAATTGCTTTATGGCAGAAGTAGGCCGGAGTGTGGTAACGGTACATATAGACTACATATCCCCAGTCTCAGATATATCGCAAATTTTTTATTTACATTTCACACAGCAATATTGAATTTTAAATGTAAATAATTCGACGTTACTTCTTCATCGTAGAAGATATATTTAAAGGCATGTAGAACTGTGTGTATAGTTTTAGAATAATTCCATGTTTCTGTATATTATTATCTCATACAGGCCTGCGTATTACTTTGAGATTGGAGTCTTTTTAGCAGAAAATTCATATTTACGCTTCGAAGTCATTTTGTTAAATTAATTTATACATAGTAGGACGTATTTTCGAAAAATAAATAAATAAATAAATTTGAAAATGAGTAACTTTGACGTGAAAATAGCAATCAATAGGTACCTATTCTACTTTCCATCCCTTTATCGGTATGTTATATCATATTATATTATGAATATCAATGTCGTATGATTTTGTTATCTTATCGATAGGTGCTTGAATGATTACACGAAAGCAAGATTTTATATTGCTTAGGCTTTTTGTCAAAGTGATTTTCAAATTTTGATACGAATAATGATTTAATATAATCGTGAGTTCGGTTCTTAAGAACGGTCGGTTAAATAAATGTAAAAAGCGTTAATCACGTACGCGTTTCATGAAAAGTTAATAAAGATAAACAAAATATCGATTGGATTTAGAATAGTATGTTAGGCTCATAAACTTTAAGTGTTTTATTATATACTAGTGGCATGATCCGGCTTCGCTCGGGTCTTTAACAAAAATTTCAACGATATTTGACGTTGTTTTATTTTTTTAAATAAAAGAACACTTATTGCGGCATAACTATAATAAAATATGCTGTTGCGGCACTTTTTGTAAATATTAATGTGTTCTACAAAGTCGTAGTACATTATTTTATTCTATCATGAATAGTTTTCGCAGGGCACGCGATCTAAAGAATATTTTAGGTAATTTTTTACACCTTAGGTTACATTATTAGAGCTATAGTAAAGATCCCTATTTTTTTCAAAAAAGATTATAGCCTATGTGACTCGGAAATAGTGTAGCTTCCAAACAGTGAAAGAATTTTTCAAATCGGTTCAGTATTTTCGGAGCCTATTCAATACAAACAAACAAATCTTTCCTCTTTATAATATTAGTATAGAAGTATAGATTAGTATAGATTAGGAATGATGTCACGTTACATTTTACTATATTCTGTGAACGGACAGCAAGGACTTTCTATGTCCGCTCTCCGGCAGTTGTGACTCATTGTCAGCTTTCATTCATTTTTCCTGATTTGACAAAAACTCACAAATGTCTGCCAAGTGTATTATTAGCGTCTTTTAAAATGTATTACTGAGAAAGAAAAAAAAAAAGAAAATACGTTTTCTTTGTGTGTGATGTCTAGACAGGCGACCGAGACAAGACGCGGCGGAACGTAATGTTTGACGAAATCTTTGGCTTTCTTCTTAAAAGCGGTGCGCAACTCGATTTGTCTACCGTTACCCCGCAGCTTCGTTTAATCATGTAAAAAATTATTCAATTTCAATTTATATCAAACATCGGACGCCGTCATATTCATAAAAAAAAAGAAAAAGAAAAACATAAGTTATTTCTGTAAATTTGGAGAGCTTCGACGCAGTTGTTTATAAAAAGTATATTTATTCGGAGTTTCTTTTGAACTAAGAACGTGAATTTACATTATTATTACGTTACTACATCATGTACTTATTTTTACTAGTGGCCCCGCAGTAGTCGAGATTCGATTATAATTAATTGAAATTATAAGTTTAAACATTGTTATGGTTCTATTGTCAAACACTACGAGTATTATATTTCGATAATATAGTCACAGTATTCGCGAAACCGGCACTATAGATCAATAATATTAAAGACAAACAATATTAATCTATTTTCAATGCGACCACAGACTTTAAACAATAACAAAAGTTTCCCAATTGATAGTAAACAAAAAGTATATTTTTATGTTTGTGTTGTGTCAAATACATGGTAGTGTGTGTAATGTTTTCTTTATTGATTTAAAGTATCTTTTATGCATTATTTAAAAAAAATATAAGCATTGTGCTCTCCTTCTGTATATTCTCTATAAGTGTGAGAAATTTCATACTCCTCCGTCCGCGCAATTTTCGTAAAAATGTGTACAAAGTTTTTGCTTCACGTATTAATATATAAATTTATTTCCTTCGGAAACAATTTTTCGAACTTATTTATATAATGTCGCAGGATTGTCCAGGAGAAATTTATTAAGGGTATCCACGACTCTCAGCATTGAGGATTATCGTCGGAAGCAACAGCAGAAAACATTTTGTCATATCAATCTAAACTACTAAAACTTTTCATATTGTGATAATACAGCGTCTCCATTTCTAAATATAGACCGGCTGGAACTATTCGACGTCTCCAATTCTTTTTTTTTGTTACTTAGATGGGTGGACCAGCTCACAGCCCACCTGGTGTTAAGTGGTTACTAAAGCCCATACACATTTACAACGTAAATGCGCCACCCACCTTGAGATGTAAGTTTTAAGGTCTCAGTATAGTTACAACGGCTACCCCACCTTTCAAGCCGAAACGCATTACTGTGTCACGGCAGAAATAGGCGGGGTGGTGATACCTACCAGTGCGGACTCACAAGAGGTCCTACCACCAGTTCTTCGACTTTAACGGCCCAGATGAGATACACGCCACGTTAAATGCGATTTAAAACATTTTTATCATCAACGCAGACTCGAAATGTCAAGGAGCAGTAATATATAGTTTTATATAGCATATAGTAATAAAGAAAACACAAAAAAACTTCAAACACAAATCTTAAAGCGTGCAATCGTTCGTGTAATAAGTACCGTAAACAATTTCGAAATGGTACAAAACATACGAAGCGTCGCCGGTTCCGTCACTGACAGGTGACCGGTGGATAAGTGATAAGGAATGAGCGATTGCACGTGACGTTTCAACTCTTACGTTTGGCGCACCGCCGGTAATCATATACAATAGAATACACTGATTGATTGTATGTCTCTGATATAGTTTTCCTATTCCCGATTAGAATTCGCGATTAGATTACTGGTGGCAGGATCTCTTGTGAGTCGCACGGGTGTGTACCACCACCCGTAAAATTATTGAGATTTCGCTCCCAAATGCTAGGATGCGGAGTAGAATTCATAGAATGGCGGATCTACTAAAAAGAATAATCACCAGTGTCCATCGACCTCTGGTGAGACCACAGTCCATACAAGCGCAGAACTCTATTGTAACAATAGTTCTATGGATATATGCGCCGACTGACCTATTTAGTTAGGTAGAGTTTGAATAATGCAATATTTTTACTAAACTACAATGCTTTATGTTTTATTACACTTGGTCAAGACAATATTTAGTTAGTCATAAGTGGCATCATATTGATAAGAAAAGATTGAACAATAGATTTAATGTTAGACACAATGTCACGTGAAGAATAACGATAAATTTAAGCTCTTTCATTATCAAAATTAAAATAAATATTGCGCATTGCTATTTTTAAACCAATGGATCGGAGCATA